TTCAGAACGGTACGGGTCCATTTTCCGACTGGCTACGCGCCGATACCCCTTCCGTCGACAAAGAGGAGAAGCTACTGGGAGCACCAGTCGAGTTGAAGCCGATTCCAGGTCAGTATTGCGCTCTATGGCAGCCAGAATACAAATAAAAACTACAAAACAGCTCTAAAACTCGGGTTTTCATGTCGTAATTGATTTAATGCGATTTTCGCACTTGTTGCCAGGCAGTTTAAGCCTACCTACAAGAAATTACCCGGACCGGACCCGGTTTTCACGGCCTAAACCGCATTTTCAGGCCCGGACTACATCATCGTAACGTGGAAACCCCCATCCGATGACACGACAATAATCCGTGGCTACCAGATTGGCTGGGGAAATAATGTGCCGGATGTGGAGATGGAGACTGTCGGTCCATCTGCACTACAACATCGCATTGAGGGGTTGCACCCGGGCAGGGAATATGTGGTGAGCGGCGTGTGTCACTGTGCCTTTAAAATGGAATATTGCAGCCATTTGACTAGTTAGAATAATTATAAACCGCTTAATAAGCTGGAATTCACCTGTTACACTCCCGTTAAAATGCAAACTGTCACCCAGTTGAGTCGATTATGCCTATAAAATTTGATATGTCAGGCAGTTGACTGCTCAGTGCCTTTAAAACCTAAAAATCCTGTTTTTATCAGATCAGCGTGCGGGCGAAGAACAACGTCGGGTTGGGCTATCCGATTTATGAGACTGTCCGGACCGGAAGTGAAAAGGGGAGGAGTCCGTTTGGGAATTCTGATGATGGACATGCTGATGATGGTTAGTGCATTATCCTTGCATAATCGGCTGATACTCTCTCTCTCTCTCTCTCTCTCTCTCTCTCTCTCTCTCTCTCTCTCTCTCTCTCTCTCCCTCTCTCTTCTCACTCTATCTCTCCTCTCTCGCTCTCACTCAGGACTCACTCTCTCTCGCTCTCTCTCTCGGCGCCTCTATAGCTATTCGATTACGCCACAAAAATCTTCCTTGGCTGCCAGTTTAACCGATTACGGCATCAAAACTGAGGCCTTAGTCGATGACGCCATGAAATTCCGACTTTTTCGGTCTCACGGCGATCTGGTTACGATATCAAAAATCCGGCTGATCGGGGTCGATTTTCACTGTGTAATCGGGTGATCTCAATTGAATTTTATGTCGTAATCGGATAGTGAAACCGCCACTTTCCGGTCCCTTTAATTCTTCAATTTTCCAGGCGATGATTCTACCGTAACCCCAATCGGCGTCCGTGCCGAGGCCATTTCCGCTTCATCAATGCGTATCATTTGGACTGATCCGGATCAAGAGGCATTTAACGTCAAATATACCGTTAAATACTCTACACAGTACGTTTGGTTAATGGATTACGATGTGAAAATGGTAATGGGTTATGATATAAAATTCATTTCAGAGCGGAAGGCAACAAACTGCACTATGCGGAGTCATCAGATCCATTTGTCGTTGTGGAGAGCTTGAGACCTGCTACAGAATATGAATTCTCCGTGAGAACATCACATCGAGGGGCACATTCACTGTGGAGTATGGCGGCCAGGAATAGGTAAGCTGGCAGGGATCACTTGGGAAATGCGTAGACTGCCTGACAATTCACTGGATTTCGAGCCCGGTAGGCTAGCAGAGGTGATTTGGGCAGAGTTCCAGCTCCTGGAATGGGCAGGCTGACTGCCAGTTCGAAGATCCCAATGGCTGGGTAAGCTAGCAGAGGCCATTTGCTAGTGAAAATCCAAATTTTCGTTTCAGAACCCTCTCCTCACCTCCGTCCTCAGCTCCTCGTGACCTGTCGCTCTCCCCCTCCCCATCTGGAGATCCACATCATGTCCTTCTCGAGTGGAAACCACCCAAATATGCCAATGGAGAATTGCTCGGTAAGTTCGTAATTAGATGGTGTAATTGGTTTTTGTGTTGCCTGTACCTTTAAAATAAGCTTTTCGCGAATTTGATGTCGTAATCGGTTATCCCTATCTCATAAATGGCTTTTTTCAGAATACCTAATCTACTACACGGACCGTTCTACCCTAGAAGACAAAGATTGGCGCCTACTCTCGATCCCCGCAGCCCGTAATACACATTCTATCGCTGATCTACTCCCATCATCTACCTATTACTTCAAGATACAAGCCAGGAATGAGATGGGTACGTTTTGAGGAGTTTTCTGTAGTTCTAGCTGCCCGACGCACCATGTCACCACGAAATCGTTCATTTCCAGGTTATGGTCCCCTTTCCCCGGTTGTAACTTGGAGAGGCATTGGTGGATTAGCCGTTCCTACCGGCCGAGTACCGCTTGGAGGAGCTGGAACTGCTTTTTCGATCGATCACTTTATTCAGGCACGTATCTAGATCAAAATGGTTGTTTTAAAGGGACTTGGAAGGCCCTCCTTATGAATTTTGACTCTCACGACACACAACGCACATGCGACGCTTGACCAGAATTTAGGGGCGTAATCGATTACGCACTGGAAAGGCGATGAGTGCGCGTTACGTGTCGCGGACGTACCTTAAGCGATTTGAGTCGTGACTACAAACTACACGATTTTAGACGCTTCTCTCGAATCCTCTCCACCTCCTGATTGCCGGTACCTGTCTCGTGGTGGCCATCGTCGCAGTTGTTCTCTGCCTCTTGTGCATCTTCAGACGGTCAGTTTCTACAATGAGAGAGCGCGAGAGAGACAGAGAGAGCGAGAGAGCGAGATAGAGAGAGAGTGAGATAAAGAGATAGAGAGATAGAGAGATAGAGACAGAGAAAGCGAACGAGAGAGAGTGGGAGAGTGAGAGTGAGAGCGAGAGAGAGAGAGCGAGAGAGAGAGAGAGAGCGAGCGAAAGAGAGAGAGAGCGAGAGAGAGAGCGCGCGAAAAAGAGAGCGAGAGAGCGTGAGAGTGCGAGAGATAAAGAGAGAGTGAGGGCGAGTCAGAGAGAGAGAGCCAAGGAGCAATTCTCCGATTTTCAGCTCATCGAAGAAGCCTCGAGCCAAGCCCGGGCAATCTGGAGATTTGTGGATCAACCAATCACATGGGACTCATCTACGACCGAATAATTCAAGTAAGCAAATTATTTCTCCCACGCAGATACGGACGCACCATGTCGAAAAACCGTTTTCCGATACATTCGTTTTCCATCACTTTTTTTGGGCCGTAGTGACCTTAATTTTGCATTTTTTATCTTTATTTTACCCTCCGAATCCTTGGTTTTAGTGGAGCTGCTAGGTGGTGATGTTCTGCACCATCCCGCCCATCCCCATCATCCTCTCCATCATCACAACACCATCAAAACCCAGGGATCTCCATCCCCTCCACCAAGATATCATGCACTACAGGCTGCACAAGGTAGTTCGTTTATTTTTTCGGTCTCATTCCCGTTTTTTTTGCTTGTCCTGTAATCTGTGGCCTCCGTTTTGTAGTCTGTACTTTGTAGCCTGGGTCGATACTACAAAATTCGCACTTTTTAGGTTCCAAAAATTGAATGATTTGATTGCTTTTCGTTTGTCGAATTTTGTGTAGCTTCTATTCGGTAGCCTGGAATTTTTTTAGTTTGTAGTTTGTAAGTTGGCATGCAGGCTACAAAATCAAAATATTTTTAAGTTCCAGATTATTGAGATTTTTTGTTTTGGAGTCTTTTCGAGTTCTCGTAGTTTGTAGTTTGTAGCCTAGACTTTTCATGGTTTGTAGTTTGTAATCTGGCATTTTTCAGCTTTGTAGTCTATAGTTGTTTGGCATCTAAACTCAATTTTTTTGGTTTGAAGTTTACTATTTTTTGTGGTCTGTAGTCTGGCAGGCAGACTACAAGCGGCGATCGGACAACCTGGATTTTTGTAGTCTGTAGCCTGTGGTTTGTACTTTGTAGCCTGTGCCATTTTTGTAGTCTGTAGTCTGGCATGCACTCTGTCGTTTCGTCCCCACCCACCCTCGACATTTCCAGAACTAGCCGGCACTGACGATGGTGGTCACTACGGTACCGTAGGCCTTGGTCGTGGCTCGTCCCAGCGTCGTCTCCTCCTCTCTTCTAAAGGCATCGTCCCAGCTGCCACGAATCGAGCCCTGATCCCTCCCCTGCGATGTCCTCCACCCGGCTCCTATGCACACAGCGATGACAATGATAGTATGCATTTTTAGTTTGATTTTGGCGGGTTTAAAGGGACTTGGAAGCATTGAAAATCCTATGGATTTGCCTTGCCGGTGCCTTTAAAAGAGGATTTTTCGTGTTTTAAAGGAGCTAGGAAGCCAAACTGCCTGGTAGTAGCTATGGATTTGCCTTCCAGGCCCCTTTAAAGCCCAATTTGGGCATTTTAAAGGCACCTAAAAGTCTTGGAAATCCGATCGATTTGTCTTCCTGGTTCCTTCAAAACGAATCTTTCTAGTCTTAAAGGAGCTAGGAAGTCAAACTGCCTGGTAGCAGCTATGGATTTGCCTTGCCGGGCCCTTTAAAGGTCCATTTTTGAGTCCAGGATACGGTGGATCGAGCACTTTTTGAGTTTTTCCTTGATTTTGTTATGCTTGAAATTGCGAATTTCGATATTGTCATGTGGTTCGACCGGTTTTGAGGTTTTTCATGAAGTTTGAGATTACAATGACGTAATCGGCTAAAGCCCTGGCAGTATATCGCCAAGTCGGTTCTAAAACCGTAAAAAATGACAAATACGAAAACACGAATTCTAGGCGGTACCCTCTCGCGATCCTACCATCACTCCTCTTCGAGTCTCGAGCAGAGAGGAGGGCCGAGGACACCACAAGTTGTCTATACTGGCATTGGAAGACATCAGGTACGGACGAAGGGCAGGCTAGCAGAGAACATTGGGGAATGGAGGGGCAGGCTAGCAGAGATTCTTTAAGGAAAAGTCAAAATCTATGAATTTATCTCATTTCCAGCCAATCGCAAAGGTGGAGCTGGACTCTCCGTATGGATCAGCTGGACAACTACCCCCACCAACACCTCCCCTCCAAATGCCACCAAATATCCCGTCTTCTATGATACCACAAGATGGATATAGGACATTAAGGGGTGGACATCCACAACAACCCATGGCTAGTGGAAATCCGTTGAGGTACGGTCTTTCACCCTTCATTCTCTCTCTCTCTCTCTCTCTCTCTCTCGCTCTATCCTTCTTCTCTCACTCTCTCTCTCTCCATCTGTCTCTCCCACTCTCTCTCACTCGCTCTCACTGATTCTCTCTAACTCTCACTCATCTCTCTCACTCTCTCGCTCTCTCTCCCTCTCTCGGACTCTCTCTCGCTCTTTGTCTCTCTCTCTCTCTCTCTCTCTCTCTCTCTCTCTCTCTCGAACCCATTCGGCCAGCTAATTCGTGAACGCAATCGATTACGATAGCTAATTCTCATCCACCCCTCCGCTTCTTCAGATCCTTCACAACCGTCTGCCCTCCTCCCCGCGGCGGCCCTCAAGTGATTATGGCCCAAAAACAAGTGCCAGTTGGAAGGGCCCAGGCACAACCCAGGGTCAATATGGCCAATATTTACAGGTTTGTATCTCAAGCGATTACGACATGTAATTCCCGCACTCCTATCACTCGATTACGCCATGTAATCCCACCCTTTTCAGCCCATACGCCTCGTGCTCACAAATCCCGCGTGACGATGACAAGCATATAGCTCGTATGGACTCGGAATCGGATGAGAGGACACCGTTGCAGGTCAGTTTACGGTTTTATGAGATTCCCGGTCCGAATCCGGTCGATTTCCGGACAGAACAAAGCGGAAATCGCGTCAATTTAGCCGGCAAAAATCAGAAAAAACGGCAAGAAAAAGTTTTCCGCGCCGCAACACGCAACGTGCACGCAGATCTATAAAATTTACTGAAAGCGGCACGCAACGTGCACGCTTCGCTTTAACCTGGCGTAATCGATTACGCCATGAAAGGGCATGTGCGTTGCGTGTCGCGGCGCGGCACACGGATTTTAAAAACCTTGCCAATCCCTTTAAATTCTTAAAACCCGCTCTAACTTTCAGCCATCCGCCTCCAACGAGGAACTGAACGAGCTGACCGAAAATATCGACAATTTCCTCGACGATCTCAAGAATATGGATATGGGACCAAGATCTGAGGCCGGGTGGAGCGCCGATTAACCCCGGACAAATCACCATAAAAATCGATACTTTAATGCCTAAAGTAGAGGGATTTTTATTGGAATTGAAATCTCAATTTTGGTCACTTTTCACCTAAAATATCCCGGTTTTGCACCTAAAATCAAAATTAAACTCCATTTTTAACTATGAAAATCATAATACTGCTCTCTAATTCGTTGTGATCTTCATTATCCATTTTTATAATGACTTCTCAGGCATTTTTTATACTTTTTTTGACCCAGGCATTGTTGAAAAACCTTCCAAGGCTTATATCTCGGCCGAAAAAGGGCTCTCGACCTCGCGAGTATTCGAAAAGTGTCGCCTTGCTTTAAACTATCTATTCTGACTTTTATTTCCATGAAAAATTATAGAAAATGATTTTTAAAAGCTTAAAAACTAAGTTTTTATCTTTGGGTTTGGCCAACAGGTTACGCTGGGCAACGATGCGCTCCTTTGAACGCGGGCCGGGTCAAGATCTCCCCACGGCCGGTCTGGCCAGGAAAAACCCTTCTAAAATCGTTCTACGTTACATTTTCTTTTGAATAAATACATTAAAATGTAGCTTAGAATTAGGCGCATCTTTTGAGATACTTTTGAGACCTGTAAACCTCTGAACCGCCGAGCTACAGGCCCCAAAGGTTGCTCGACCCCGATTTCTTTCCAATTCCTGCCCATTTCACTTCTCTTCGCTTCAATTTGCTGCCCAATTTTCGTGATTTTGCTATTTATTACTTTCTGTCTCTATTTATATTTATTACAGTGTTTTGACTGCCCGAAAAACGTGTATATTGGCTCGTAAATTGCTCGTCTCATTCCGCGCTCCACACGACATGTTGCTCGCTCTCCCCCTTATTCGCTTTCTGTTCTCCGTTTTGTATCTCAAAAATTTTAAGCATATTGAATTATTTTTATTTTTCATGCATTTTTGGTGAATAAAACGTTCAAAAATTTACTCAAGCCACAGGACGACTCAGAAACTTTTAAAACACGGCGAGCAGAGACAATTTGGAAGGTGACTCTGGTGAGAGAAAAAAAAGAGGAAGGGTAGACTAGCAGTGACCATTGGGGGAAAAACCCGGCCATGAAAGTAGTAATCTGTATTCCTAGGTCGTAATTTGTAGTCTGTGGTCCTCGTCTGTAGTTGTAGCCTGTAGTCTGTAGTCCTGGTTTCGACAAAGGGTTTATTAAACCGAGACGAGAGAGATTTGACAGCGGAAATGAAGGAATACGGATCGGACAGCGAGGGGGTATAGCGAGAGACATGGGCAGAGAGAGACACAGACATACACAGAAGAGAGACTAATTGCGAGAGGGCGAGAGAAGCGATAGATATCCGGACGAGTGATCGCATGCCGTGTCGAGTTGAGGGGAACTCGTCTCCGGGGCCACAATCTTCTCCAGGGATTGCGTCCTGCAAAGATTGGTACGGTAGGCTACAAACTACAGATCTCGATGAATGGTTAGCTATCGTAATCGATTACTGGCAGACAGAAAAACAATCTACGAGTTGATTTCCAAGAAATTCGTGAAAAGTAATGGATTTAGTTCGAGGATCGAGCAGAGGAAAGGCGATTTTCCAAACCTTAGCCTAACTACCATAAGCCCTATTAATGCGCCGACTCTCTCAAAATACTCGTCGTGCCCCAGTTTAAACAGAAAAATTATGACATCCATCAGAAATAGTGTTAAAAAGGTTTATAACAGCTTAAGGTTGGAAATGAAGCAAAAAAGCCCAGACTATCATTCCTCCAAAAAAATTGTGTCGTATTAAAAAATGAAAGTTGTCGACATACAAATCGACTAACTGACAGACAGACAGCTACTACCCGAAACTACAAACTTCATCGGACAGATCGTGGCCATCCGGGGACCCACTTCATCATCTCATCATCGCCACCATTCATGGCGATTGGCTGTGTCTTCTTTTGTGTCTTTCCATATTCATTATTGGCGGCTGTGGTGTTGTTGAGGGGCCATCGAAGCCGGGTTCCACTCAGGGGCTGCTGCGGCTGATGGGTCTGCAATTTGGAGTTTGTTGTTGTCGTTCGGCCGTACGCCTCCCCAAGCCGACTGGCCCAACTGTATCTCGGCCGCACCGGTTATCTACAGTTGTATAAAATATACCGAAGATATGCGCCTTGATCTGGCGAGTATTTTGGTCTACTTTACAGCCCCGTAGCTCACAGGGGATCCGAGATACAAAAGTTGGTGTCGAGCGCCGCGGGACGGGGGCGTAAGAAGCCCTTTTCTCCCGCTTTTATCCCGGCTCCCCTTTGTGCTACAAGGCTCTATGATATACCAAAGATGCGCTTGACCCCGGCGAACATCTTGATCTATTTTATAGCCATGTAGCATGCTCTGGAGCCGAGTTGCAAAAGATTGACTCTGATGAGGCGGGGGGAGGGGGGGCCGGGAAGCGCGCTCTAACCGTTATATCTCCGCTTCTTACTAAGCTACCGTGGCGTAAGTTATACCAAAATACTCGCCAGTCCAAGACGAACATTTCGATATATTTTACAGCTTTTTAGGCTAAAAGGAAGCCGAGATACAAAAGGTTGGGGGACCGCTGGCGGGCGGGCGCGTCATGCACACTCTAACCGTTATATCTCGGTTTTCCAGTGAGCTACGAAACTGTAAAGTATACGAAAATACTCGCCAGTCCAAGACGAGCATTTTGGTAGTTTTTACGACACTGTAGCGCACAAGGGAGCTAAGATAACGTCGATAGAAAGGGTGGGGCGACGGTAAGCTGCTAAACTGCACCCATACCTTGTTGTTCTGCTGCTGCTGTTGTTGTTGTTGTTGTGGTTCAGTGGTGGCTTGTGTGGGTCCTGTCTTGACACGACTCTTTGCAATCCACAGCATTCCCGATTGGCACTCGGCTTTTCGGGCCAATGGATTGTCCCCCTCCACTTCCTCAAGGTCCGTCTCGTCGCGTTGCTGGAAAAGTCGGATTTTCGAGGTCTGCCAGCCTTCGATGGATTCCGCAAGAGTCTCTGCTAGCCGTTTGCCGGCAGTTAGGCTAACAATACAATAGAGGGTCCCAAATTCCCCCCCAACCGACCCCCGCCTACCGTATCTCGGCTCCCTGTTCATCTACAGGTGTGTAAAGTATACCAAAATACTCGCCACAGCAAGACGAACCTTTTAGTATACTTTACACACCTGTAGATGAACAGAGAGCCGAGATACGGTAGGTGGGGGCCGGCTGGGGGGGGGGGGTAAACTGCACTCTAACCTATCTTTCCGCAAATTCTCTCTGCTCGCCTGCCCTTATGGAATTCGGCTAGCTGCCAGCCATTCTCGCAATTCCTCCCCAAAAATCTCTGCTATCCTGCGCCCATTCCTCACCTCGACATTCAGATGGAAGCTGCAGTGGGTGCGCTGCTCGCGGGCCGTCTTGCAGCACTTTTTCGGCGATTCTGAAGCAGAGAAAATAACTTTCTATTTTTCTCTGTCTCGACCCACTCTTAGTGTCGATCAGCTTGACGGGAATTGGCTTGAATGCTTTGTGTGATGGATCACTGGCATCACACGCTTTTCGACTGCCCGACGACTTCGACGACTTCGACTTCTGAAACGGATTTTGAGGCAGGCTAGCAGTGATTCTTTGCGGAATGCGTAAACTGGTTGGCAAATATGCTAAAAAGGCATGTGCACGCTAGCAGGGACCATTTGCGATTCAGGGCAATTTAGCAGAGGTTCTTTTCGGAATTCGCGGCAATCATACGGAGATTCTTGGCGAAATCGCTAGGCTGGCTAGAAGCTAAGCAAAATCCAAACAGGCAGGCTAGCAAAGGCCATTTGGGAGCCAATTCCTCACCGTAGACGTGATGCGTTTGAAGCAGAGAGGTAGTGTGAGTATTAGTAGAAGGGGAATACACCCCCACACCTCCATCAGCCATATCATCGCGAGCGGGGCCGGTAGAAATGGGGGAAACCCAACGGATTTCGGTTTTTGATCGGGTATGCAAATTTTTGGATGTAAATCGATGGAAATTGACGATTTTGGAGGCAGGGCAAGCTAGCAGCGAATAATAGGAAGCAATGGGACTAGCAGAGGCCATTCTGGAAGGTCGGCAGGCTGTCAGCGCTAGTCTGAGGATCTCTCTCTCTCTCTCTCGCTTCTATTCGCGGAATCAATGAACTGACTGCCAGATAGACCAATCGTAGACGGGCAAGCTAGCACGGGCAATTTTGGAAATCGTCGAAAAAAATTTCGTCATTCACTGATCTGGTCGCGAGATTGACGAATCGTAAAATGGCCAACCGGCAGAGACAATTTAGCGCCGATCCCTCCCTGCCTAGCCAGTCCATGAATGGTATTGCGTGGATTGCGTACTGTCTGTCTGTCTGTCTGTGTGTTGGTATGTGGTGTTAGGAGGGTCAAAGGGCCGGCTAGGTGAGAGAAGAGAGGTCTAGCTGGGAGGTATTGCGCATTATGGCCTCCAACGGGCTCTATTTGGCCCTTCACTCTCTTTTTCTCTCTCTCTCTCTCTCTCTCTCTCCACTCGGCAATCTGTAAGGAGGGGGGTTGACTCGACCCTCCTTGGCTAGGCACAAATATGCCCCCAGGCTATGCTGGTGGGAAGGAGTGATCGGCAATGGTAAGCCAGTTTGGGCTTTTAGCAGCACTTCGTACTCAGGAATCCGCTAAATCGTCTCCTAACATGCCTGTGCTAGTTAGCTGGATGTCAGTTTACCCATTCCGCCCAGAATCGCTGCCAGCTTGCCACCTGATCTCACAAATGACCGCTGATAGCTGTCTGTCAGCCAATTGACACCGCCAGCTACATTTTAGGCCCAGAAACTTCCGCAAGTGATCTCTGCTAGCTTGCCCTTCTGGATTTCGCTCAGCTGGCATTCGATTAAGCTAACGGCACCACAAAATCTCCGCCAGATTGCCCCGGTCTTCCGAAATTGTCTCTGCTAGTTGGCGGGATGCCAGTTAGCCCGCTCGAGTCGAATTTAGACCCAGAATTTTCCGCACATTGTCTCTGCTAGCCTTCCCTTCTAGAATATATTTATCTGCCATCCATTCTACCCATTCCTCAAAGAACCTCCGCTAGCCTGCCCCCTTTCCCTCCAGCTTGACCCCTGATAAGAGCCTGCCTTCTTTTTATGTCCACCCCCTTTTCCATTAGATTACCATCTACGGGGGGGGCTATTTGCCAGTTCCCTGTTATATTTGCATAACCTAGTGACCAACCAGAAGGCCCTATCTGAGATTTCTCTCTCTCTCTCTTTCTCTCTCTCGCTCTATCTCTCGCTCTCACTCCAAACATACCCAAGAAGGGCCATCCCCTTATCCTCACTACCTAGCAGCTACTGCCCAAGGGCCAAAGTTTCCGCAAGTGGTCTCTGCTAGCTCTGTCGATTTGTTCTATGTCAGCTAGTCTGGCTGTTCCACGAATGGTTTCTGCTAGCCTGCCCTCCGATTCCCAAATGGTCTCTGCTAATTGCCTGCCTGCCAGTTAGCCTAGCCAACCGGGGTCGGGCCGGATTCTGCCTAAATAGCCTCTGCTAGCCTACCTAAATATCGAATTCTGCTATCGCCGGGCATTTTATCGTTTCCTCAAAGAAACATTGCTAGCCTGCCCCTCCAGATTTGCAAATGGTCTCTGCTAGCTACCTGGCGGTCAGTTAGTCCGATTATCTGAAATTGGGGCCGAAAAATTGCCGCAACTGATCTCTGCTATCCAGCCTTTCTGAATTTCGTCTATCTGCCAGCCAGATTATCTATATCAGAGCCCGCTAGCTCCCCAAATGGTCTCGGCTAGCGTCCCTGCCTCCAAAATGCAAATTGTCAGCCAGTCTATCGATTCCCCAAAGAATCCCTGCTAGCCTGCCTATTACGCCACTGTGAACATCAAAATTCATGTTCGCCACCTTGTCCAATTATGCCTCCACCCACCTGCCCTATTTCTCCTTCTCCCCCCTCACTCTCCTCCTCCTTTCCATTCCGATACCATCCTATCAACGGTCATCTTCCCCTCCTCCTTCTGATCATCCACTATATACCAAAGACCCTCCTCCTCCTGATATCCACCAAGTCAAGGCCAGGGATGAGCACGAACACCCCGGGGGCAACTACGCAACTAACGATTTTTGCATATTCATCCTGATCGATTTTTAGGCAGGAAAGTTCTAACTGCCATGCAGGCTATACGAATTCGTGACTAGGCAGCCTAGCAAAGACCATTTGATGAATTTATTATTTAGAATGCGACTAGCTGCCTTCCAGGCTAAACAATTTGTGATATGGCTGGCTAGCAGCGAGTATTTGCGGATTTAGGGGGTCTTAGTCCGCAAGCTGCCATCCGGGTTGCATAAATTCGTGATTGAGCATGCTGGCAGAGACCATTTGCGGAATTTTTCGGTGGTAGCGGTTGGCTGCCATCCAGGCTACACGAATTCGAAGCAAGGCCTGCTAGCAGAGATCATTTGCGGATTTTTGGGAACCAATGCACAAACTGCCATCCAGGCTACACAAATTCGTGATCGGGCAGGCTAGCAGAGGCCATTTACCAGATTTTTCGAGCTGTCAACGTCCATTTAGATAGTTTTTTGCTTCCCGTGTTTGCCGTAAAAAGCGCGTTGCGTGTAAAGTAAAGAACGTACGGTTAGCGGGGGCCATGAATCGACAGCCACGAGAGAGAGGGGGAGAAGGAGATGATTCAACGGATTGTACAATGGATGCAAAGGGAATCGTATCAATCCGGAGAGAGAGACCGGCTCGACCCCAGGGTCACAAAATAGCTTGCAATATTCTGATTTTTCTGGTTTACCGTAATTTTTTTTCGCAAATTGTCTCTGCTGGCTTGCCATCGCAAAATCCAAGCAACTTCCAGCCAGTTTTCTCCATTTCTCAAAGTGTCTCTGCTAGTTTGCACAGCTTGCTGACCAAAAATCTGGAAAATCTGACTGTAAAAGGGTTCTAGCTTCAAAATTTTCCGCAAATGGTCTCTGCTAGCTTGCCTAATAGCGAATTTGTGAAAAACGGCTGCCAGATTGACGATTGGCGGCGGTGAATTACCCAAATGATCTCTGCTAGGCTGCCCCGACGGCTTATTCGTCCCAGAAGGTCACTGCAAATCGGTGTCCCCATCAATCATTTGACCATCGATAGATAGCTCTTTTCGATATCTTTCCATGTCTGCCTTCCAATTTATGACATTTTGAATTCCAATTATGGCTTTTAATGGCTAGGCACTTATTTTTGTTTCAACCCGATTTTTGCAGTTTTTAAGGAATTTTAGGGTTTTGCAAACTTTAAAAAGACAAAAATCTTCAAAATGCAACTTTTTTGTCGAAATCTTTCTCCAAGCTATAAATTGGCTTGCAATTTAGCAATTGTTTATATGTAAATTAGTTTATCGTTTATGAGGCGAAGATTCGGTATTTTTCAGGTCTTTGTTAGAACGAAAATTTTGCGATTCTGTCACAAAATCCCGAATTTAGGGATTTTTGTTTTGAAATTTATCGATTTGATTTCCCTTGATCTTTATTGTTTTTACCTAGTGAATATTACAGCACCTCAACAGTATTTTTTCAGGCTAACCCCCTTTAATTCGAAGAAATATGGGCCTCCAACGGCGTCCACCCAGACGCCTGGCCTGTCTATTTCTTCTCTGTCTCTCTACCCTCTCCACGGTCTCCCAGGCTACCACCAATTTCGTGGATGATGGTTTCGAGGGGGAAACTGATGAGGAATACGATCAACGATATGCCGAATTTGTCACCACTGAAACTGGTCAGAAAAATCGATTTTTTTCGGATTTTTGAGTTTTTAGAACGGGGCCTGTTCCCCTCGATTTTCAACCTGGCCACAAATGCCATGATTTCTTCAACGGCCACTTGTGGAGAAAGAGGACCCGAGGAATACTGTAAATTGGTCGAACATGTGCTGTGGAGGAAGACGCCTGGAAATGGGTATATCCATTTCTCTTTCTATCTCTCTCTCTCTCTCTCTCTCTCTCTCTCTCTCTCTCTCTCTCGCTGACGACGAAAAAGACAGAACAGAAAAACGAAGCGGAAAACGAGAAGATAGCGCAGTGGTAGTGCGTTAGTCTGTCACCCACAGGGCCCGGGTTCGACACCCGCCCGCGCCAAACTTTTTTGCTTTTTGGAATTTAAGCCGAATTTTGTTGAGAATCACTAATCTGGCATTCAGACTACTAACTACAATGGTAAATATTGGGGTCAATCCGTTGAATGTCAAAAAGCGCAACGCGCAATCACGCAACCGACATCCAGACTACATACAACAGTACTCCATAACTTTTTCCAGTGCTCCCCAATGCGACACGTGCGATGCAAATGATGCGAGACGGAGACATCCGGTTGAATTCGCGATTGATGGCACAAGAAGGTCAGAGTTTGCGATTTTTATACAGTATTGAACGCGAAAAACAATAGCTCAGATGGTAGGCTAGCAGAAATCTTTGTGGAAAGGGCAGTTGGGCTCTCAAAAGAGACATTCAGGCCATTTTTAGCCTCAAAACCCCCTAGAATTGCCGGAAATAGCTTCGAAAAATTGAAAAACAACACGAAAAGATGTTTTCCAGATGGTGGCAAAGCCCTTCGCTTCACAATGGATTGGAATACGAGAAGGTGAACATCACAATTGATCTCCGTCAAGAATATCAAGTCGCGTATATGGTGGTGAAGATGGGGAATGCACCTAGGCCCGGATCTTGGGTTCTGGAGAGGTCGCTCGACGGCGAGAAGTGAGTTATCGGTTTTGTAATTTTTTTAGCGCCATCCATTCCCGAATTATTTATTTGCAAATTTGGTCGCAAAAACCTAGGTTTATCCGGTTACGACATGAAGATACTTCGCCTAATACATTACGTCATAAAATTCATCCTTCCTAATCGATTACGTCATCAAAACGCGTACTCTCCAGTCGCTTACGCCATCAAAATTCCGACTACCTAAACGATTACGTCATTAAAATCCAGCACCCCAACCGATTACGACAGCCAAATCGATATATAATCGATTACACCATTAAATTCCACAAATTCCGCCACTTCACGGCCCCTTTAAAACAGTTGTATGAGGTTCTTTTTAGCTGGCAAGCCTGGCAGTATTTCGCCACCAACGACGCGGAATGCGTGCGACTTTTCGGAATTCCAGCCACGGCCGGCGTTCCAAGATTCCAGGCTGATGATGAGGCGCGTTTCTCCCTCTCTTCCGCTCTCTCTCTCTCTCTCTCTCTCTCTCTCTCTCTCTCTCTATGTGTCTCTCTCGCTTTCTCTCTCGCTTCCAAGTCCCTTTAAAATTATTTTTCAGGTGCACTGCACGTCCGAGTACTCGAAATTGACCCCGCTGGAGTATGGTGAGATCCATATCTCTCTTGTTAATGGAAGACCCGGCGCCAAGGGACCGTCACTCGAACTGCAGGTACGCGATTTTGTGGTTGTAATTTTCATACGGTAAAACGAAAGCGGTCCAAGTTATAGGTTGTCTGCCAGATTACAGTATCGCATTGAAATTTTAGGCCACAAGTCCCAAATTTTCCAGAAATTCACGCGTACCCGTTTCGTGCGTCTGCGTCTCATCGACCTGCGTACACTCAATGCCGATTTGTTGATCGTCAACTCGAGGGGGCACAAGCTGGACAAGAGTGTCACTATGAGGTCGGGAATAATTTTTAAAGAGAGACACCCAGCTAATTCTTAGTGACACTATCCCTTAAAAACCTCGCCGCGCCCATTTTCTCGCCTATCACGACGCCTTTAAACCCCTTTTCCAGATATTTCTACTCGATCTCCGACATTTCAATTGGCGGCCAGTGTATCTGTTATGGACATGCGGAGAGTTGCCCGGCCGATCCTGTGACTGGGGTAAGATTTCCAAGCGTAATCGTTTGTTACGCGCTGAGATTTTCATGCCGTAATCGATTCTACTAGCTTTCTCAATCTCGCTCTCTCTGTCTCTCTCTCTCTCGCTCTCTCTGTCTCTCTCTCTCTCTCTCTGTCTCACTCTCTCGCTCTCTTTCTATCTCTCTCTCCCTTTCTCTCCCTCTCTCTTGTCTGTCTCTCTCTCTCTCTCTCTCTCTCTCTCTCTCTCTCTAGGTCTCGCGCTTTTCCTGAAAATAACTCTGGTTTTCATAGCGTAATCGTCTGTTTCTGGTTTCGGAACTTCGTTGCGTAATCGATTGTTTTTTGCAGCAATTCCAATGCGAATGCCGTCACAATACCTGTGGAGAATCATGCAATAAATGCTGCCCACTCTTCAACCAACTCCCATGGAAACCCGGCACCAACGCACAGCCGAATATTTGCCAACGTGGGTTTGAAGACTGCAGTGGCTAAACTGGCTGTCACACTCCCTTTAGCCGTTGTTTTCAGAGTGTCAGTGCTTCTCCCATGCTGACGAATGTGTCTATGATGAAGATCTGGCTCGCGATCAGCTCTCGGTGACGCCGGAGGGCGTTTTCGAAGGGGGTGGACGGTGTCTGCAATGTCAGGTTGGGAATGTCATGCCGCTTTAACGATTCTGCTATCGGCCCGCGACACGCAACGCACACTTCCGTTTGATCGCGTTAAAGGTGGCGTAACCGATTACGCAATGAAAGGACGCGCTTACGCGTTGTGTATCGCGGATCTAACGGACGGGCAGGCCGACGGACCTCTTTCGGGGCCAAGCGGGGCGTGCGCGTTGCGTGTCGCGGCGAGGCTAGATGGCGAATCTTCAGCCAACAAAATACAGAGACTTGCCTTTCCGGGCCTTTAAAAGCTCCCTTTTCAGCACAACACGGAGGGAATCAATTGCGAGAGATGCCTGAAGGGATACTACCGTCCATCCGGAATGTCACACTATCGAGAAGATGCCTGTAGATCGTGTGATTGTGATGAGACGGGGTCGGAGAGCGAGGAATGCATTCGTGATGATCAATCGGCCATTAATGGGATGGTAGGTGGTCTGCAAAGATTATTTTTGCGCCTTGGCTAAACTGCCTGGCAGTCTAGCAGTGGTAATTCGGGAATTTAAGCTAGACACCAAATTGCAACACTTACATCCCAAATTTCAGGCTCCCGGTGACTGTCGTTGCAAGCCGGGCTTCGGAGGGCGGCGATGCGAGAGATGTGCGCCTGGATACCGTAACTACCCCCATTGTGAGCCATGCCCGTGCAATCAGGCTGGATCGCTCAATTTCGATCACTGTGAGCACGAGAAGTGAGTCTTGGAATTACATGATGTAATCGGTTCTCTCCCGCGCGTTCTTCATCGCGTAATGGTCCTCGTGAATTCCATGGCGTAATCAATTGTCCAAAATGCCGCTTCCTAGTGCCTTTAAAGGGTTTGGCAAGGCATTTCTTATGTATTACGCCCGCGACACGCAGTGCATAAGCTTCGCCTTTACATTGCCTAATCGATTACGATACTTTATTGCTGCCGAGCAGAGCGTGTGCGTTGCGTGTCGCGGCGCGGCATTACTATAAACTTGCTTTCCCGGTCCCTTTAAAATGACCGTTTTTATGCCGTGATCGATTACGACATATTTATCACGGCCAAGCGGCGCGTAGGCGTTGCGTGTCGCGGCACGGCAAATCAAGATTTGATGGTGTAACCGATTTAACCTGGAGTGTTTTAGATGCCAATGCAAAGCGAACGTCGAGGGTCTGTATTGTGATCGTTGCAAACCGGGCACCATCCATCTCTCCAAGGAAAACCCCCAAGGATGTCAGCCATGTTTCTGTTTTGGACTCTCCACAAATTGCACAGAGAAGGAATGGACTACTGGAAAGGTAAAAACCTTACAGAAATTTATTTTTTTTAAATTGCGTTTTTCTGCCAGGTTGACTGTTGCAATATAGATTTTTCAACGCCGAAAATCCAATTTTTTCTCAGAAACTCCAATAAACCACGCGTTTGCTTTTCTGCCAGGCATACTGTGGATCCATCGTTTTTTCATCGTCAAAATTTTAATCTTTGCGGCGTTTTGTATTTCGAAAGTCTCCTTTCTGCCTAGCATCCAGTCGAAATTCCAAATTTTCAGATCCAAAAACAACTCGGCTGGCAGCTCACAGACTTGAGTGGAGGTCGAGAGGTGGCGCCGGACAATGAAAATGGAGAGGTACGGCAGGAAATCGGGTTTTAATGGGACTGGGAAGTCATAAAAACCACCCAAAGATTTTCTTTGGCAGCCAGCTCGTAATTTCATGGCGTAATCGATTCGCTTGAGCCGGGTTTTCATGCCGTAATCAACTGGTTCGTCACGGTTTTCATGCCGTAATCGGTTAAACACACTATTTGGGAGCCAGAGAGCGTGGGAGAGCGAGAGAGAGAGAGAGAGAGAGTGAGAGTATGAGAAATTTTCCTCTTCTTTTCAGGTGCTAATGTTCAACGCGAATCAGAACAAAGATCGTTCCCTCTACTATTGGAAAGCCCCGAAAGCCTACACGGGAAACCTATTGACATCTTATGGAGGAATTCTACACTATTACGTGTATTTTGTCCCGACTGACAGCTCGGAGACGATCCCTGTCGCTGATGTCGTCATTGAAGTCAGTTTTCGTAACCTTAAATTTGTAAGAAAAATCAATATTTCAATTTTTAAAATATTTGCACCTTTTTAAAGCAAAACTTTTTGAAAAGTCTAAGTTTCCAAAACGTAAAAGTTTCTTAAAAAACCAGCCGATTACAGCCGCGTCGCGGCTGTAATCGGCTGGCCTTCGGGCTACCTTCCATATTCTACACCACCAAATTCCTTCCCTAACTTTATCAATATCCGTGCTGATGGCTCCAAATACGCCCCATAGCCGAAATCCCCTTAAAAAACTACTTAGATACGTTCCTGATGGCTACAGATACCCCCCATGGCTAAAATCCCCTTCAAAAACGACCTAAATACCTTCCTGATGGCTACAGATACCCCCCATGGCTAAAATCCCCTTCAAAAACTACCTAAATACCTTCCTGATGGCTTCAGATACCCCCCATGGCTGAAATCCCCTTCAAAAACGACCTAAATACCTTCCTGATGGCTTTAGATACCCCCCATAGCTGAAATCCCCTTCAAAAACGACCTAAATACCTTCCTGATGGCTTCAGATACCCCCCATGGCTGAAATTCACTTCAAAAACTACTTAGATACGTTCCTGATGGCTACAGATACCCCCCATAGCTGAAATCCCCTTCAAAAACTACTTAGATACGTTCCTGATGGCTACAGATACCCCCCATAGCTGAAATCCCCTTCAAAAACTACTTAGATACGTTCCTGATGGCTACAGATACCCCCATGGCTAAAATCCCTTCAAAAACGACCTAAATACCTTCCTGATGGCTACAGATACCCCCATGGCTAAAATCCCTTCAAAAACTACCTAAATACCTTCCTGATGGCTCAGATACCCCCATGGCTGAAATCCCTTCAAAAACGACCTAAATACCTTCCTGATGGCTTCAGATACCCCCCATGGCTGAAATTCACTTCAAAAACTACTTAGATACGTTCCTGATGGCTACAGATACCCCCATAGCTGAAATCCCCTTCAAAAACTACTTAGATACGTTCCTGATGGCTACAGATACCCCCATAGCTGAAATCCCTTCAAAAACTACTTAGATACGTTCTGATGGCTACAGATACCCCCCATAGCTGAAATCCCCTTCAAAAACTACTTAGATACGTTCCTGATGGCTACAGATACCCCCATAGCTGAAATCCCTTCAAAAACTACTTAGATACGTTCCTGATGGCTACAGATACCCCCATAGCTGAAATCCCTTCAAAAACGACCTAAATACCTTCCTGATGGCTTCAGATACCCCCCATGGCTGAAATTCACTTCAAAAACTACTTAGATACGTTCCTGATGGCTACAGATACCCCCCATAGCTGAAATCCCCTTCAAAAACTACTTAGATACGTTCCTGATGGCTACAGATACCCCCCATAGCTGAAATCCCCTTCAAAAACTACTTAGATACGTTCCTGATGGCTACAGATACCCCCCATGGCTGAAATCCCCTTCAAAAACTACCTAAATACCTTCCTGATGGCTTCAGATACCCCCCATGGCTGAAATCCCCTTCAAAAACTACTTAGATAGTTCCTGATGGCTTTAGATACCCCCATAGCTGAAATCCCCTTCAAAAACTACTTAGATACGTTCTGATGGCTACAGATACCCCCATAGCTGAAATCCCTTCAAAAACTACTTAGATACGTTCCTGATGGCTACAGATACCCCCCATAGCTGAAATCCCCTTCAAAAACGACCTAAATACCTTCCTGATGGCTTCAGATACCCCCCATGGCTGAAATTCACTTCAAAAACTACTTAGATACGTTCCTGATGGCTACAGATACCCCCATAGCTGAAATCCCCTTCAAAAACTACTTAGATACGTTCCTGATGGCTACAGATACCCCCCATAGCTGAAATCCCCTTCAAAAACTACTTAGATACGTTCCTGATGGCTACAGATACCCCCCATGGCTGAAATCCCCTTCAAAAACTACCTAAATACCTTCCTGATGGCTTCAGATACCCCCATGGCTGAAATCCCCTTCAAAAACTACTTAGATACGTTCCTGATGGCTTTAGATACCCCCATAGCTGAAATCCCTTCAAAAACTACTTAGATACGTTCTGATGGCTTCAGATACCCCCATGGCTGAAATCCCTTCAAAAACTACTTAGATACGTTCCTGATGGCTTCAGATACCCCCCATGGCTGAAATCCCCTTCAAAAACTACTTAGATACCTTCCTGATGGCTTCAGATACCCCCCATGGCTGAAATCCCCTTCAAAAACGACCTAAATACCTTCCTGATGGCTTCAGATACCCCCATGGCTGAAATCCCTTCAAAAACTACCTAAATACCTTCCTGATGGCTTCAGATACCCCCCATGGCTGAAATCCCCTTCAAAAACTACCTAAATACCTTCCTGATGGCTTTAGATACTTAAAATGATTTAAATACTGAATTAACATAAATAAAAAGTATTAAAAAGAATAAAAATAACTCAAAAAAAGGCATCTGGGCGCGGGAAGGGCCTTGGGGAAGAGAGGCGAAGAGAAAGGGGGCGTGGCCTCCCGGGGAGAGGGCCCCCACTCGTTTTATTAAGGCGCCACTTTCAAAGTTAATTTTAATAATTTAAACGAAAACTCTTTTATAATGTTTTGATCATTTAAGGGGTTTCTGACCGCGCTCTATCCGAATCCGAAGAGACCTAAGCTCTAGCTCCTTTCCCCTTCGAGTTATAGTTGGCTTCAGACAGACGGACAGACGGACACCACAGCAAAATTATTATAGTTGATTGAATAAAATGAAAAATGGCGTTTTTTACAAAATATCAAAAATCGGTAATTTTTCGCAAAATTTCTATGAACGTTTTCAGGGCCAAGGAATCAAACTGGAGCACCACTCCCGGATCCCATTCCACCCGAGAGAGAACGTGACGGTACAGATTGCCCTTCGAGAAGGAGCCGGATGGTATAATAGTCAATCGAGGAGACCCGCTGATAAGGTAACTGATTTAACGGGTGTAGTTTGTAGGCTGGATGCCAATTGAGCAATTCCAATCCAAAAAACATTGAGTCAGCTCCCAAAAATCAAAAAATTTGCCGCGGCTAGGAGTCGAACCTGGACCACGTGGATTACGGTTTTTAGCTATTTTAGTTTGGAAAATAGTTATAGTTTGTAGTCTGGATGCCAGTTAAAATATTCGGCTCTAAAAAATGACGAAAATTCCAAAAAGGCAAAAAGCTTGCCACGGTCGGGTATCGAACCCGGGGCCCTCGAGCAGAGACCACTTGCGGGATTTTAAGCCCGTTTTTTTCAGGCTGACGTGATGCGTGCCCTATCCGGTGTCTCTCTATTCCTCGTCCGTGCCATGTACAATCAGAATCAACTCCAGAGCAGCATCTTCGGGCTCACGCTTGATAAGGTAAGAAGTCTTGCAAAGTTGCACTTGGTACTCTTTTCATGGGCTAATCGGTTTGCCTTTGCCAAAAGGCGGCCAGTCCAAGGGCCCAAGGCCTCACCAAATTCAATTTTTCAGGCAGTTGCGAGGACCAAGGGAAATGCGCTAACCTCGGATATACTGATGAAATCGGTGGAAGTGTGCGAATGCCCCGAGGGAACATCCGGGAACTCTTGCGAGGTAAGGATCTATTCTCTCGCTCTCTCGCCTCTCTGCCTCTCACACTCACCCCCCCTCTCTTTCACGCTCTTTCTCTATCTCTCTCCCTCTCTCACTCTCTCGCTCTCTCTCCTCTCTCTCTCTCTCTCTCTCTCTCTCTCAGGCTTTCTCTCTCCCTCTCTCACTCACTCTCTCTCGCTCTCTCGCTCTCTATCTCTCTCTACCTCTCTCTCTCTCTCACTCTGTCTCTCTCTTTCTAGCTTTATAAGATAGATAGCGTAATTCATTGATGCCTCCGTTGAGAATTTCGTGACGTAATGGATTGATTGTTCTTTCTCTTCTCGGTCCCTTTAAAATTCAACTTCTGTATTTTCAGTCTTGCCCCCATGGCTATCGTCGTGTCGACAATCAACTCTTCAACGGACGATGCGAGAAATGTGACTGCAATGACCACGCCGATTCTTGTGATCCATTTACTGGCGAATGCACTGATTGTCAGGTAAGAAATACAAACTACAGACTACAAAAAACCTCCAAAACACAAACTCCAAAACTCAAAAAACCGGTTGACTACAGACTACAAATACTTCAAATCGTCTCAAAAACTACAGACTACAAAAAACCTCCAAAACACAAACTCCAAAACCAAAAACCGGTTGACTACAGACACAAATACTCAAATCGTCTCAAAAACTACAGACTACAACCAGGCAAATCAGCTAGAAAAATGGCCTACAAACTATAAAATACAGACTACAAACTCACAGACTACAAAATCCATGCTGGAAAACAAGTTTAAATTCGATTATTAGCACAACACGACCGGCTCACGCTGCGAGATGTGCCTCCCCGGCCACTACGGTAATCCGTCGCTTGGCGGGGAATTCGGGTCTTGTCAACCGTGCGCATGCCCGACGCTCGACAACAATTACAGCAAGGAGTGTGCGTTGGCTCAGGTAAGCCGTTTCGAGCTTTTGAGGCTACAAACTACAAAGCATCGTCTATAGGCTACAAAATCCATTTTTTTAGCTGGTCGTCTCCGGTTCGGCCGCCTCGACTCAAGATGCCTACGTTTGTACGGCTTGCGAACCTGGATACGAAGGGAATAAGTGCGAAGTATGTTTTGCGACCTTTGTTAACATTAAAGTGTCGTAATCGATTACGCGATGGAAAGATGGGGCGCGGGCAAAACAACTAGGAAATGTCTTACGAATCCCTTTAAAACATTATAATTTCTAGATGTGCGCCGATGGGTACTGGGGAGATCCTCTTGAAGTCAACGGTACGTGCCTGGAATGCGAGTGTAACGGAAATATCGATGCGATGGCTATTGGAAATTGTGATACGAAGACGGGAAAATGTTTGAAGTGTATTGGACATACGACTGGAGAGGAGTGTGAGGTGAGAGAGAGAGAGAGAGAGAGAGAGAGAGAGAGACAGAGAGACAGAGAGAGAGAGAGACAGAGAGAGGGAGAAAATTAGAGAGCGGGAGGGAGAGAGACGGAGAGAGGGAGAGAGTGAGAGAGAGCAAGCGAGAGAGAGAGAAAGAGAAAGGGAGAGACAAACTTTATCCCTTTCAGAAATGCCTTCCCCATCACTTTGGCTCTGCCCTGACCCATACTTGCCACCCGTGTGGATGTCATCGGCAAGGAGCTGTATCGCTGGAATGTCATGAAGGTATGGTAGTGGAAGAGGCAATCTGGCAGAGATCTCTTGAGGAATGTGAAAAAAACTGTTGTGCCATTCGATAAGCTGCCAGGCAGGCTAGCAGCAAACATTCCCCCTCTTTCAGGCAGTGGCGTGTGCGAGTGCAAAGATCACTACATCGGCCGTCACTGTGACCAATGCGAAGAGGGCTATGGTGATGTGGATAATGGATGCGAGGAGTGCGGGTGGGTGGAATTTTATCGATTTTTTTCCACTTTTTTGGAGGTTCCCTAAGCGTTTCGGCTAAATCACCTGCCAGTTAAAGGCCTGGTCAGCGCAGAAAAATTGTGCTAACTTCTAACGTTGGAAAAAATCGGTAATTGGCGATTTTCAGGTGCGACGCTACCGGCTCGGTTGGATCAGAATGTGACCAGGTTTCCGGCCAGTGCACCTGTAAACAGGGTGTCTTCGGAAAACGGTACGATTTTTGTGATAATTTAATAGCGTAATCGCTTATTTACGGCGAATTTAATGAGATAACCGATTTTTAAAACGAATTCACAGCGTAATTGATCATTTCTTTCAGTTGTGACCAATGCCGCCCTTCCTATTTCCAATTCTCGGATTCTGGCTGCCAATTCTGCAACTGTAACACCTATGGATCGATCGAGGATGGAAAGGTAGGTTCCTTAAGCAAAAAGCAAAACCTTGACCTCCGGCGGGACCGAACCCGGGTTGATTTCCTGGAGTCCTAACCTCTAACCGATTAAGCCATCGAGAAATTTTCGATTTCAGTGCGACAACGTGACGGGCGCTTGCCAATGCCGTTCATGGGTTGAGGGACAAATGTGTGAGAAATGCGTCGAGGGATATTTCAATATTTCCTCCGGAAATGGATGCCAACCCTGTGAATGCGATGATACTGGAGCTGAGGTAGGGTTTTTGGTTCAATGGCTGACAGTCTAGCAGAAAACACTAAAAGCTCTTGAAAAATTCGTTAAAGGCCTCTGGAAAGATGGGATTGTTCAAAAAGCAAGAAGAGGTGCACCGGGCGGGGGTCGAACCAGGGATGGTCCGCCCCGCAATCGAACGCGCTACCCCCACACCAAAGGGGTCGAGTGGGTGAGGGCGGCGGAGGGGCCCCAAGTACCCTAGGGCCGAACTGGTGCACGTTCCTGGGCAACAATTCAAAATAAAGCTATTTACAAATAATAATAACGAAAAAACCTACGGAAAAGCTTGCTAAGGGCGAGAAACGTGCTCCCTGAATTTCCTGAAGTGTTTTATACCCTTTCCGACGATTTTTGAACTAAAAAGCGCCCCAAAAACCTCTTTCCGCTCAGAACATGGCTGCCTTCTATCCAATCAGCCTCAAATTTTTATCACCGATGGGGATGGCTAAAAACTATTTTTATGGAAGTTTCCAGCCAAAAATATAGTCAATCAAAAAAGTTATGGCTATAAAGCCGTTTTCTGGGAACCCAGTCGGGGGTTTTGGGGGCCCTTACGCGATGGAAAGCGTGCATGGTATCGCCCCGTCGGTCCCTCACCCCTGGGGACGCCCGGCCATCTTTCCAAGGGTCTTTAAAAATTGAGAAATGACAAATAGCGAACCTCAGAAAATGAATCCGGTATCAGGGTATCTAGCAAAGATCCTTTGAGATTTTCTATATTTGTTGTCATTTTTGGGTGCATCATTGCAAGCCAGTTTAGCGGAAACAATTGAAAAATTCGCAATAAACCATGCACAAAATCGCAAAAATGACAAATAGCCAACCTAGAAAATGAAAAAAACCCGCCAGCTAGCAGAAACACTTTGCTATTTTCGGGTGTATCGTTATTTTTGAGTGTAACGCCTCGCAGTCTAGCAGAAACTCTCGCTGTTACCATCCCTTGAAACCGCCATTTTTAGGGCACTGCCTGCGACCTTGTTTCCGGCCAATGCAAATGCAAGCCGGGCGTGACCGGGCTGAAATGTGATCAATGCGCGCCGAACCATTGGGGATTGTCGGATAATGGGTGCAAAGGTATGCTACGGGATCGATTACGCCATTTAATTACCCTAAAGAGCATGTAATCGATTACCACAGGTAATCCTGTGATTTTTAGAATGTGCCGTCTGCCCGGCCGTTGGTCAAGTGTGTGATGCGGTAACTGGAGAATGTGTCTGCCCACAGAATACCGAGGGAGAATTGTGCGAGAGATGCTCGGCTGACAGCTGGGATTATCATCCATTGAAGGGGTACTGTAATTGGATCGTTCTCTCTCCTTCTCACTCTCTCGCACTCTCTCGCTCTCTCTCACTCTCGCCCTCTCTCTCTCTCTTTCTCTTTCTCTCTCGCTCACTCTCACTCCCTCTCACTCTTCCCCTCTCACCCTCTCGCCCTCTCTCGCCCTCTCACTCTCTCTCGCCCTCTCGCGCTCTCTCTCATTCTCTCTCTCGCTCTCAAGCTATATTCTGCCAGACAGTTTAGCCATTTCTGACTTCACTGGTCCTTTAAACTAAATTTTACCATTTTTTCAGCTGCAAAAAGTGTGAATGCTCGAAAATCGGAGCTGCCGGCAGCAAGTGTAACCCCAGGAATGGACAGGTAAAAACAACAAAAAAACCGCTATATAATTTTAGTGCGAATGCAAAGAGGAGTTCGTCGGACTGAAATGCGATCGATGCTCGCATGGTAAGTCACAGATGGCTTTTGCCGAATTTCGAGCGGAATTTGCGGCGCCCGGACTTCAAAGTCCCGAAAAATACCGAAAACTAGATATCTTTTTCAGGATTCTTCAACTTCCCAATTTGTGAGCCATGCGCTTGTCAGCCAGAAGGGACAGATCCTCTGCAATGTCGTGAAGGGCTGTGTCTCTGTGATGAGCAAGGGAAATGCCCGTGCAAGGTATGGGGTTACGGTAGCTGTGGCGCTGCAATCCTTCCCAGTCTCTTGAAAACCTAGTTTTTCTTCTGGGGAATAGATGGGCTGGCATACAGTTAGTACATTTTCGTAACTAAATCCCGATTTTGACGCTGCGTTTTTCAGAAAAACGTCATCGGAGCCAAGTGTGACCAATGTCGTGACGGTGCCTTTTCGCTCGACTCCTCGAATACGTTGGGCTGCACGGATTGTTTCTGCTTCAATCGATCATCAACTTGCCGGCAGGCTAACCTCGCCTGGTGCGTTTTCAAGAGCGTTAACCAATTATTTTTTCGCTCTCAGGAAGCAAGTGTACGCAGAAGAACAATCGGCCGTCTTCCAGGAACCCTGGGAATTCTACACCCAAAAGCACAACATTCGCTTACTACAGGTAATCAGGCTCTATTCGATTACGGCACGTATTTTTTCCAGGAGCATTCCGGAACCCCGTTCAACTCGTACCCAACCGATGATACCCCTCTATATTGGCAGCTTCCCAAGACATTCCTCGGCGATAGGACTGCCTCGTACAATGGATTTTTGAGATTCAAGGTATCGGATTTTGGGTTCTCGGTCCCTTTAAAGGGCCCGGCAAGGCATTTTCTATGGATTTTTCGCAACCCGCGTCTTGACATCACATTGAGAATCGATTACAAGCTCTTTATGGCGCTCAGGCGAGGCGTGAGCGTTGCGTGTCGCGGCGCGACGCGACAAAATCCATGGCCATGCCTTGCCGACCCCTTTAAAATCTGGGCTACGGTGATATAAAAACTCCAAAGTACGAATTTTTGCAGATCTGGAACAACGACAATCGCCTCGGCGTTGAAGGTGTTCGGCCAAACCCAAAGGTGTTCCGCTACTTTCCGCAGGTACGTTTTGGGGTTACGGTAGTGAAAACCCCTGTATTTTCAGGTGATCCTCGTCGGGAACAACCGAATCGAACTCGAGCACATCCCATTCGATATCAGCGATGATGGAAAGTACAAGGTACATCTATTTACGATACGTCTATGACTTTTTAGGTCCGGATGCATGAATCTGAATGGCGAAGCCGGCAATCCCCCGAAGTGGCCGTCAGCCGGAAGCTGCTCATGGTCGCCCTTCAGAATATTCAGGGCGTGTATATCCGTGCTTCGTACAACTACCCGTCTCGTGGGGATACCATCTCCATTGCAGAGGTCAGTTTTTGGCCTCTTTGGGGCCTTATAAAGCAAAATTCCAATGTCGTACGCTAGTGCAATTTGATAGAGCTTCTTTTCTTCTTTTGAATGGTGTATTTGACCTGGCTATGGTACCCCTAGACCTTGAGAGAAATTGGCCGGAAAATAGGAAAAATGACCAAATCGAATTTCTGTCGTCTTTGGAGCCCCATTAAATGAGATTCCAATAGGCTACAGTATTTTACAGTATGTAATTTGGATAGAGCTCGTTCTTCTCTTTCGAATGTTTTACGGTATTTCGTTACAGTACCCCTAATCGTCGCGATAAATGGCCCGGAAAAGTGGAAAAAATCGAAAATCTTGAAAAATTTTATTTGCATCTTGTCCTTTTCCATTTTTCTTTTTCAGATTTCCCTCGACGTGGCTTCAGAAGACAGCCACGGTCCCGTGGCACTTGGCGTCGAGGAATGCATCGACTGTCCCCAGGGTTACGGTGGTGGCTCTTGCCAGGACCCGGCGAAAGGATACTACCGTAGTCGAGAGAGGGATTTCCTCAATTCGCCCGATGATTTGGCCCCGATTGGATGGAGTGAACCGTGTGCTTGTCATGCCCATACTACCACTTGTCATCCAGAGACTGGCGTTTGCATGGTAGGCTGGCAGAGGCCATTTGCGGAATTTTTCGGAAAATTGGCCGTATCTTTGCGTAGCTTTATTCGATTTTGATGCTTTTTTGTATCAATTCGTAGCCCTTGCAATCCTGGATCTTATGAAACTAAATCCCAAAAATTTACCTCGTATGGGGCAAACAGGCAAAGACCATTGGTGGAATCATTGAAAAATGACCGTAACTTCGCGTAGATGCAGTAGATTTTGATGATTCTTGTAACAATTTGTCGCCCTGAAAATGCTGCGCCAAATACGTTATTTTACAGGCTAGCGAGCAGAGATCATTTGCGGAATTTTCAGGACTGCGCCGACAACACGTGGGGAGACCGTTGCGAGTTGTGTCTGGAGGGATATGTTGGAGACGCTACGAGAGGAGGAGCGCTGGCTTGTACGAAATGCGCTTGCCCGCTTGTCGACAACTCGTTCAGGTCGGTGTCACGCTCCCTTTAAAACCAAAAATTTTAGCAAAACCTGCGTGCCGGTGGAATACGGTAGAGGATACCTCTGCGACTCGTGCAAACCCGGATATACTGGACAGTACTGCGAGAGGTAGGTAGAGAGAGAGAGAGACAGCGCGAGAGCGAGAGAGAGTGAGAGAGAAAGAGAGAGAGTGAGTGAGAGAGAATGGAAGAGAGAGAGAGAGAGAGAGAGAGAGAGAGAGAGAGAGAGAGAGAAGAGAGAGAGAGCGTGGAGAGACAGAGCGGGGGGGGGGGGGGGGGGGGGGGGGGGGGGGGGGGGGGGGGGGAGGGGGGGGGGGGGGGGGGGGGAAGGAGAGAGAGAAGGAGAGAGAGTCAGCGCAAAAAATTCTTAAACCCCACGAATTTAGTTGCGTAACCGGATATTACGGCGACCCGTCCTCAATTGGCGGCCAATGTATCGAATGTGATTGTCATCCAGATGGTTCTCTCCATGGTTCTTGCCATCCATTGACTGGAGAGTGCGAGTGCAAGTATGTTTTTGAAGTTTTGAAGGGCTTTTAATGACGCTTTAGAAATAGAAACCTTGAGGGAATTAACGCAAAAAACGCCTTAGCTATTGCGATAAATTGTTTTTAGACCGGGCGTGACAGGCCGTGACTGTTCTCGTTGCCAGGAACGCCACGCTTTCATCAACCGGAAATGCACTTGTAGGTATTTTTGGTCAGATTTTCATCGCCTAACCGGTTATTCGAATTGATTCCATAAACCGCTAAATCGTGAACGGTTGTAGTATGTAGCCTGGATGTCAGTTTAGCTTTTCCATTTAAAATCTGGGCAAAAATGCCAAAAAGCAAAATGTTACCCCCAGGTGGCGGTCGAACCCGGGTCTTGCGGGCGCTTCTATTTTTTTACCAAACTCCGGTTGTGGTCTGTAGTCTGGATGTTATTTTTCCGTTTGTCGTCGAAAACTGAGCCTAAATACCCGAAAGCAAAAAATTCGTCGCGGCGGGGGTCGAACCCGGGTCGTGTGCGTGACAGCCTAGCGCACTACCATTACACCATCAGATTTTTTACTCTTTTTTTAGCTTGTGACCAGGGCTGCTACCTGGAGTTGATGCTGGATATTGATGATCTGGAGGAGACGCTGGCTGAGCAGGTAGATACTTCTAATTCTATTACCGTTAAAAAACGGCTTAAAATGCGACAAAGCCCTTTAAACTTTACGAACATTTCCAGAACTTCACCAACCTGCGGCCAATCCCTTGGAAACGCGTGGGTAGTATTGAGAACAGCACTGCACGTACGTTTTTTCCTAGAAACAACCCCGAATTTCATGTCGTAATCGGTTCGAAATCGTGTTTTTTAGCGATTACGCATTCAATTACGCAATGAAATAATTCGATCGAATTCCAGTACTCCGCGAATTCGTCGGTGGTCTTGCTGTTGACCCATCGGATCTGAACATTCTCGACATCCAGGGAAAGAGCAAATACGCCAGAGAAGCCGATGCGGTCGTCGATGAGGTACGGCAGAATTTGAAGGCCTCATTTTCCTCCTTTCAGGCGAATTTTATGGGAGAACGAGCCGCCCGTGCCGAGCAGGACATTCTGAATTACACGACCAGGGCTGAAGGGATATCTCGAGATGCACAGGCTGCATTCAAACAATCATTCAACACCACGCAATTCTTGAAACATTTTGCGAGATACGGTACGTTTTCATGGCGTAATCGGATAGCTGTCAGCGCTAGAGCAGGAGAGAGAGAGGGGGGGAGAGAGAGAAACAGAGATAGAGAGAGAGCGAGAGAGAGAGAGAGAGAGAGAGAGAGAGAGTTGGAGAGCGGAGAGAGAGAAGGCATAAGAATTGCAGGAACCCTGTTATCCTTGAAATTCTCAAAGAATCTCTTCTAGCCAGCCGGGCAATCTAGCAATGATTCTTTGCGAAAATAACCTAAAATGTAATTTTTCAGGCGGAATCTCGGTGGGAGCCGGACAAGTCGAACTCTGGGCTGCTGAGGCTGAGGCTCATCAAAATGCGACCATTGAAAGGGGCCGCTATGTGGAGAAGAGACATGGAAGAGTCCAGGGCGCCAAGGTAAATTCTTCAAAAAAATTTCGAATTCGGTTTTCAACTTGATAATGCTGCCATATATCGTATTTATTGCTTTGTCATCAATACCATTCCTGTTTCGGTCCAGTAGTGATCGAGTGAGAGCGTTTTCCCTGAAATCGATTGGTAGTTTAACGTTTTTTGGCTTAGGAGGACCGTGGCTGATTGGTTAGTGTCCAGAACTGTCAATCTCAGGGTCGAGGTTCGAATCCGCACAGCGCAAAAATTTTTGCTTTTTGACCAAGGGGTTCCTTGGGAGCCAGTTGAACTTTCGAGAGAGCGTGGCTAATTGGTTAATCGTGGAACCGCCAGTCCGAGGGTCGAGGGTTCGAATCTGGCCTTAAGATTTTTTACTTTTTGGTTAAAACTGCTGAAAATTGGCATTTTGTGTTTTCTAAGTTGTTCCTTGGGAGCCAGTTTAAGTCTCTAGCACGTGGCTGATCGGTTGGGCTCAGAACTGGTGATCCGAGGGTCGAGGGTTCGAATCCTGGCCGCGGCAAAGTTTTTGCTTTTTTGGGGAATGTGGTGCTTGAGGAGGCCTTTTTTGAGACGCGAAACCTCTAAAAAAACGTACCCTGCCGCCGTTCTGGTTCCTGATCGGCGATGTGACCTGCGCATCAGCAGCCAGCCAGAAGATGACCACGAAGATCAGTGCGAGAACGCGCATTTTTCGGGATTTCTTGGGGTTTTTTGTGGGTATTTTTCCCCTTGAAATTCGGCGTTTTTATACCGAGCTTGACCCCAATATTCTCACAGTACAACGGCCTATTTCCGCGAAATTTTGGCCATAAATCACCCCAAAAAGGCCGATTTTTTAAAAATTCCAATTTTTGGGGCCATAAAGAAAATTTTATGCTTTTTTGAGGCTAAAAATCAATTTTAAACGGCTTAAAATTGCTACGGTACTCTTAAAAATCCAGAAAAAAAAAGAACACACAGCAATTTTTTGGCGATTTTTCCGACCTTCCGTGAAATTAGATTCCAGTGGGATACGGCAGCTTACAGTATGCCAATTGGTAGAGCTAGTCCTCCTCTTTGGCTTGGTATATCCCACGTAGCGACAGTACCCATAGACGTCAAGAAAAAATGACCCGAAAGTGGGAAAAATCGGCCGAGAAAACGCATCTCGTCTATCTCCGAGGGCTATAAAACGAGATTCCGGTGGAGTACGGTAGCGGACAGTATACCATTTGATAGAGTTCGTTTTCCTCTTTCGAATCGCCGTCGGCCCCTACAGTACCCTGAGGTCAGCGAAATGGCCGCAATCAAAAATGACGAAATCCAGATCTCTTTCAGTGGAGTTTATAGTATACCACTTGATAGAGCTCGTTTTTCTCTCAATTGCTATACTGTATCCCCCTACAGTACGCCTGGGCGTCCACAGAAATGGGTCGGGAAAAAATCCCTGCCAAATTACCATTTTTCAGACAAAAACCGACGAGCTGATGAAGAAGGTGCTGCAGCTTAAGCTCAACGACACGGCATTTGAGGAGATCAATCAGGTATCCACGCATTAATGAGTCTGAAATTTCCCAAATTTTCTCTGCTAGCTGCCCTTCGATATGATGACCCTTCCGGCAGTCTAGCAGCGATTATTTTGGAAATTTTGGCTCTGGTTTAAAAATTCCGCATGGATTCCTGCTAGCTGGCTGCCAGTCAAGCCACTGAAGGCGAGCTAGCAGAGATTCGTTGAGGAATTCCAAACGGTCTCCGTCCACCTGCTAAAACTCATTTTTAGCGCCTCGTCGACGTCGAAGGGCTCGTTGAAGATTTCCGGACGACCGTATATGAAAAAGCAAAGAAGGACGGGGCTGATGCATCGAGAATGAGTACCGTAGTATCGAAGCGAATCGAGAGATATCGAGAGGTTGCCGGGCAGATTGATACGTTGAGGGCTGAAGCGGAGGATGCGTTGAGGTGAGGATGGCTGTCTGTCTCTTTATCTGTATGTCTATCTGTCTCTCTTTCTCTCTGTCTCTCTCTCTCTCTCGCTCTCTCTCTGGCTCTCTCTCTCTTCTCTCTCCCTCTTTCTCTCTCACTCGCTCTCTCACTCTCTCTCTCTCTCTCACTCTCTCTCTCTCTCTCTCCTCCTCCTCTCTCTCTCTCTCTCTCTCTCTCTCTCTCTATCTCTCTCTTTCTCTCGCCACCCTCTGCCCAAGATTATGGTGCCGTAACCGATTACGCAATGATAAACCGAGGCATGCGCGTTGCGTGTTTCACCACAAAAACCTATAGCGAATCGCGACTTTAACGTTCCTTTAAACCCCTTCTTTCAGCAATGCCCGTTCGGAAGTGTCCCAAGCCCGTGAAGGCCAACTCCTCGATGCCTACGATAGCTATCAGAAGATCAGAGATAGTCTGGCGGCCGCTGCTGAACACGCCAATACACTCACCAATCTGTCGAACAGGTAGGGCAAGCTAGCAGGGATCATTTAAGTCGGAATCCTTCAGCTACGCCCAACTGACCGACGAGTACGATGACGCCTATGTACAGCCGTCATCAAAACACGCAATGGAATTGGCAAAACATTCGAGGAGAGTGGGAGACGCCTTCCGAACGACGAAAGCGGAAGCGGCAAATCCGTTGAAGGCATCGGCGGCCTATGATGATATTGTTGGAGCGTTGAGGAATGCGACGATGGCTGTCGAAAAGGCGCAGGTAGGCGAGAGAGAGAGAGAGAGAGAGAGAGAGAGAGAGAGAAAAAGAGGGAGGGAAAAAAAGGGAGGGGAGGGGGGGGGGGGGGGGGGGGGGGGGGGGGGGGAGGGGGGGGGGGGGGGAGGGGGGAGAGAAAGCGTCGATAGACGGTAAAAATCACCCAAAATACCATGGTTGTTCAAATGAGAAGGCATGCTAGCAGTGACCATTTACGGAATAGCTAGACGAGATGGCAGATAGCTGAAATCTTCATGGGGTAGGCTAGCAGAGACACTTTGTGGAAATTCGAACCCAAAACATGGGAGCAGAGAATTGGGAAAAGGGGGAGGGAGCCGCCGCCGAATTTTCCAACGGCAAGCTAGCAGAGACCATTTGATCGTTTCAGGAGGCCGTGACCGAGTCGCACAATCTGGCCGTCGGATCTGGTGAAGAAGAAAAGGAGAAGGGATTGGCGGTTCTGGTGGCGGGCAGTCAAGAGTACAGTACCGTACTATCTGGAGAGGCCGCATCGATTCAGGATTTGGTCGTCAGAAGATCTGGCTGCAAAGGGGAAAGCTTTGAAGGAAAGGCTGAGTCTTGTCAATGAGCAGATCATCGATATGACGAGGAGGAAGGACGCTATTAGACGTAAGTATTTCAATTTGGTACTAACTGACGTCCGCTTAATCGGAATTGATGGTTCCTAGGGGGCGTAGGTAGGAATTTGATGGAATGGGCAAAGTGGCAGATCGGACTTTTCGACCCTTGTCTTCATAATCCCTTTAGTACCCGGATTTTATCAAAAATATTTTTTGACTCGGCAAATTGGTTGGCAGTTAAAAGGATTGACTAGCAGAGAGCACCTAGGAAGCTTTAGAAAATTATGGTAATAGGAATTTGAAGAAATAGCAAATTGGCAGATCGGACTTTTTCGACTTTTGACTTCATGGCCCCTTTAAAATCAAGAATTTTAGAAAAAATTGTTATGGAATGGCTAGACTGGCTGGTTGATAGGCCAAATCACCATCGAGTTCTCGTTTCAGCCCAGCTCGAAAACTTTGACGATCAACATGAGAGGATGGGTGGCCTGCAACAGATGGCTGTAGAGAGTGAGGAGAGAGCGAGGGAAGCCAAGGAAAAAGCGGAGGGGATGAAGGAGGAAGTTAGAGAGGTAAGGAGAGAGAGAGAGAGAGAGAGAGAGAGAGAGAGAAGGAGAGAGAGAGAGAGTGAGAGAGAAATTGAGAGAAAGCAAAAATCGAACTATTTTTCAGATTGGCGAACAGACCGACAAACTGGCCAATTCGACGGCTGAAGGCATCCGCGAAGAGATCGACAAGGTATCGTATCATTTTCAAACGATAAATCCACTGACAGCTTAACGTTTCAACCGTTTTTTCACTTCATAAAACGCTTTTCTATGTTTTTACTTCGCGTAATCGATTATCCAGCGCGCAAAAATGGTTAAAAAATCATAATTTGACATTTTTTAAATTTTTTGTGTTTTTTTCGATATGCTTGCCCTTTTTCCAGATAACCCTGGCCCGAAGCGAGCTGTCATCATCGTCAGATAACCTGAGCCGGACTCGGAATGAAATGGCGATAAATGGGGAGAGAATGGCTGATGTCGAGAGGAGAATTGCATTGCTGAAGGAGAGAATCGAAGAGACGAGGGAGAGAGCTAGACAGGTAGGCAGAGAGAGAGAGAGAGAGTGAGTGAGAGAGAGAGAGAGAGAGAGAGAAAGAGAAGAGAGAGACAGAGAGTGAGAGAAACAGAGAGAGCAAGAGAAAGAGAGGGTGAGAGAGAGAGCAAGAGAATGAGCGAGAGAGAGAGATAGTAACTGTGAGTGAGAGTGAGAGAGAAAGAGATAGGAAGAGACCGAGTAAGCGATTACGCCATGAATTTCCAGGTTCCCCTCGCCCTGCGTGCCGATGAACGTGGCCACTGCCGTCGTTCATACATCTCCCCGGCCGCGCCCTCATCTGCCAATCGTTTCCACGTAAAATTCCGCCCTCTAAAGGTACTCGGAAGCACCAACCGGTTACGCCATCAAATTCCAGGGAGTCCCGGATGCTGTTATTTTCTCCACACGAACGAAAGGAAGAAGGACACAGGCCAGCGAATACGTTGCTGTTGAGGTAAAAATTTTACCATTTTTTGCCTCGGTCTATCCGATTACGACACCTAAATTGGATTTCTGACAATTTTTAACTCGGTTGCTGGACCATCAGCCATTTTTTCGCCTAAATTGGCTCTTGTAACCCTGAAATTTAGCCAAAATTCTATTTTTGATCCGATTACGACATGAAATTTGAAAATTTCTGTCCAATTACGCGATCCATCATTTTTTTGAGTTTATTTCCGGATCTCTGATGCTTTACCCCTAATTAGCTTTTGAAATCGTCGTAAAGACCCAAATTCTGAGAATTCAGGCCAGGTCCATCCGATTACGCCATATAATTCCCCGTAGCTTACGCCATTTATTCCAGGTTGTTGACCGTCGTGTTGTTGCCCATTGGAACATCGGAGGCGGGAAGAAGAAGGTGACCAACACGCACCCCATCAATTTCATCCCACACTCCGATCGGGCGGCCACCGGAACTTGGTCAGTTTGGGGCTCAAAATTTCCTAAAATGGTCTCTGTTAGCCTGCCCTTTTGAAAACTGCTTAACTGGTTTCCAAAATACCGATTCCGCAAAGAATTTCTGCTAGCTCGCCATGTTTTTCCGAAATTTTCGCTGCTAGCTGCCTTGAAATCAGTCCTTGCCGTTTTTGGGCCCTAAATCTTCCCAAATGGTCTCTGCTAGCCTACCAGTTCGGATATAGGCTAACTGGCATCCAGTCTACCTATTTCCCAAGGAATCTTTGCTAGCCCACACCTCATTTCCTGAATACCCTCTGCTATCTACCCAAAAACCCAGTTTTTAGGTCTTAACTTTCCCCAAATAGTCTCTGCTAGCCTGCCTGCCACTTTGGATATAAGCTAACTGACATCCCGTTTATCGATTTTCCAAAGGACCTATGCTAGATTGCCCCCATATATCCCAAATAATCTCTGCTAGCTGCCTCGCACTCAACCACTCAGCTTTTCGGGCGCTGATTTGTCCAAAATGGTCTCTGCTTGCCTACCACTTCGGATATAGGTCATCTGCCATCCAATCTACCTATTTCCCAAGGAATCCCTGCTAGCCTGCCCTCCCTCCCAAAAATATCACAAATTTCATGCCAATTTTTTCAGGTACCACATTGACGTCTCGCGTACCGGCGACTCGGTGAATCTTACCGTATCCCTTCGCGAGTCGACAATCGGAGAAGGATCCCCATTCCGTTCGGATCCAATTTCCGTCTCTGCCGGTCAACATTCCTCAAGTGGAGACTCCATCTTCAATACCGTACCCGGGGAGACCGAACTCGCTTTTGGGACGACGAAGGAGGAGGCGAAAGAACTCGGCCTTGCCTCGTCGCAATTCAAGGGGATTATAGGAGGCCTTAGGGTCGATCAGGTTCGATTTAAAACTATAAAAAACATAAAAATTGAATTAGAAAAAATTTTTCTAAATTTTGAAAAATTCTCAATGCCAAATTTCGATTGTAGTTTGTAGTCTGCCGGCCAGAAAGCTTAAAAAGTTCTATCGAATTGCTTTTAAACTATTTAAAGTAGTAAAAAAATTGTATCAAAAAATAACTTTCCGAAATGTAGAAAAAATTTGGTTTTTTGCAGATTTTACATTTTCGAGTTTTGTTTTGTGTTGAAGTTTGTCGTTTCTTTTTGGAAAAAACCGGAAACCCAAAAAATCCATTTAATTTTTAAATTCAAACTTAACTGAAAAATTAATTTCCTGAATTTCGAAGTGAATTTTTGTAAGCTTCCAGTAAAAAAACCCGTAATGTTTAGTGGGCGCTTTTTAAACTGCTTAAAAATGATAAAACTCCAATTTTATTAATTTTAATGTTAAAACTTTGAAAAATTGTTTTTTTGTTTTTTTTTCTGGTAATTTATGCGGCTAGATTTGTAGTCTGCTATCAATCTATCGATTACACAACGAAATTGTACTTTGGCTGTTTTTCAGACACCGCTCGAGCTGTGGGCGTTCCAAGAGTCGACCCAAGAATGTGAGGGCGCTACCCCGCCACCAAATTCGGCGCCTCCAGCCCAGCACTTCCGGTACGTGAGCGTTTCGCTATTAAAGGAATGGTGACTCGAATTCCCTAAAGCTATTCGATTACGCCATATAATTCGGGTACCTACCGCCTGTCACCATCCCTTTAAACCGATTACGACATGGAATTCGGGCCATCTGTCTGGTAATACAATACGAAAATACCGTAACCCGGCCTGTTCCTGAATTTTTGAACCAATTACGACATGAAATTCGGATTCCAGCGGCCTGCCACCATCCCTTTAAACCGATTACGTCATGGAATTCGGTTTTTCTGGCGTCCAACAGTGGAAAAAAATAATTTTTAGCGACGGCTTCGCGGTGATCAACCTGCCAGTCAGCGAGCGTACGGTTGCGTCACTTACCGTAGCCTTCAGCACGTACTCGACGGAAGGTACTGTATTTTTACGTGCCTTTTAACTTAACGTCCCGAAAAATCCAGCAAAAATACAAAAAAAAATCCAATTTTCAGGATTACTGTACTTCCGCGGAGACGAGCACAGCCGCGATTTCTTGGCCCTCTACATGGAGAAGGGGCACATTGTATTCAAGGTATCGCAGTCGATCGTAGCCTACCGTAACCCCACTGTAGATAAATGTGGGCGGGGCCTCGTCGGCCGAGATTCGCTCCGGCAGTCCGTATTCCGATGGACAACAGCATACGGTGAAGGCGATCAGGAATGGAATGGAAATGCATCTACAGGTACTGTAGTTTTGTAATTGTCATTTTTTACTGATTTTTCAGGTGGATTCCGATGCAGATAGGAGAAGTACAGTAATCCCGGGGCAGAACACGCAGATGAATATTCAAGGTGGGAGAGAGAGAAAGAGAGAGCTAGGGAGAGAGAGCGAGAGAAACAGAGAGAAACAGAGAAAAAGGGAGAGAGAGAGAGAGAGAGAGAGAGAGAGAGAGAGAGAGAGAGAGAGTGAGAAATTACCATCTTTTTCCAGGAGATGCCCACTTCGTTGCGGGAGTTCCTCCAGAATACCGTACCTCGGCCTTTGCCCACCATGCAATCCAGTGGCGAGGATTTACTGGCTGTATTCTGTCAGTCAAACCGACCCAGGTACGCTTTTCCGCTTGGCTAGCATCCAATTTGGCCTATCGTACCCAAAGATCTAGGCTTACACGTCCCTTAAAATGTGTTTTTTTGCAGCTGCTCAACAGCTGCTCTGGGACCCAGTTCTGGCATTAGTACCAAAATTTGCCTTACAAGTCCCTTTAAAATATTGTTTTAAACGAAAATGGCTTCTCTAGGGGCCCGTTGGGGTTAGGGTAGCAAGAAACATTGCCTTACCAGTCCCTTTAAAATGAATTTTTGGGAGAATGGCTTCTCTGGGGGCCAGTTGAGGTTAAGGTGGCAAAAATTGGCCTTCTAAGGCCCGTTAAACTTTCTGTTTTGGAAAAATGGGTTAACTGGGATCCAGTTTGGCCATTCGTATTATAAATTTGCCCTACAAGTCCCTTTCAAATGAATCTTTTTGGGGAAATGGGTGAACTAGACTCCGGAGAAGCTTACCGTAGCAAAAATCAATCTTACCGTACCGAAACGTTGCAGGTGAACGACCTGAACATCGGTTCCCCGCTCCGCTCCCTGCGTCGATCGGCTGGCTGCCGTCTCCAACGAGGACATCTCGAGGCGGATGGATTGATCGGATTCCCGACACCCGGATATTTCGTTACACAAGGATTCGAGATTACGACAAATTCCTCGTAGGTGTCACGGTCCCTTTAAAACGAATTTTGTCTTTCCGATCCCTTTAAAAATCGATTTGCCGCAACGCGCACGTTCCGCAGAACCGCCAAAAAAATGCCGTAATCGATTACGTGATGAAATTGCGCGGCTGTAAGCGTTGCGCGTATATCGCTGCGCGGCAGAATCGTTAAGGGATCCGTATCCAAAAAAAACCTATAAATAATTCTTGTGTACCCCTTAAAAATCTGCTTTTTCCTTATGGAATTTTGCCTTCACGATCCCTTTAAAGCCACCTTTTTTTCAGGATATCCCTCACGTTCCGAACTCGCGAAGAGAACGGGACACTCCTCTTTACATCGGCTCAACTGCCGGAGCAACGGCAGAGGAGACAGGCCAGGCCGTTGGTAAGCATATTTTCGAAATCGCGAAATATCGATCGATTTCAGGGCTACTTGGCGCTATATCTCTTCCGCGGCTACATCGTCGCCCATTTCGGGTTGGATCCGGTGATGCGGGAGAGTGCCGTCACCATCAGATCGCCATTGGTATGTTTTTGGCTTCATGGTGCCTTTAAAAGTCTTATTTTGCAGAGATTTATGTCGGAATCGTTCAACTAACTGGCAGTTAGCCTAAATCTAGAACGGCAGGCTAGCAGAGACCATGTGGAAAAAGTTAGGCGCCTATGGATTTTACGTTGACAAACCCTTTAAAACAGCTTTTGGAGCAGAGACAATTTGCGAAATCCCTTAAAGGGATAGGGACGGCATAATGCAATCGATTACGCGCGGGAAAGAAAATGTCTCTGCGCCTCCCCCCTGGGCGCGCTCTCTGCCCTGTTGGCTACTTGCCAATTTGTTGATGGGGGGGGGATCGACACATGCCGTCGGCAGCCCTTTAACTGACTGGCAGCTAACGTAAATCCAAAAAAAATCGTTTTTTAGGCGTACAACGACGGAAATGCGCACTCGTTGTTCTTGGTGCGAGACGGAGACAAGTAGGTCCTCCCTCTCGCCCTCTCTCTCTCTCTCTCTCTCTCTCTCTCTCTCTCTCTCTCTCTCTCTCTCTCTCTCTCTGTCTAACGCCTCTTTTCCAGCCTCCGTATGCGTATCGATGACCGTGAAGTGGGCGTGGCCACGTTGGCCGATGAGGCACCAGTTGGCGGCAATTCACTACCGCTGTATATTGGAGGGTACGGTAGTTTTTGCGCGTAATTGGTTTTGGCACTTTGGCGTCCCTTTAAAACTCCCGGTGTGGGCGTGGTCGAGTGGCTAGCGTAACGGCCTTCCACCCTCAGCACCAGAGTTCGAATCCAGGAGGGGTTACAAGTTTTGCTTTTTGGCCCGAAGCGTGATAACCGTTTCTGGAGCCGGAGCTAATATGGATTTTCGTATTTAGGTTTCAATCGCGCCTCATAAACGGAATTTTCAGCTTCCCGCCCGGAATCGAGCCCCCGTCAGCCGAGATCCCGACGGCCGTCTCCCTCATCGGCTGCATCTCCGATTTGACGCACAACTTCAAGTTTGTATTTTGTACTTTATCTGTAGTTGCTTCATTTAAGCCGTCACCCGATCGTGCTACGTCATCAGAAGGCACTGCTCGGTGCATGCTCCCTGCAGCAACCACATCTACTCATCGGTGAGTCTATTCCTGAGACTTATCTACCTGCTATCTCTCACTCTCTCTCTCGATCTGTCTCTCTTCCTCTCTTCCATTTTATCTCTCTTTTCCAGACCACACAATCGATATCGACCCACCGGCCTCTGACCGGAAACAATCCCCAATCCAAATCGACCCAGAAATTGGGCCAATCGAGGTGATGAGGGATGATGCGAAACCCCTTCCAGTCGACCGTGATACGGTAGGTTTTTGGCTTCACTGGTCCTTTAATGGTTGACACGCAATGCGATCATCTCGCTTGGCAGCAAAAAACGTCGTAACCGATTTCGTCATGGCAGGCGAACGTCGCGTAGGCGAGAGAGAGAGAGAGAGAGAGATAGATAGAGAGTGAGAGAGAGGAGAGAGAGAGAGAGAGAGAGAGAGAGAGAGAGAAAGAAAGTGACAATCAAATCGTTCTTTCAGTGCACCCTGATCTCATCTGGCCAACGATCTGAGGGTGCGGCTCGTTTCGGAGTCGCCAAATCGTCGCATTCCCGAATCAATTTCGACAAAGATTCAACTCCGGATATACACTCGTTCTCCCTGCACTTCGAAGTTCGAACAGATGCCTCCGAAGGACTACTCTGGACATGGGCAAACTACAAGAATTATACACGCTATTTCTTGCTAACCGTCGAACAGGGATATCTCACTTTCCACATCAAGGGTACGTGGAATTTCATGTCGTAATCGCTTATTTGCAGGCCACCGCGAGCCTCGCCGTGCCATATTCTCGGATCGACGTCTCGATGATGGTCAATGGCATTCGATTCGTCTCGTCAAAACAGAGCGAGATGTTTTGATTGAAGTGGATGAGGGTCTGTCGCCATTGAGGATCACTGAATGCCCACATCCGAAGGTATACGTTTTAAAGGGACTAGGAAGGGATTATTCAACATAATACTACTAATATACTATACTACTAATATATAAAAAAATAGTGTCTGTGTGTGTGTGTGTGTGTCCGTGCCACTTTGCATACAACTTCCGTCAGCGTGTTCCAGTAGTATCTCAATAAAGGGGGTAGTTAGAGGTATTTATTATACCTCATCAGGTGCGTCATGGTCTTGGGATGACTGCACACTAATAAAATTTTCAAAAATTAGCTGTTTTCGACGTTAAAATTAAGTTTTTGTTGAAAAATCGAGAACCCTCTTTGTTAGGAAACAATTAGCATGCGCCGGAAATTGCGGCAGCCTATATTAAGGAAGAAAGGTAGCCTTTCTCATTTTTTGTCATCGAAAACGCGTGAATTATGTAAAGTAAAGAAAATCATGGGACCAGAAGGGGCCAGGGTTGAAAAGTCGCGAAGCGGCTTTTCAACCCTGGTTACTACTAAAAACCCTTCGCTCCCCTGCTAATACACTAGTCCTCAGGAATCCTCGATTCATTGGGCGAATTTAGAATCGTTAATTTTCAGGTGATGCGCCGTCGTATGTATGTTGGTGGTGTCATCTCGGCACATCGTCATTTCGGCCTTTCTCTGCCACCCAGTCTCCCGGGTTGTATTCGACAATTCACCGTCGATGATAGGTACGGTGGGCTAGAGACTACATAAATGGGGGGAGAAGGAGAGAGACCGCGAGAGAGAGAGAGAGAGAGCGCTAGAGAAAGAGACCGTTAGACAGCGAGAGAGAGAAAGAGAGAGAGAGAGAGAGAGAGAGAGAGAGAGAGATAAGGGGAAAGGGGGGGGGGGGGGGGGGGGGGGAAAAAGGGGGAAGGGAGGGGGGGGGGGGGAGGGGGGGGGGGGGGGGGGGGGGGGGGGAAGGGGGGGGAAGGAGAGGGAGGGGGGGGGGGGGGGTAAAAGGGAGAGACGGAGTACGATATAACTTTTTTCAGAAGCTACCCCCTTCTAACGGATACTTCTCGTGACGTCATCCCTTGTTCTCTATCACATTCCAAGGGCGCCTATGTGCACTCCGAAGGATTCGCTGTATTTGGTACGTTTTCCTAAAACACAACCTCCTAATAGAACGTCTGATTGCTCGTAATCAAATCGGTTTCTTGAATTTGGTCGCGTAACCGAATAGAAAGCGATAATTTCATGTCGTAATCGGCTAACTTTCTCCATTTCATCCCGTAATCGATTATGAACTCAGTTTAATGGTGGTCCATAGGGTTTCTCTTTTTATATCGTAATGGAATAGCAGCAAATTTTATTGCGTAACCAATTCCAGAGCCCTTGTCGAAGATCCGTTGGGAGGGTACGGTACCGTGGATCGAGATGGAAGTACGGCCGATTACTCAAAACGGAACACTTCTTGCATTGATGGCCAATTCGAACCCGAGAGATCGGATGGCATTGGAATGGAATGAGGGAATGGTAAGAGAGAGGGAGAGGGAGAGAGAGGGAGAGAGAGAGAGAGAGAGAGAGAAGAGAGAGAGAGAGAGAGAGAGAGAGAGAGAGCAGGCTAGCATGGATTCTTGAGAAACCGCTAATTTTTCAGATGCAAATCTCGGTGTTGCACGGCGAATCCGGGATGGAAGTGCGTGATGTTCTACCAACAATTCGTCCCCTATGCGATGGTGAATGGCACACGATAAGGATTGATCTCCATCCACAGCATCTCGGAGTTACAATTGATCGCGTAAGTGCATACACCGGGGTAGGTTAGCAACGATTTTTGCGGAAACCAGCTTGTCCAAAATTGTCTTTTTTCCAGGAATCCCATACCGTACCCGTCCCATTCACCTCGACAACCCGGCAATTCTTCACAAAACTGCCGCTCAATATCGCTGGAGTGAATGGTAGGTCTCGGTCTATCTCTCTGTCTCTCTTGCTCTCTATCTCTCTCTCTCTCTCTCTCTCTCTCTCTCTCTCTCTCTCTCTTATCCAATTACTGAGCTTTTAATGCCACAATTTATTTCAGCAATCGCCGCAAAAGAGTCGGGTCTATCGCCCTCCCTAACTGGCTGCTATCGTGAATTGACCATCAACGGAAAGGCCCTCTATTTCGAGCAGGCATTGAAGGCGACAAAGGTACGTAAACCGCACGTTTTAGTGGCGTAATCGATTCAAAAAAATACTGGGCAATCGATTACGCACGCCGAATCCAACTACTTTACGAGCACTAATCGATCGCGAAACCGTGATTTTCGTAGCGTTATCGCTTTCGAAAAAGAGCCTTATAAATCTTAAAAACTACAAATTGCAATAATCGCGACTTTTGCAGGTGATCATCGACGGCTGCCCGTTCGCCTGAAGCGCCTCGCTTTCCCCGAAAATTTGCGGGTGCTTGTTTTTGAGTGTTTTTTTTTGTGGAGGAATAAATTGTTGATGTTGAAGGTTGCAAAAGGGGCCACGCGACACAACTGTTACGCCTTTCCTCCAATCCAAAAAATCCCCCCCCCCCCGCCTTTCAAAACTTTTTTCCCCCCTTTTTTTTTTTTTTTTTTTTCTTATAATAAAGAAGAATTATAAAAATAAAACTAACACAAAGAAAAAATTTTTGTTTTAAAAAAAAAACCCTAAAAAAAAAAAGGGGCAGGAGGGGGGGGGGGCGGGGGGGGGGGGGGGGTTCGATCCACAAGGGATCGGCAAATACGGGCAGCAAATTGCCATAGAGATGACGGTCGTACGGCGCTATTTCGGAATCCGGGAACCCAGTCAAATCTTTTTATTTCGCACCTTTTCTCGGCGTAGTTTTGCGTGCTGTTTCCGAAAACCACTGTAAAGGATTGGCAAGCGAGGGGAAAAGCTCCGGAAACGGCTGAGTGCCATGGCCTGAATCAGCCCATCCTTTCCTTCATCCTCGGCCTCGAGCGATGGTGATTCGGGACGCTTGTAGCTCAGCGGAAGAGCACCTGTACGGAAAACGGGAGGTCGCGGGTTCGACTCCCGCCGTGCGCAGCCCCGTTTTACCATTGCTCCAAAGTTGATTCCACGATCCCTAACCACGAAAGTTCCGTGTTGGATTCAAAACAACGTGTTATTTTTGTTAACTTAGGCTTCCCAAAAAGAGCTTTGTGGTAGCCCACGCGATAAACATAAGCCAGAAACTACAAAACTAGCAAACTAACAAAAAACCCGAAAAACTCACAAAGAAATAACCTAACACTTAGAAAACCTAATTTTCACGTTTCGGGATAGTGTTTTTCGAAACGAGCGCACCAAAATACGGCAGAAAAATCGGGTGTTAGACTGGCTTGATTTGGGCCCGGATTCCGAACGCCGCGTCGAGATTACCTGGGACGGCGCCGGGCGCTGCGTCCTCGACATGCAGCAACGTCGGACGAATCTCGAAATGTAGCAGCCGTAGGGCCCCCGAAAATCTTCATCGCTGGCTTGACAAAAAGGCTTGTAGAGTATTCGGTTTAAAAATCCTGGAAAAGAGAGAATATTTTTATGAATTATCAGTTCTCAAATAAAGAGCGCGCAAAAGATGAGTAAAGAGCGAAACGCAAGACAGAAGCTTTACCGCGCAAGCTGGCTGCTAAAACGAAAGTAAAAATACTCAAGATTTGGTCTGTCGAATTGTTTTGTGTCCGTGTCGAAATAACGAAATATTCGGTTGCAGCTCCATTTGGCGCCTATCGACGTCGCGCGCGTCTCGTGCACCTCGCGAGTCGGTACCGTCTCGTGCGCGACAAGCGCGACTTGGTTGTCCCGTGTAGTAAAGGGTTCCTATGCGTAAGCCAACTGACGCTCATTTATCTTGTGTCTTTGGGCGGGCATCCCCGCGCCAGCGAGGGATCCGCTAGCCCCGCTCTACTCACTTTGGACTCCCGGCACATGTAAGCCCTGTGCTTGAAGACAAATAAACATCGATGCGCGTCGATTAGCATCGAAAACTACACGGCAAACTTTCGTTGCTAACACTAACATCGGATTTACAGCAAACCACATTGCCGGGAGGTTTTTTAGGCGAACCCCGTCTTTCACCATGAAAAATCGGCCCGGGCCGGGCCTGAGCAAACCGCAGAAGTCCATCAACAACACGATGATGACGCCCAACGCCTTCCAAATAGTTTCAGGATTAGATCCGATAGTATTTTTCTGCCGCAAAATCCAACCGAAAATGTAGTTTATTTATTGGGGGGGGGGGATAGGTTAATGAAGAAGTAATTGTGAAAGCGTCGGCATAACAACTCTGCCAGCATGACACATAGGTGACACCACTGTTAACACAGTTGTGCCACCTGTAGATTATTGAACTGTGCCCCAACAGTGTCACAGCTGTGCTTGGGGCACCCACAGCAGTGCCACCACTCGGCCACTGCCATGCATACCCCAGCATAGCGGTGGCACCACAGAAGCACAGTTCATGCTCCTCGCACTTCCCAAACCAATTTCCGAGTGGAAATTGGTTTGAAAAGTACTCGGAGTTGATCATGGGCACCAAATAGCAAGGGTATTCAACCCCAAACACGGAAAAAGTACACGGAAAAAGATAAGTAAAATTTTTATACCGACAATACGACAAAGATTACATAAAAGAGTATGGCACTTCTCTGCTAGCGGGGGGCGGATTGTATAGAATTTCTCAGGCCTATTCTGCCTGTTCTTCTTTTGAAGATTTTCCTAGGCCGGATATGCCCCGAAAAAACTACAAAATCTTTTTGTGCAATTCTTCACTGAATTAGAGAATAAAAACATCCTTAGAAATTGAAAATTTTTGAAGTTTCGTAGAAAATTACAGAAAACTTATTCAAAATTTGCTAAATTCGGTCTTGTAAAAAGGAATATTTATTTCTTATAACAGAAAACTACGCAAACTACCGAAATTTTTTCTTTTTTTTTTAGTCGGGAATAGGCAAAATAAAAAAATAAGATATTTGCCGTCCCCCGCTAACAGCGAAGCGCACAAAAAAAGTAAAAATCAGACTTGTAAGTGCGTCGTTCGTCGTCGCGCTTCACCAGCCCACTGCCGACCACCAATTCGACGTCAGGGTGTCGTCACCGAGGGCGCGCACGACTAAAAAGGCTTTATTTATTGGCTAAACATATTTTAAAAAAATAATAGATGTCAGTATAAAAATTCAGTTTATGAATAGAAAATATCTACCAAAAAGGAAGATAAAGAAATACCTTGCACACCTCAGGAGACTAGCGGAATGGCCATTGACGGGTTCTAGTAGCAATTCCTAATATCTGAAAATACACAGAAAGTAAATACCTCAGCCCATCAGAGATTGCTGCGAAAAATCGTTGAGCAATTCATCGGCCTAAAATCACCATATTGAGACAAGATTAAATAAGACACTCTAAATCAATCAATAATTTGAAAAATATACCATATTCTCGGCCTCTACGCCGGCGAGCTGTTGATTCTGACCGGGTTACCTAGAAATTTAGGTCACGAACACAAAAAAAAACATACTACTGAGAATGCGCGGCGTCACTGAAAGGCATACTTGACGGGCACTTCATCCGACTGCGGCGCCATCCTAAAACAGACAGTAAGAAAATTGAAAGTCAAAATACCTGAATTTCCCAGGTACATCTTGACAAAAATGACGGTGCCGACGAGATCTAACCTAAAATACGCGTTTTACAGCAAAAGGAATGACCAACGTACAAAAACAAACACATAATAGAAAACGAACGTACCTGAACAAACAGAATCACTAGTTCTGGCGGTCGCAGCAACTCGAACGTCAATCTGCAGTTGCTTTCCGGGCGTCGATCGCATCACATTCCTAAACAATAACAAAAAATCGTACCTGGGTTTAGCAGAGTAGACGCATAAACTGTTGTCGACATCTTTTCGTGGTGGCGTTGAATTCCTAAACCACAAACTTACTAAAAATGTTACATAAACGTACTTTGAGGTCATCGCGATCAAATTTACACCATTTGTTTCCGTTTTCCCTCGCTGAACTGAGGAAGTTGCCTGAAAATCAAAGTATTAAACAAGGAAAACATTGCAGTAAAAGAAAATGAAACAAATATGAAGCGAGATAGTCAGAAATGACTTGATTTCTACTTTTTATCGCGAAAAAGTTACAGAAAGCGTGCATAAACTTCCATTTCCTTTCGAGTTTCCGTCGATTTGCTTCTAAAATCATCAAAACTTGTGCGAATAGGCTTTATTAGCAATAATCTATCAAATAACTAAACGAAACGACAAATAAACGCTTTTTTATTAAAAAATTCAACCAAAAGCAAAGTTTTTTGAAAGAAACCCCGGCGGAAACTCGTTGTGCAGAGCGCATGTTGTCCCAGCGTTGGGTGTAGTCCCTCGTACTCGAGCTCCGATAACACCTAAACGCGCTCCCAGCCCCTTGAAAACGAGCAAATAAACGTGTTTCCGTGTGCCTGTAACATTCCGGTGGCGTCCGGAACGAAAAATAAACTTTATTAAAAAATTTTATTTTTTGACCCAAAAAAATGACTAAGTCCCGGGCCACAGCTGTGATTCCACTCCGGGATGCCCGACACAGCTGTGACACCGCACTGGGGCGGCGGTAACGGAGACACAGCTGTGAGTGAACGCGAGCTGTGACACCGCTAAATTTTCCTAGCTACACAGCTGTGGCACCGCTAAACGGCCACACACAGCTGTGTTTCCGCTATTAGCGGTGTCTCCTATGTGTCATGCCGGCAGAGAATTGGAAATAATGGGGGACAGGGGCGAAAAATTAATCATATATAATATATATATATCAAAGGACATAATAGGGGAATATCACAGAAAAAAGATCATCGCGCTGTCGCGTCGTCGGTTTCACAATTATCGATGGCTGAAGTCGTCGTCGATGGCGGTCGAGGAGGCGAGAATACATCGGGGGCAATGTCCTTGAACCGCTTCACCGAATCGCCTGAAAATAATCGATTAAAAGGCCGTTCGCGAGGGACCCGAACAAGGCTTGGCACAGTTTTTTTCGACCCCATTTTTTTGATGCCATCGGAAAGAGCATGTTCGAATTAGTAGGGCTGCATAGTTTTGAAAGTTCAAAAAGTTTATTTTTATGGTTTAAATGGGTGTCAAAGTTGCCGACCACGAAAAACTATCTTGGAAGTTACTGAGCAGAATTGGCTGAAAATTTGGGAATATACCTATTTTGAGCTGGGGATCATTTCTCTAATACATTGCGAAGCCTGAAAATGACCGGAACATGGTTGAATAGCGTACTAGAAACAGTTTTTCGGGATTTGCGGCTATGCGGGCGATCGAGCGCCACTCATACGTGGTAGGAAAAGATGCGCGACATTTTTCTGCGTCAAATGACGTGTCCATTATGCGGCGCTCGATCGCCCGCATATCTTAAAAAACGCGATTATTACGCCGAAAATGGCGATTTTTGCGGGTTTTCGGATGCCAAACAGGCGAAAGAGTGCGCGCGACGTGGAGGGTCCAGACAGGCAGACAGCAGCCCTGGGGGAGCGGGTCGGGTGCTGCCAGAGAGCCCCCAACTTGACCACCCTAGCCGTCTCTGTCCTCTGCGCTTGCCGCACTCTCTCACCCTGCCCGCCCCAGATTTCGACTAAAAATCGTCATTTTGGGCGTAATAATCGCGATTTTTAAGATATGCGGGCGATCGAGCGCCGCATAATGGACACGTCATTTGACGCAGAAAAATGTCGCGCATCTTTTCCTACCACGTATGAGTGGCGCTCGATCGCCCGCATAGCCAAAAATCTCGAAAAACTGTTTCTAGTACGCTATTTAACCATGTTCCGGTCATTTTCAGGCTTCGCAATGTATTATAGAAATGATCCCCGTCCCAAAATAGGTGTAGTCTGAAAGTTTCAGCCAATTCTATTCTGTAACTTCCAAGATAGTTTTCGTGGTCAGCAACTTTGACACCCATTTAAACCATAAAAATAAACTTTTTGAACTTTCAAAACTATGCAGCCCTACTAATTCGAACATGCTCTTTCCGATGGCATCAAAAAATGGAGTCGAAAAAAACTGTGCCAAGCCATAATGGGGGCAGGTCAGGTAGCTGGCGGACGGCCTTTTAAAAGCGAACGGGCAAGCAAAAGCTACCGACTCTTGAGGGGAATCTGTCAAAATCCCGAAAATAGAATCTCAAATTTTCGAATTTTTAGACTATCGAAATTTCTATGATTTAAATCAGCATTAAAGGCTCCGGAATTTTCACGATTTTCACGATTCGAGATTCTGATTTTCGAGATCCTGATTCTGTTAGGTATTCACTCTTTAGGATTCACGATTCACGAACTTTTTCGTCCTGGTCCCGGTTGGCCTAGTAATCAATGATAAAGTGTTTTTACATTGTTTTAGTAAGTTTTAACTATATTTAAAGGATCAAAACTTTCAAAAACTGGAAATCTACAAACACACATTTTTGAGCCATTTGACAGCTAGACTACAAACCACCACCCGTAAAAATCTACAAACTACAATATCTAAATCAACCTGAAATAACCATATTCCAGCCAAACTACAAGCTACAAACCCGAATTTTTGGCAAAAATTGACTTTTTAAAGGACAAACTAGAAAGCTCCCGATCAAAACTAGAATGAAATAGCTATTTGATAATTGGAGGACAGTCTACAAGCCTGGATACAAGATACAAACGTAAATTGCGCCAAAACAACAAACTACGGAGTACAAACTACAATATCTAAACTTCTGAATAGGCCATTTGAGAGCCAGACTACAGGCTCCAAAGCTTCGCTTTTTTAGCCCACAGAGTCGTATCCGAAACAGAAGCGACGATTTGGCTGAGCTACAAACCACAACTTCTGAATTGACGCATGAAATTCGGCCCTTCGAAGGACAACCTACAACCCACAGAGTCGAAAAAGCGGGTCTTTGGGCGAAGAAAAGAGCGTATCGAAACGTACTGATGTGATCCCATTTGGTACGCATGGCCTCCGTCCATTCTTCAGTCTCATTGTCTGGAGTATCCAGGTTGGCCTCTCGTTTCATCATCGTATAGAAGGCTTGCAGATCTGAAAATGGAGATATGGAAGGGATGGGAAGAGAAAGAGCGAGAGAGAGAGAGAGAGAGAGAGAGAGAGAGAGAGACAGGGAGGCCCAGCAAACCAGAAAAAAGAAGCGAGAGGGCGAAGAATGAAAGAATACAAAAGTATGGCATAATTTGCACACACCCGCCCCCCTAGAGCACCCCAAGATGGGCCCTCGAGTGGTGTAGTGGCAACAGAGCCCTGGGGCGGAGGGGGTCGACCCCGTCAGAGAATTGCTTGGTCAAAGCAACAACTTTACCTTTCAAAGTTCGAAGTCGAAAAGGTCGCTCTTAATTTTAAATTTATGAAACTGATGCAAAGTGGTGGCGGGAGGTCAGTACCCTTGCGGATAGGGCACAAAAATTCACTGCTATTTTTCGTAAGGCAGGCCAGAGCAGTCAATAAGAAAGAAAATTTTAAAAATCGAAATTTCGGACTCGAAACTTTGAAAAAGTCTAAAGTTGTTGACTTTGACCAAAAGCAAAATTTTGCATGACCGGGGAGTCAACCAGAGACCCTCCGCCCCAGGGTGCTATTAGCCACTACACCACTGACAGGGGACACCCATCTTTGGAGGCTCATAAGGGAGGGCGGAGAATGGTGAAACAAAATGCTCATAACTATTTTGTATTAAGCGTTTAGAAATTCTGATTGAGTTTCGAACCCGTCGTCGATTACAGACCCATATTTTTGAAGTTTTGGGTTTTTATTTGCACTTCCCTAGTGAGAGCGAGAGAGAGAATGAACGAGCGAGAGAGAGAGAGAGATAAATAGAATAAGAGAGCGAGAGAGAGCGAGAGAGTACGTACGTGGATTTGGATATGCCGTGGGTGTGAAGCGTTTCTTGAGCAGCGCCGGGCACAGCGTCTTCGCCGCTTCGACAGCCTTGGCATAGCCTGAAAAACAAAAATGCTTTCATTCGATTACACTTTGGATGTTGATTGGATGCCCCATGGCAGAGAATCAAATGCGAAATGCCACTCGCCAACATTCGGGCGGGATTTTCTGAGCGTTTTGCGCATTCAAAACAGGCAAGTTTAGCCGGTTACGACAGGGAATTCGAACCGAGGCGAGATCCCTTATAACCAAAAAAACGTACCAGTGGGCCACTTTGCCATTCCTTCAGGGGGCTTCATCTTTTCCTCAAATGCCGCTGCGATGTCCATTTTGTCGCCGGGATCGTGGAGTTCGACGAGGAGAAAGCCTGGATGGACGGCGGCCTGGAAAAAATTAGAGAGCGAGAGAGATAGCGAGAAAGAGAGGAATCGGTACTCAACTCTTAACGGGGGGCAATTTTATAGCCTTTTTTGTAGTAATTTTCCGCGCCAGAAATTTTTGTATTTTGACAGAAAACTACTAAATAAATTTTTCTGTTTCTAGATTTTAGATTTTTTATTTTTAGATTTCTCTTTAAAAAAATCACAAAATGGTCAAAAAAATTCGTTTTCGTTAAAGGGCCGCATGGAATTTACTGGCGAAAGAATGTTTTCCCCCCGTTAAGAGTACAGTACCGGCGAGTCGACAAACCTCTTGATCGTGCTGTGTATTCGGGATGAGGGCCACGATACGGGGCTTCTGATTGGCACGACCCACATATTCACAGATGGCCACCACCTGGAAATGGAAAATAATGTTAGCGGGATCTCGGGAAGGCATCCATTTTGGGGCTCTGGATTCGCGGCCGCGACACCCGAAAGGTGTCGTAATCGATTACGCGATGGAAAGGCGGCGCGTGCGCGTTGAGTCGATTTGCTATCAGAATCTCGAAAATCAAGACCAAAAGATTTCTTTGGCAGACAGGTGTTGGCCGACGAATTCCTAACTTTTTTTGATAGGCAAAAAGTAGAGATTCTAATTCCAATTCTGATTTCAGAGAGATTCTGAACTTTCGAGATTCTGATAGTCTGACGGGCGTGAATAGCGAACGGAAAGAAAAGGAAAAATACCTGTCGATGGTCCATCCGATCCAACAAATGAGAGTAGAGCGATGTGGCGCCAAGATGAGAACTGTCGCGTGGACCGATGGTGAGGGGACTCGACAGCACGGAATTCCAGTAGACGGAGGCCTGAAATGGGGGGAAATTAGCCAAAACACCGAGATTTTTGGCGGAAAATTTGGGCCGTCCAGCAGAGCTTCTCGTCGAAAATCGGGGCCAGCGAGCAGCGACAATTTGCGGAATTTCAGGGCGATAGGTAGAGAAGGCTAGAAATACCCCACGTAATCGAATTTTTTAAAGGGGTGGCTAAGACAGGGTTTATATATTGCCTCCAGCTTTCTCCACGCAACGCACCAGGCTCGCAATTCCGTTGCGTAACCGATTACGGCATATTTTTCGGAGGGATCGTAAAGGCAAAAATCCACAGATTTCGTGACCCTTTAAAAGTGTATACCTTTCTGGTATCGATGATGAACGTCTCGATCCCCTTGGGTGATCAGTATTCGTTCTCCTCCAACATCTCTCATTTGAGCCAATTGGTGTCGTTGGAAGGATTGTTTCGGAATGTCCTCCTTCGTCTCCTCCCTTTCCATCCGTTGCTGCTCATCGTCAGCGTCATGTGGTGTTTCCTGGAATCCAGAGATGAGAAATGCCGAATTTCTGCGAATTTGCAACGACGAAATAACCTTTTTCGAATCATATTTCCAGAGAATCATGTTTTCAAAAATCGGAATATGAATTTCTACCCATATTCGGACGTATTTTTTGCAAGCGACGGACCTGAGTGGTAGACGAGTATGTGGTGATGGATTTGAGTGCTGCCCCAGTCTTTGCATGGATGGAGAATGGCGTCGGCTTCGTCTTTGTCGCCACCAGCGAATATCTAAAAGGATTTCCCTTCCAAAAACCCAAAAAATGGCACTTACGCGGCAACGTTGAACTCGAGACCGTTGCCCAGGGAGAACGGGATGACGGCATGCGTACGGACGGCACCCGTGCGACGGATCAGGCTGAAAAATGGAGATGAATCCCGGGAAATACAGCGCGTAATCGATTGGCCAGCCAATTTCCTATCGTAGGCAATCAATGCCAATTTTCATAGCGTAATCGATCGAAAACGCCTTTTCAATAGCGTAATCGAATATTGCCGATTTTCGTGGCGTAATTGATTGACCCGCAAAATTCCTCTCGTAATCAATGGCACACGAAATTTCAGCGTGTAATCGATTAATATCCACTTGTTGGCCATTTTTCTTGCTGAGAATTTGAAGAATGCAATACCTCTGCTCAAGTTCGTTGTCGTATACGCCGGCCTCCTCATCCACCGTCCGCCACATGGCCAGCGCCGCGTCGTCGATCAGCTTCTCGTCGCCGAGCACGAAGACGGTGCATCTGAAACATTTCCAATCGTTTTTTCCAGCAATTTTTCTGAGGCCAACGGCGCGCCAAAATCACTTCTTTAAAAAGTCTAGCTGCTTTTTTTGACGACTTTTCCGGTCAAAACTTGTAAACGTAAAGTTTTGAGACCGTTCAAGCGAATTTGATGATGATCGGCGCCCGTAAAATGCCTGCAAGTCTCGCAAGCAAAATTTTGGCCTACACCTGGCCAAAACTGGCGGCTAAAACACGCCGAAACCCCAAAAAAGCAAGCAAAAATCCAAAATCTCGCAGAATCGCTCAAATAAACGTTTTAAAAACCTAAAAACTACATTTCATGATCCGGAAAAGTAAAACGAAGCGGGGAAAACTTGCAGAAAACACCAAATTCAAGTAAAAACACCAGCCAGCTTTTCGTGAGCCCTTTTCAAGCCTAAAATCGGCAATAGAAAAGACTTGTGGGCATTTCCCGGCCATTTCCGAGACGATCATCGGTCGAAAGTAGTTCTACTAGCTTTATCAACCAAAATCACGCCTAAATACATCAAAACTGCATTTTAAAACCTTCTAGAAATCCAAGCAATAAAAGCGTCAAGCTTTCCCGCGCCAAAACTAGAACGAAAACATCAAAAGAGAAGAAGTTTTAGACCTTTTTGGCAGAATTTGGACTGGAAAAAGTTTTCTTTATATTTTCCGGCCTCACCTTCCTCTCAGAGGCCTCCTCGGCGCATCAACATCTTTCTGTGTGGCTCTTCGTCCCTCGATATCCCTCAAATTCCTCCGCATTCTTGCGTGTTCATCCGTCTGCCATCTCTTCCCAAATGGCGCCACATCATTCGTAAACAGCACCCACGAGGTGCTGCTGGAAATGGAAGGATTTAGAATTCTCTCGAATTATCATACCTGTATGAAATGTTCAGCTTGCTCTAACTGGCCACTTTTTGCCAATTTGCGCGCGTGCGGCCGCCGGAATTTTCGATGAACAGCGACTGGAGATCGTCTAAAAATGTTATATTTGTAAAAAACGTGACCATCACTTGTTTGCAGAAATTCCGCGGGGCCAGCGCTCGTCCTCATGTCGACGAGACCACCACTCACATCGGCGCCGATCCTTGTAGCCTCACCTAAAAGCACGGATATACAAAGGACATTAGAAATTACAGGCAAAAAGTGTCAAAACGGATCCGCTATTTAAAAAAATTAGGCCTGGGCCTGAAAAAGCTTTCTTTTTTCATAAGCGCGAGCTCGAACGTATACTGCCGCATATGAATAGAGAAGAAAATGCGCATATTCTAGATTGGGACAATGAAAAGCAATTCATTTGGGATAAAAGTCGAAACTGTATTAGAGCGCGAGTTTAAGGGATCCCGGGCTGCTTTCTGCATTGAATCCGAATACCAACATCCAAAATCGTTGAAATACTCGGAATCAGCGCCGAAAGCCGCCAAGGATTTGACAAAAAGTATCACAGCGAGATCGAGAAAACGGTAAAAAAGGCGCGCGATATAATTTATACCTGAATGGCGAACCGCGCGAAAAATTATACTTGCCGACAAGCTTACCTCCAACATTCTGCAGGTGTGCTCGTCTCACGGGCGCCCGATACCAAAATCGTCGCCTGCTCGTCGAGCGCGTATTGCATAAACACCGAGATTGGCCCCTGAAAAAAAACACTGAATTTGTGCTGGGAAAACAGCGAAAAATGGAAATGATTCAGGAAAACAAAATCGAGTACCTCAAAGGTGGCCACGGAAAAGGAGGTGGAAACCGGCGGCAAATCTAAGTCAAGAATTTGCGCAGAGATCGAGAACTACTGAAAGCCGCGAAAATCGCAAAAATATCGAAAATATTGGAGAAGGAGAACAACACTGGCCACCCCAAAAAAACTCAATATGCGCGGATGCAAATCTGCAAAAAAGAAAGGATTCAGCGGAACACGCCCGAGTCGCAAAACTGAAAGCCAGGCAATGAAACTGTGAGAAGGGCGTTTTGGCAAAGCGCAAAAACTAATTTTTAGCCATCGTTCGTTTAAAAAAGACCTAGAACTTGGTAATATTGTCTTTTTTACGGTTTCCCAACACCTATAACCCCTTGCGATCGTCATCACTTCAATCTGCGTTCCAATCACAAGCCAACGCGTCGAATCAAACGAAAATTAGACCTTCTGGGTCGGAATTTGCCGTCGAAAAGGTTGAATTGCTCGAAATTAAGTTCAACCCGCCGGAAAGCATAGGAAAATCAAATTTGTAAGGTTTCACACCCTATGAACGGTTCTATGTGGTTTTCCAAGAAATCTCCAAAGAGGAGCGCGTGTACGTCCGCATACTGCGAACACCACCCAGGAGGCGTGGAGGAGCGCGGAAAATCACGCAAAAAAGGGCAGCAATTCCGCAAAGCTTTTCTTTGCGAAAAACAAATCTCAATGCGAGAGGAGAAAAAAAAGAAAATTTGCCGGCTACGCCGCGGCGCGGTCGCGCTGCGGTTAGGGAATTATAGTATTCGACCGGATTTATAAAGGGTAAATTCGACCTGCGATTTTTTTTTGGTAGAATTTTGGGAATTGAAAGGAGATTTTCGAAAGTTAGTCCTGCTGCCAAAATTGATGATTTGGGTGGATTTTTCGCAAATTGATTTTGTATTACCTTTCCTCTATTGGCTTCGCACAATGCATCAGCTAATTATTTTTTCTAGGTGGGCCGCAGAAAGGGAGAGCATACGCGAGCGATCCGACCCCGGAAAGCAGCACAGGGAGGCCATGGAGATCGACCAAAGCCTCTACAACCTACCCCATCCGGCGCTCTGGGCTCTTTTTGAAAGGGCTGAGCCGAGAACGCTGATGAGACTCCTGAAGTCAGATGAGCGCCTTTTCGCTGCCGCGAAAACTTGGCCGGACAAACGGTTTGGAATGATCACGTGTGTGGCCCACAAGCCGCGTGCAAGAGAGATAGCATTCCAAACCGCACGTGCAGAGGACCTTCTTCGCCATGCACACGTGGAATGTTTCGAATATGACTCCCGCGCCCGACCTCCCGAGGCCGCAGCGAGAAGCGTACGATGTGTGAAAATCCTTCGAACGGACAACCCGGACAACATTGCCCACGTAATAAGGACGATGCGCCCGGTACGAATCGAAGCCGACAACATTTGGAGCCCAATGAGCCCGGAGCTCCGAGACGCCCTCTCCACAGCCAATCAAATCTCACTTGGCCACGTCGAGGACCCGGATGTGCTCGATTTTCTACTAAAAAATCCGTTTGATGAGGTGTGTTTGACCTGGCGACATCGCCACGACAACGATCTGGCGACTCTATTCAATGTGGTACAAAGGATAATGGAGCGCCGAAACGATACGACGCAGTTGATGGTTAATTTCCGGCCGCCGCTCGATGCAGGCCACTTGAACCCCCAAATCTTCGGTCCGGCCTACCCGCTGACGCAGAACTATGACATCTGGACGTGGCTCGACGTAAGGAACGGGATCGTCGTGAAGAGAATAAGCGTCTGCCCTAATGGCCTGTCAATTCTATAGTGCCTTTGAAACCTTTACGACTGTGATGATTGACGTCTTCGTTTTCTTTGAACTGCACACATTTATCTTAATTGATTGATTTGAACTTGAAAAACTTGAATCAAAATTCTCAATTCTTATGCCTTGTAGTTTGTATTCAATTCTGGATATATCTTGTATTTTGAGCGTCTGATTGGCTTTTCATCCGTTTTTGTTCATCCGTTTTTGGCTGTTCATTCGTGGTTCACTTTGCGTGCCAATAAACTGTTTTTCAGGCTGGAAGGAGACGCACGTCGCTGTGGTGGAGTTGAAGCTTTCGGCATGCCATGGACAGTCGACTAGCCGTCCGATCAGTGCGCGTTAGCGGTTAGTCACCGAACGCTTCGCTTCTGTGCCGACTTTTTTTAGGTTTTCGACAGCATCCACAGCGACAACGCCTCGGAACTCGTGGGCCACGCCAAGCGGATGTTCACCTGTCCGCCAGCTAATGGTAACCATCATTCTGGAGTCGCGGCTACCCTTTTCGGCGCAGTTTTTAGGGTTTACATTATTCTCGCCGGCCTAGCTAGACGTATAGAGCCAAAGAAATTGATAGAAGTTGGAGAAGCTTATTGAGAACGTAATGAGCAGGCACTTTTCTGGCTGAACAATAAGACTCTAAATGGTTGTCAATTAGTTGTATGCCAATTGAGGTAATTATAGCTATCAGGGTATGTCCTTAACAGCCCGGCAACTGGTATGGGCGGCGCCGATTTTTCATTTCAGCATTTCACTCTGACCAGTAATTCCCCACCAATTCCGTACGACTCTATGCCGAAACTAAGACCATTTTTAGAGTATTTTACATAGTTTTTAGATATAAAATTGATAAAAATTGTTAAAGTTCGGGAAATTGTTGCATTTTTGGTCTATGTGTGTATGAAAACGGCCGAAAAAGAGCGAAATTTTCGAATTTTCAATAATTCTAAACTATTTTTTTGTAGCAGCTATAAACTACTAAAACATTGCAACGACGCCCTATTTGTTATCAACCATTCGGCATAGGCGGTAAAACAAAAATTAACTATTGGTCCTCCTTTGGAATGTCTTAGATGACGGCGCATCTGGTTGGTGAGTGCGTGGGAACCAATCCATTCAAATGTCCTTCCAATTAAGGGCGACCGACCTAAGTTCGACATTACATAAGCGCAGCTTCCAACAATCCAGAACTGGAAGCTGCACTTCTGATATTTAGGACTTTGGACTGTTAGCGGGGGGACGAACTTTCCCCTGTGATTCTCTACGACTCTATAAGGAAACATAAACACTTGTTCTAGCATTTTACGTAGTTTTTAGGCACAAAGCCTTATCTACTATATAATTTTTCCCACTGGTCTACTATATATAAACTGGTTTTTGGCTTCAAATAAGGGATATAACGATGTTTCAAAGGGTATTAGCCATTACGCGATTCTTAGATGTTTTTTTTAGTATGAAAGAAGGAATATAACTATGTTTCAAAGGGTATCCTGGCCATTACCTGATTTATATGTTTTTTTTAGCCTCTAGGGCTGTAGGGACTCGCAATTCCAAGGTTCTCTTATGCTTTTTTTGGGATCAAAGAAGGTTACTGCTTGGTTTCGAACGGTATTCTAGCCATTACTAGAGTCTTCAAGATGTTTTTGGGCTCAAGAAAGGCTTATAAGTTATCTTTCGAAGTGTATTCGAGCCATTAGGTGCTCCTTATATGCTTTTTGGTTTCAAAGAAGGGTTTTATCTCTGTTTTCAAAGGTCCGTCCGAGGTTCATGTGTTTTTTTCGGGATCGAAGAAGGATTTGAACATGTTTGGAGTTATTCTGGCCATCAAGGTGTTTTTCTAGGGGGGGCAAAAATATTTTCGCATATGGGTCTAGTATTTTCTTTGTTGAAATAGAGGTGGTATTTCTAAGCCTTTTTGAACCATGGCTCAACATAAAAACATTACAACCGATAGCCTAAAAACCCAAATCGATCGGCCCTATCCAATGCTAAGATGCCATCGTTTTTTGTTTAGTTTTGCAACAGACTACTATGTTTTTCGCTCTCATAAATCCTACTATCTAAAAAAGTGTCTGTGTGCATGTTGTGAGATTCTCGGTCAGGGAAATATGCTGTTGGAATCTAATCGCGAAATCACATGAAGCCCTCCTTTTTCGATAAATAGGGCTCCAAACTATTATTTTTCTGCTAATTTTATTTGAGCGACGTTTGTAGGCAACATCCAAATTACACATTGGTGTGTCTCTCACTTATGTCAAAATTCATTTGCGCCGATGTACAGATGTCAAGGGCAGACATACATAGGCATGATAAGAAAGGACGGGGCACCCAAGGCCAGGATTTCTTATCAGGTCCTGGGATCCCTCTCGATGTCTTGCCTAGACATCTGTTCATATCGAGACTGAGCCTCCGCGGACACTAATGATAAACCTATTTAAGCACCAATGTCGTCGTTTAGATCCCTTGACCTAGATTTACGCTATTTATTGTATGATGCTAAAACGTTTTATTTATTTATTTTAGAACGTGATTCGGATAATAACATTGCGCAAGGACATAACTAATGGGCCGTAAAACTACGTTTTTAATATGCTTACGAAAAACTGTAAGCCGTAAAAAACTGGTTTTGGTCCTATTTTGTTCTCATCCATATAAAATTAGACGGCTATGTTTTAAAAAAAACTTCAAGTAGATGAAGCGCCTTTGCGAGCACTACAATCCCTGCTAGTTGACTTGACGTCAAACTCGACGCGGGCCGAGGTAATAGCGTTCAAATGTCAATCGTTTTGACACACACTAAGGGAGCAATCCGACTAATCCTTAAAATATTTCCGTAACTTAACTTTTAAGTCTTGGTTTGACAATTTTTAATTCCGTCATCTTTAAAATCAAACGTTCTGTTGGAATTATCACGCCCGGTTTTAGTTGTAATAGTAAAAGAAATCACAAAACAACTTATTAACTATTTTTACGTTGGATCTATAGTAAGTCTACGACGCCATTAATGCTCGAACACGTCGAAAATTCACTCAGGAATTCTTTCTCCATATTAGCAGATGTTACGGGGTCAGAGAACAGAGACATTTTTGAATTACTGGGGTGAGCGTGATAAGAAATCCTGGCCTTGAGTACCCGATCCGATAAGAAATCCTGGCCATAGTCGGTCCGTCGGCCCTGAAGCGGATGCGCAGATGGCACCGGGGGTACCTGCATTCATGAAATGACGGCCTTCCATCCTTGATGCGAATCCGGAGGCTATTTTCAATATATCTATTAGTGTGTGAAGAGCAAGGGGCCGGGGATGGGAACCGAGAGAACAGATGTTAGATGTAAGCCCCAACTTTCAGTCCCTCCACGGTCACCAAACTCGACAATCAGCTTCTCATTTCTTTTTTCTTTTGTTGCGCGTTTCGCGAGATCTCATAGATTTCTCTCCCATTTTCTCTCTCTCTCTCCCTCTCTCTCTATCACTCTCTCTTGCCTCTCTCTCACTCTCTCTCTCTTTCTCTCTCTCGCTCTCTCTTTAATCAGTTTTTTAGACACCGCGTAAAGAAAACTTGATATGGCTACGAAGGGAAACGAACCTCTCCACTTCCCTTATGCCAAATTGGAAGACGATTTACAGTGTCTCGTAAATCGCCACGTCAATATGAACACCAAGCGGAAACTGCGAAAAGTGAGCAAGGTTAGTGGCGAGGGTGAGGATATCTCGAATCGATTACACCACGAAATTCCCGCTATTGAGTGATATTTTAGGTAATTTCCAAGCACTCGCTCAGCTCGCTGCTCCTCAACTGCCAATTTCCGAGGCTGCGTCTACACGTGACTGTAAGTTCGTGTCTCTCTTTCACTCACTCTCTCACTCTCTCGCTCTCACGCTCTCTCACTCTCTTTTCTCTCTCACTCGCTATCTTTCTCTCTCACCCTCGCTCTCTCTCGCTCACTCGCTATCTCTCTCACTCTCTCTCTCTCTCTCTTCCCTCTCACTCTCTCTCTCTCTCTCTCTCTCTCTTTCTCTCTCTCTCTCTTTCTCGCTCTCTCTCCAATCCGTCCCCAATTTCAGACATGTTCCTTATCCTCCCTCCCGGGCATCGAATTGTCAATGTTTTTCGATGAGCATCAGGAGTTTCCGGATATTTGGCCGACATTCCATGTGACAATCCGTGTCGACAACAACAACATCATCTGTCCTGATTTCTTGCTTGTCGCGCGTCGCAATGTCTTCCGATGGCCAGCATGGCATGAGAAGAGACACATGTAGGTGGTAGCTTTGCTTCAGCCGAATCTTTCACTCTCACCCTCGCTCCCTCACTCTCTCTCTCACTCTCTCACCTCGCTCTCTCTCACTCTCACTCTCTCTCGCTCTCTCTCACCTCCTGGCGGTCAGCAGTCGTGTCCGATTTTGACGATTTCGGTATCTATCGAAAGCTCTCGACGAGCTGAGGCCATCTCTTCTCTCCAATTTTTGAAATTCCCAAATTTTTGTGACATCTACCAAACATTTTTGCGAAATTGGCTGAATTTTCGATGCTTTGCCCATGCAAGTGTTTTTAACAAAAAGCTAATTTTCCAAATTTTTGCATCTTTCCTGGTAGCCCAAGGTCAGCTTTTTGCAAAGGCTTTTGAGAAAACACCGCTTCGATCGCAATAAAGGCGATTAAATTGCGTTTTGCGGAAAATGGCGTAATTTATGTCCAAGAAACGGTGAAAACCGCGTGAAAAATTCGGGAATTTCACAAATCGGAGAGAAGATAGCTCGTCGAGAGCTTTCGATAGATACCTCAATTGCGAATTGGTATCACAATGTCGAAATTCACAATGTCGAAATTTCATAATGTCGAAATTTCATAATGTCGAAATTTCATAATGTCGGAATTCATAATGCCGAAATTTCATAATGTCAAATTTCATAGTGTCGAAATTTACATACCGGTGAAACCGCCAAATTCCAGCCAAAAAATTTTTTTTTGCACATTCTATTTTTTTTTATCTTATTTCACGACAACATTTTTTTTGCCTAGAATTCGGGGACTTTAGCGGGAATTTTAGCTTATGTAAATTTCGACATTCTGAATTTCGACATTATGAAATTTCGACATTGTGAATTTCGACATTATGAATTTCGACATTTTGAAAATAAGCCCCCTTCGACGTCCAGCATTACAGGATCCCCGCTGGCCGTGCCGTTCATCTACAGCTGCTCAACAAGCTAACAGCCTGCCTGCGGAATGCCGAATTACAGCTCGTAATCAATCCGGCCGTCCAGGTGGGGGCACGTTGTCGCGGTAGACACGTCAGAAGGAGCCATCTTTCGGTTCTGGACTATTAACGGGGGGATTTCTAACAATTTTTAGTCGTTTTTGATTGCAAGAAAATCATAAAAAAATTTTTTCCAAATTTGGAAAATTCGAAAATTTTGACCGTTCATACATTTTCGTGCCCAAAAAGACCAAAATTTTCGCAAATTCACTATTATTTTTATATCGTTTCCATATCTAAAAACGGTGTAAAATGCTATAAAAATAGTTTCAATTTTGTTATATTTTCCCCCTGCTAACAAGAGCCCCCCTGCTAACGGTCTAGAACCGATTTTTCTAGGGCACCTAGTCGGTTTCGGAGCGCGCGGCACTACCCGGTTCTTCCCTTTTAACGGGGGGGGGGAAGGGGGGTTATTGGCGAAATGATTTTTGTGTTTCAAAAATCAAACGAAAAAATTGTAGGTGAATTTTTCATGATTTTCTGTTAAAGGGGCTACGAAATGCCACGAATTGAGTGACGGCCCGAAAATCGGAGCCCTGTACGTCGGGGGCCTCTGTACGCCCAGGGGCCGGGAAGCTCGCAAAATTTGAAATTGCCTGTTGTCACCTCGAAATCGCGTTCTCGGCTGTTTCTGGGCCAAATTTGATGATTAAAACACCAAAACTATTTAAAATTGAGTGAGGATTTCAAAAGTGGGCTCAGAATGCGCGAATTATAGTGTTTTCACAAAGAAACCGGGCAAAAACAACTTCGCGCAAAAATCGAAAGAGTGAGGGCTCTGGTCCCGCAGCGCCCGCTGGAAATTTGCCAGAAATCAAAGAGCCCTCGCAAAAGGGCTTTGATTTGGCAGTTCGGAGCCCCTTTAAAGAGATAGGGGCGGCATAAGTCAATCGATTACGCGAGGGAAAGAAAATGTCTCTGCGCCTCCCCCCTGGGAGCCCTCTCTCGCGCGAGATCGCCGCGGGACCTGTTGAACCCCCCCTCCCCAAGGGGGGTTCAACAGATGCCGTCCTCATCTCTTTAAGCAATACTGCAAAAGCACGGGTTTTAGCCGCCCGACTGGCTGCGTGATATCGATCTGATGGGCCGGGGCAACGTGACAATCTATGCGGATATTGGGCGAGAAGCGCCAGCTGTAAACAGGTACGTCTCCATCCGCGGGGTTGCTTCTTCCCCCCCCCCCCCCCCCCCCCCCCCTCGTTAAAGGGCACGTTCAGGGACGTTTTTTTGGAAAAAAGCAAAGAATTTGCCGCGGCCGGGGGTCGAACCCGGACCCCCCGCTCGGGAGGCGCGGATGCATACCGGTCAGCCACAGCTACAACCTGGCGAGGGGGGCGAGGGGGTGCCCCAGGCCGCAAGGGAGGGGATTGGCCTGTCACAGCACGGGCAGGCAGTGCGCGCGGTCCCTACGTCCATAGGGTGTATACGTTGGGACGAGTACACGGCCCCTCCCTGAACGTGCGCTTTAAGCAACCTTTACCCGATTTTGCAGGTACCTACGTTTGGACAGGCTGCTGCCGGCGACTATTCAACCAGATCGCGTAAGTCTCACGCTAACCGCCCTGGCACTGGGGGATATCATCAACTACAATAATTTTCTTGAGACGCCTGTGTCCGTCCGGTCCCGAATTCAACTCGAAGGGGAAAGGAACTAGAGCTTACAAGGGAACCACCTAAGGTCGAGGTGGCGTTTCGTTATGGGACCCAGCCTATTTTGTGTAGAATTTTTTGCTGATTCCGAACCTGATTTCAATTTTTGCTAAATAGCCCAATTTCAAAAGTTATTGCGATTTTAAGGTCATATTTGAGCCCGCGGGCGGTCATCTGTCACGATGCCTAACTATTTTGTTTTAATATGCCAATACATCCTATCCTATAAGCGAGAAAATTTTAAATAGCCTATCTTATAGAGAATTTTTTCCGATTCGAATGGTATATTTGATTACTGCGCTACTGCCTATCGATGATCACTTATGGGAGTGTGAAATAGCCTGTTTTTCACCATTTCCCATACAAAAAACGAAGTCCATACCAAGAGTATCGTCGATTTTTTCGATTTCCAACAATTTTTAGTTAAATAGCTCATTCGATAGAGAAAAATTTTCTGAATACGATGGCGATATTCGTTTTTGAGCAATCAGACGGGAAAGGCAAGATAAATGACTTTGAAGTTCGAAAATTTGGGAAAAAATGGAACTTTGAAGCGCTATAACTTTTTAAAACGAGCTATTTGGCAAAAATGAGCAGCGGATTCGGAATCAGCAAAAAATTCTGCACAAAATAGGCTTGGTCCGGCGACGAAACGCCACCTTGACCTTGGGTGGTTCCCTTGTGCTGGGGGGGGGAGAAACTGAACTCTAACCCCCCACCATTTTCAGGCTTACATTCGCTCAAAAGGTCGGGCATGCGGTCGTCCCGACCTGATGGGTGGCCCGAACGAAGCCAATGTCGATGCCTTCCACCAGGTAATCCGGTTCTGGACTGTTAACGGGGGGGGGGGGGGGAACCAGTTTCCCCTGTGATTAAACACATATATAACAAAACATACGGAATTGGATGAATTGGCCCGATAACAAAATATAAAAGTATGGGTGGAAAAAGAGAAATTGGAAGTTTTAAATGAAATTTTTCGTATGTTAGAAGCTTGAAAATTTTCTGACGCTCATGTACACATGGATTGTGACCGCCTTTACAGTTAATCGACGGCTGCCCGTTCGTCCATCTGACGCAATACCATGATGATCGTTGGGATTGCGACCTTTTCCTGCTCCCCTTCCATGCCCTCATCCGATACGTTCTCCAAAAGGTAATTGCCTATGTAACTAGTTAGTCAGGTTTCGGTAAGACTCTACAGGGTGTCCCAAAAAAAACCCCCCTCGGCATTTGGCCGTCTTCCATCCAATCAGGACCAAATTTTTACCAGTGTTGGGGACCCATAAAAACTATGTGCAGCCGAATTTTCTAAGCAAAATGTTGTAAAACAAAGAAGATATATCAAAATTAAGGTTAACCAGGGTTGAAAAGCCGCTTCGCGACTTTTCAACCCTGGCCCCGTTTTGGACCAATGAAAGTTTGTACTTTGCATAATTCGGCGCGATACACGCTGAAAAAAGTGAAAAATGCGCTCTCTGTTCCTTTATATAGGCTACTCCCACTTCCGGTGTATGCTAATTGATTCCTAACAAAGAGGGTCTCGGATTTTTCAAAAAAAACTTAAATTTAATGTCGAAAATAAGCGTTTTTGATAAATCTGGTATACGTGCAGTCATCTCCAGACCATTACGCACCTAATGACGTATCAAACATATCCCTAACTGCTCCCCTTCTTGGGATACGACTGGAACAACCTGACGGAAGTTGCATGCAAATGCACACAGACACACACACAGACACTATTTTTTTATATATAGTAGGATTTTGCCGATTTCACTAGGATTTTGACGGATTTCGGTCTCGAAATGTTTAGCAAAAATGAAGAGGGCGCTCTTTTCGACCTGTAGAAATTTTTTGATTTACGAAAATTACGTTTAAATTGGGCCTTTCGATCACCTTTTATTATTGAACCAGCGCCCACAACCCGCTTCGCGGGCCTTGGGCGCTGGAATGTGGCCTTTGCATGAGAAATTTGCCTTCCCGATAGCTCGGGTCCTTCGGACTCCCCCCTTCCCCACCGACCACACGCGCCCGTGCAACTTGCAAGAATGAGGAAATTTGTATTTTTTTCACATTATGCAAATTAGCCCTCAGGGACCCCCAAAAATGAGTAAAACCGGCTTTAACTTTGTAAACTTGTATTTTATCGAAATTCTGAACACGCGATCGGAAACAGAAGAGTCGATTCCCCCAAGTGACGGAGAATTGGGACGTTTTGGACACGGGAAGGCCCTCAAATCGGGCCTCGAAACTGACATCCACACACACACACAAAGATACACGCCAAAATTATATAAGGTAGGAATTGCCAGAAACTGACCGAGAAATGACCATTTTTGGAAAATTACTCAAAATCCGCATGCTAATTGCGAAAACATCGCCAAAAACGAGTATCAGCGTTTTCCAAAAATCAGTTTTTTAGCGATAACTTTTTGGTTTTACAATATTTTGCTTAGAAAATTCGGCTGCACATAGTTTTTATGGGTCCCCATCTCTGGTAAAAATTTGGCCGCGATCCGATAGAAGACGGCCAAATGCCGAGGGCGGGGTTTTTTTGGGACACCCTGTAGTTAGTAGGGTTTCGGTAAGAGTCTAGTTTACCCCCCAGCCCTAACTTTTTAGCCATACGTCCCATTAATGCGTGGAGTTTCTCAAAATGTTCGCCGTTGTCGAATTACGACAAAAAAGTTGTTTTCTTACATAAAAAGTTGCTCGAAAATTTTTTACAATATTTTGAAGGTGGAAAAGAGGAAGCCGCCCGGCTTCAATGTACCAGGAGTCTAGAACTGAAATATTTTTTTGATTCAAATGCATTGTAGGCTGATTCTGCAGAGCAAGAGCTACATTTTGGTACCATTGACAGCTCTGTACGACTAAAAATGGCCGAGATACGAAAATTTACTTTGGAACAGGAAAAATTGACTAAAGAAAACCCAGAATTATAACCGTTATAAAAAAAATTTCTAACAATTTTTGATGTAAGAAAACTACATGGTCGGATGGTTTCGACCATGGCGAACATTTTGAGATACTCCACGCATTAATAGGACGCATCGCTGAAAAGTTAGGGCTCGGGGGGGTAAACTAGACTTGAGCGCAGGTTTCGTTTTTGTGATCTATCTTACTGGGTATCTTACTTATTCAGTTAACACCGGCAACGTCTGCCGGCCAACGTCGTCTCATCCTCCTCGACGTACAACTCTACCAAAGTAGGGCCTAGCGACTCTCTCTCTCTCTCTCTCTCTCTCTCTCTCTCTCTCTCTCTCTCTCTCTCTCCCACCAAAGTACTTGCCTGTAAATGCCTAGCGGCCCGCCAACAGCGTGCAATTTTAGCAATTTTGGCATCTATCGAAATCTCTCGGCGAGCTGAGGTGATAGGTTATCGCCCCCCGATTTTCATAATTTCATGCCAAAATTACACTTTTGGTCATTCAAAATAGCATTCGAAGCATGGCTAGTTCCTAAAACGTGAATACTTTAGATGACTGGTGTGACGAGGAGGAGGGCATGGAACCCGTCGTCCAAATTTATGGCCATGAAGAAAGGCTGGAGGCGTTGCTGGACATGTTGGAGAAGTCGCCACCAGCTAATGATATTCAGGTGAGGGAGAGAGTGAGTGAGAGAGTGTGAGGGAGGGAGAGAGTGAGACTGAGAGGGAGTGAGAGAGAGAGTGAGAGAGAGTCAGAGTGAGGGAGAGAGAGTGAAAGAGAGGGAGAGAGTGGGAGAGGGAGAGTGAGAGAGAGTGAGAGAGAGTGCGTGAGAGAGAGTGAGAGAGAGTCAGAGTGAGGGAGAGAGAGCGAAAGAGAGGGAGAGAGTGGGAGAGGGAGAGTGAGAGAGAGTGAGAGAGAGTGCGTGAGAGAGAGTGAGAGAGAGTGAGAGTGAGAGAGAGAGTGAGAGTGAGGGAGCGAGAGTGAGAGTGAGAGGGAGTGAGAAAGAGTGAGGCTGAGAGGGAGAGACAGAGACAGCCGGTTCTAGACTGTTAGCGCGGGGTGGGGGTAACAACTTTCACCTATGTTTATATTATGCTTAGATCCAAAAACTATGTCAAATGCTATGAAAATGGTTTAGATTTGGTTATAGGACCGTAGAGAGTCACAGGGAAAAATTTGGTTCCCCCCCCCCGCTAACAGTCCAGAACCGTTTTGCCTGTCACGGCCCCGGCTCTCTCTTTCTCTCTTTTTCTTTTTCTCTCTCCTCTCTCTCGCTCTCTCTCATTCTCTTTCTTTGGTCCCCCCCCCCCCCGCTAACAGTCCAGAACCGTTTTGCCTGTCACGGCCCCGGCTCTCTCTCTCTCTCTCTTTCTCTCTCTCTCTCTTTCTCTCCTCTCTCTCTCTCGCTCTCTCTCTTTGGTCCCCCCGCTAATAGTCCAGAACCGAGAGACATTCTCCATTCCAGATCTACCAGATGGATCATCTGCCAAAGTTGTCAAAAGACGACTTCGACCCGCTTTGCAACCCGACCAACGCCAACGTGATCATCGCCCAGAACTATCAATCGACTGCCCACATCTACGCACAATTACTGCAAATCAACAAGGTCAGTAGTTAATTTAGCGCCACCTTACCCTCCGTTTCGTGTTCAGATGCGCAACCGTAGAGCGGTGGCGACGCTTCGACGGCGCTGGCCACGCCCAATTTCCACAAACATCGATCACGCCTCGTAACCACGCCATTGGCTTTTTGCCATCCGATCTCGACGCCTACAAATGGATATAAGAACGCTGTCATAATTTCACTACTGATTGACGATAAATTTCTCGAACGCCACCACGAAATTACGAATTATTGCTTGTTGTTTATGGTCCGCATGGGGGGACCAATCTCTGCTAGTCTGCCCTCTCTCTCTCCATTCCTCAAACAATCTCTGCTAGTCTGCCCTCTCTCTCTCCATTCCTCAAAGAATCTCTGCTAGCCTGCCCCTCTCTCTCCATTCCTCAAACAATCTCTGCTAGCCTGCCCCTCTCTCTCCATTCCTCAAAGAATCTCTGCTAGCCTGCCCCTCTCTCTCCATTCCTCAAACAATCTCTGCTAGCCTGCCCCTCTCTCTCCATTCCTCAAACAATCTCTGCTAGCCTGCCCCCTCTCTCTCCATTCCTCAAACAATCTCTGCTAGCCTGCCCCTCTCTCTCCATTCCTCAAAGAATCTCTGCTAGCCTGCCCCCTCTCTCTCTCCATTCCTCAAAGAATCTCTGCTAGCCTGCCCCTCTCTCTCCATTCCTCAAAGAATCTCTGCTAGCCTGCCCCCTCTCTCTCTCCATTCCTCAAAGAATCTCTGCTAGCCTGCCCCCTCTCTCTCCATTCCTCAAACAATCTCTGCTAGCCTGCCCCCTCTCTCTCTCCATTCCTCAAAGAATCTCTGCTAGCCTGCCCCCTCTCTCTCCATTCCTAGTTATCTTCCTAGTTTCTGCTACGTTTCTTTCGTTCTGGAAACACCATAGAATTCCTCTCGCCGGGGGGGGGGCGGGTTGAAAGTCGTGGGGCGACTGTCCTATTCTTTTGCTGTTCTTTTGTAATTTGACAGGAGGAGGCCGTCTCTCTCTCTCTCTCTCTCTCTCGCTCGCTCTCTCTCTTTCTATCGCCTTAGGGGGGGGGGGGGCTCCGAATTGTGTGTCCCATTTCCTTTGTGTGTCAATGTTTGGGCCCCTGTGGGGGGACTGTTTTTCCGCGCGCATCCACTTTGCACCCTTCCCCCCTTTCCGGCCCGTTCCGCAAAGCAATACGGAGAGCTCCTCTTGACACCTCTCGATTCGACACACCTCCACCTAGAGCGCCGCCCCGGAAATTCCGCATGTGGATTTTGGACATTTTTGAACCCACCGTCTGGTCGGATCACCGGAAGTACCGTCTTCTGCCCCGAATTTTCATTTTTTTACAGCTGCTTGGCTAAACTGGCGGCCAAGCTATCCCTTAACACAATTTCCGCGACACCCCGCTTGCCTGCCGGCTTCCGCCCCGAATTTTCGGTTCTGTACTGTTAGCAGGGGGACCAGTTTCGGCTTTTCCACCTAAAATTACCTGATGATGATATATTACGTATTTTTATAGTGTTTTTAGTAATTTTTGATGGCTAGAAAGTTAAACAAACATTGAAAAAGTTTTGAAAATTCGAAAATGTGAGCTTTTTGACCATTTTTCATACATTTTTGATCAAAAAAATCCACATTTACCAAATTTTTATTATTTTTATCCTTTTCTATAACGAAAAACCATTTAGAATGCTATAAAAATCGTTTAGCTTTTGTTATAGCCAAACCCCCCCACGCTAACCATCCAGAACCCTTCCTCTCCCTCCCTCTCTCTCGCTCTCTCTCTCTCTCTCACTCTCTGTCTCTCTCTCTCTCCCTCTCTCTCTCGCTCTCTCCCTCTTTCTCGCTCTTTCTCGCTCCCTCTTGCTCTCTCTCGCTCTCTCTCGCTCTCTCTCACTCTCTCCCACACTCTCTCTCGCCAGTTAATCAGCTTCCCCTTTTCAGCGGGGTCCCGCGGCGAAAAGTCGCAAAAAACCAGGGGCATAAAAGGGCCATATCCTCGGGGTAAATATCGCCCTTAAATTCCCTCTCCCCTCCCCAAAAAAGACCCCCCAGTTTCCGACCTGAACCCCCCCGTCCGGAAACGTCCTTTGGTCTGTCCCGGAATTTTCGTACGGTCTCGGAAGGAATTTCAAGCCATTTTCATGGCATAATCGATGTTTCGCCGAATAAATTAGGCAATAAAAAGACCCGAAGTTCGTTGTGGCGTTTTTTGTTGCACGGCGCAATTTTCTTCCATACCTACCGTAATCTGGCGTCTTAAAGGCACCGCCAAGCCAAAACTAACAATGGATCATAGGCCGCTTTTTATGTCGTAATCGATCTTTCGCTAGGGCCACCAAAACCAGCAACTGACGGTTGTTCAAAAATGCCGAAACGCGCGCAACCTGGCTGACTCTGCCCAAAATCATGCAAATAGCCATTTTTACCACGAAATTACAAAAATCGGGTTTTAAAGCGCACGTTCAGGGAGGGGCCGTGTACTCGTCCCAACGTGTACACCCTATGGACGTAGGGACCGCGCGCACTGCCTGCCCGTGCCGTGGGAGGCCATTCCCCTCCCTTGCGGCGTGGGGCGCCCCCTCGCCCCCTCGCCAGGTCGTAGCTGTGGTTGACTGGTATGCATCCGCGCCTCCCGAGCGGGGGACCCGGGTTCGTCCCCCCGTCCGCGGCAAAAATCTTTGCTTTTTTCCAAAAAACCTCCCTGAACGTGCCCTTTAAATATGAAAATGGTTTTTAGATCAGTGTGGGGGTTTCTGACCACGCTCTATCCGAATCCGAAGAGACCTAAGCTCTAGCTCCTTTCCCCTGCGAGTTTGAATTCGGCTTCGGACAGACACCACAACCGTTTTATTCTAGTTGATTTTTCGTTTACCGATTTTCTGATTTCGGCAAAGAATCCGATTTTTCTCATTTTTTTCAGAGGATGCTTCTGCGGCTACTTGCCGTCCTTTTATTCTGCATTTACCTGAGCGCAGGGGTACTGGCCGAGGAAATTGAGGAAGAGGACGGCTCGAACCCGAAAAACTACAAAGAGTACGGAGCTTTCGTCAATTTTTCGAGCGTATATAGATTTTTTGGAAAAAGCGATTTAGCTCATTCGATAGAGCGGAAAATTCTGCACAAAATGATACCCCAGATACGTACTGTAGGGCTAGGTGGTCAAGAAAAATCGAGGTAAAACCGAAAAATCTGAATTTTTGCAATTTTGACGAGTTTTAGGTGGATTTTTGGCAGCTACCGTAACACTACCGTACTTTTTGAGGGGCGCGTTTTGTTCAGAATTTTTTGCTCTATCGAAGAAGCCAATTAACAAAACTTAAACTACAAAGTACAAACTCAAAAAAGTCAGAAAATGTGATTTTTTTCAGAATTTAAAAATATGCAAAAATTTTATCGATGTTTTTGTTGCAGTTTCAAGCTGATCCGGATCAACCCGGAGAGTGAGGACAGTCTCTCGTATCTACGCGCCCTCTACGAGGGCGAGAGCCCCTATTCACTTGATTTCTGGCAGCCGCCGACACGGGTTGGAGCGCTGGTAAGTGACCGTTGGGTTTTTGTAGTCTGTATTTTGTAGCCCAGGATTTGTAGTCTAGCGTCCTACGTTGAAGTCTGTAGTTCATCGTCTAGAATTGTAGTTTGCGGCGCAGCTTCTCGACGGTGGTTTGTAGTCCGCTTTGTGATCTAGAGTTTGTAGCCTGGAATTCGAATACCGCTCTCTATCCCGAAATTCTGTATCCCGAAACACCCAATCCCGAAATTCTGTATCCCGAAACTCCCAATCCCGAAACTCTCTATCCCGAAAACTCTCTATCCCGAAAGCTCTCTATCCCGAAAACTCTCTATCCCGAAAACTCTCTATCCCGAAAACTCTCTATCCCGAAAACTCTCTATCCCGAAAACTCTCTATCCCGAAACTCAGTATTTTGCGTTTCCTAACGCCCTACATCCTTGAAGGCATCGGAAAATCATTTTATCGAATTTCCGAAACCGAAAAATAGCGGAAAACTATTTACTTCAAAGATCTAGTCTGATGTTCGGTACGTTAAAGCTAGCTAACTTGTTTCGGGATATGGAGTTTCGGGATAGAGAGTTTTCGGGATAAAGAGTTTTCGGGATAGAGAGCTTTCGGGATAGAGAGTTTTCGGGATAGAGAGTTTTCGGGATAGAGAGTTTTCGGGATAGAGAGTTTCGGGATAGAGAGTTTCGGGATACAGAATTTCGGGATTGGGTGTTTCGGGATACAGAATTTCGGGATAGGGGAAATACCCCCTGGAATTCGCCGGCTAGCATCATGTGTTGTAATTTGTAGCCCATCGGATGAATTTGTAGCTTGTAGTTTAGCGTTTGCAGCCCAGAATTTGTGGGCAGGCAGTCTACGGTAACTGCCAAAAACTTTGTAGCCCAGCTTGTAGGCTAGAGGTTGTAGTCTGTGTCTTGCACTGTAGTCTGTAGCCCCTCGGCACGAATTGTAGATTGTAGCCCCCCATATTGTAGTCCATATTTTGTGACCTGGAATTCGTGCTCTAGCGACCTGCGTTGTAGCCTGCAGACTATCGACTAGAATTCTAGTTTGCAGCCCAGCCCGTGGTCTGGTGGAGTTTGTAGCGTGTTTTTGTAGTCTAGTGTCCTGGCGGTAGTCTGTAGCCCATCGGCCAGAATTGTAGATTGTAGTCCAGCTTGAAGCCTGTAATTGATAGTCTATTGTTCTGCATTTTAGTCTGTAGCCCATCGTCAAGAATTGTAGTTTGTAGCACAGCTTGTAGCCTGTAGTTTATAGCCTGGAAGCCGCGGTCAAATTTCTAAAGTACAGCTTGTAGCCCTGATTGAACGCTGTAGTTTGTCGCCTTGAATTTGTAGTCTACCCGTCTTCAATTATAGTCGTAGTCCAGCTTGTAGTCTACAGTTTGTAGCCTAGAATCCGTCGTCTAGCGTTCAGGGTTGCAGCTTGTAGTGCAGTTTGTAGACTGTAGCCTGTAGTATAAAACCTTGTCGTGCATTTTGTAGTCTGTCGTCCATTCTCCCGAATAATGCCAGCCATTTATTCTCGACAACAATAAAAAAAATGAGGCGGGGCCAACGGGGCTCGAATGTTTTTAACGTATTGAATGCGGCTTATTCGGTCGTGGTAGAGTTTGTAGTCCATGGGGGGCGGGCGGGCGGGCGTGTAGTCTGTAGTTTGTAGTCGGCGGCCTGCTCGGGCTCGCTCACATCCGCGAATAGGCTGCAAAAAAGCGTTACAATCCGGCCGAAGAAAAACGGAAAATCGTGGATTTTCTCACTTGCCAGTGCCTTTAAATTTCAAAAAAGTGTGTCGAGCGCTTAACTGGCTGGCAGGTGCTCTTAAAATAAGACCGGCAACTAGCATAGATCTTTGAGGAATTCTTGAAGGTCACATTTCAAAAAATGCCAAAAAACCTGGACTTTCATGGATTTTCTTGCTTCCCTGTCCCTTTAAAATCGAAAAAATGTGGGAGCCGTTTAGCTGACTTGCAAGGACCTTTAAAACAAATTGTGCAAGGCAACTAGCAGCGATCCTTGAGGATTTTTAACGCCGCAATCCTGCGGCCCCCAGCCAGACTTGCCGGTCCCTTTAAAACCCCCCGGGCAAAGCCACCGTACCCGTGCCGGCGAGCACAAAGACGGCAATGGTGGCGAGGGCGGCAATGTACATGGAATAGGCACGCCAGTAGCTGGCCCGCTTCACCTCCACCGACGTCTTGTAGAAGCCCTCCGTGCCGAACTCGAGCGCTTCTGCAAAAGGGGTGGGGTTGGGCGGTTGGGAGTCAAATGATGGGCGTAGTCTGTATTCTGGATGTCAGTTCAGCGCTCGGCTAGCGAAAAACGTCAAAAATACCAAAAAGCAAAAAATTATTCCGCGGGCGAGGGTCGAACCCGGGTCATGCGGGTGACAGCTTTCTAAGCCTCAAATCCCCCAAATAATCTTTGTAGCCTGTAGTTTGGACGTCAGTTTAGCGATTCCCAGCAAATCCAATCCCAAGACGCCAAAAATTCCAAAAAGCAAAACATTAAGTCTCAGCCGGGGGTCGAACCCGGGCCTTGCGGGCGCTACCACCACCCACCAGCACGCTCGCACAAATTCTCAATCTTCTCGCCGCGCTGGTTGATCTTGTAGATGTTGTCCTGCATCACGCACATCACCTGCAAAAAAAGCTAGAAATTTCGATGGTAAAAATGGTCATGCTAGCCTGCCCTTCCCTAAAAAAACTCTGCTAGCCCGCCCAGCGCCTCAAAAATGATCTCCGCTAGTTGATTGCCAGTCAGTTCGACGATTGCCAAAATTTTGGGGGCGTGGCCAATTCCGCAAATTGTCAGTGCCAGCCTGCCTCATTCAGCTGCTTGCGCGTCTCCATGATTTTGTTGTCGATCTGCGGGTCCTGTGGGTCGAGGGCGGCACCGATTCTGGAACGGCTGATGACTGATTACCGTATGCAAAGTGGGGCAGCTAGCAGAGAATCTTTGCGGAAATTCGGGTTCTGGACTGTTAACGGGGGGGGGAGTCATTTTCATACATTTATGCCCAAAAAACCAAAAATTTGCCAAATTTTTTCGATTTTGTATATTTTTAGTCCCCCCCCCCGCTAACAGCCCAGATCCCCCAAAAATATCGTACCTTGTCTCCGGTAGATCCAGATACTGCATGCATGCAATGAAATGTTTTTCTGGTCAAGTTTTTCTTTGTACGCCGGTAGCCATGCTAATATAGGGAAGTTCCGGAACTGCCGGAATTTCCGGAATGCAACCAATTACCCCATGTAAATTGCCTAAACGCAGAAAATGACATTCGGTGATGCCATGTAATGCCAACAGTCATTTTCGTGCTTTTGGTAATTGGTAGTGCATTTTACGATGGGTCGAACCGATTACGCAATGTAATCAGCGATTCGCGGCTTGCACCCAGTTATGGTATGAAATTAAAGGGACTAGGCTCCGGGCAAACTTTTGCAGTAATCTTTAGGGAATTCCGGGCAGGCTAGCAGTGTTTCTTTAGGATTGGTAAAACCGATTACGCCATGTTATTCAGATACGACTATCGGACATAATTAATTGAGTTGTCTTTCGTCAAACTGACAGTTATCTTTAAGGAATTCCGGACAGGCCGGCGGAGCTTTTTTGGGGGTTTATCCGATTACGCCATATAATTCCAGGTGGACGTCTCGGTGTCGCCGAACGATGCGCCGATATTTGTCAGGGATCTCACCTCAAAAAGCCTAAAATATATCGTCGCCATCAATGATTTGGATCAGTAGGGGGGAATTCATCGATTTTTAAGCCTTTTTAGAGCCATCCAAAACGAACGATCCGTCTCGGCATTTCAGCATCCCGTTGAGGGATTTTCTTACGATAAGTGGGTTGAATTTCGCTCGCTCTCTCTCTCTCCCTCTCTCTCTCTCGCTCTCTCTCTCTCTCTATCTCTCTCTCGCTGTTTCTCTCTCTCTCCACTCTCTCTCGCTCTCTCTCTCTCGCTCTCTCTCTCCCTCTCTCCCTCTCACTCTCTCTCTCACCCTCACTCTCCCTCTCCCTCTCCCTCTCCCTCCCTCTCCCTCTCTCTCTCTCTCTCTCTCTCTCTCTCTCTCTCTCTATCTCTCTCTCTGTCTGTCTGTCTGTCTGTCAGTCCCTCTCTCTTTCTCACTCTTTCTCACGCTCTCACTCTCTCTCTCTCCATCTTTGTATCTCTATCTCGCTCTCAGCCTCTCTCTCTCTCTCTCTCTCTCTCTCTCTCTCTCTCTATCCTCCCTTTCCAGATACAATTCCCTCTCCGATATCCACGACGAATTGAAGCGCCTAAAGAAAGAGCACCCCGACCTGGTCACCCTAATCGATATCGGCGCCTCACACGAAAACCGAACACTCCTCGTCATCAAGGTGATTTTTCTAACGATTCGTCCCACTTTGGAGCCTTATAAAATGAGATTCCGGTAGGATACGGTATCCAGTACGTGTACCTTCGTCGATAGGAATCGCTCGGAAAATCTGGTATTTGCGCTTTTTGACCCGTTTTTTTTCAGATCAAAGGCCGCCAGAACGTCATCGGGGAGAAGCCGGCTTTCTGGATTGATGCTGGTAAGAGATTTTGACCTTGTTTTTCCCGAAAAAACGATGGGTTATTACTTCGAACATTTTCAAAACTGGTCTAATCGATTACGGCAGCAAATTGTCAGGTATCCACGCACGCGAATGGATCGCCCCAGCCACCGCCATGTATACTGTAAGGCAACTGGTCGAGGGATACGATACCGACCCACAGGTAAATTTTTTTCCTAAATGCCAACTGCTTGCATGCCTTGGCAAAAGCATCTTTCTGAAACATCTGAAATCTTTCATCTGAAACCGTAACCAGGATTTCAGATCCACACCCTGATGGACTCGGTCGATTTCTACATTCTGCCGGTGATGAATCCCGATGGATACGAGTACTCCAGGCTTACGGTGAGCGAAAATTTGCCGCGACACGCGACGCGACGACCTCCAAAAACAAGTCGTAATCGATTACGGAATGAAAGGCGGGCGTCGCAGTCGGGACCTAGTCGTGATTGGGGGTTGATTTTTGGGCGTTTCCGGTCCATTTATCGATATATCCTTTCAGAATCGTATGTGGAGGAAGAACCGTCGGCCGGCCAGCTGTAAACGGAATCATTTCCACACGATATGCTGTGCCGGAGTGGATTTGAATCGGAATTTCGATTGGTTCTTTGGATGTGAGTTGGAAAGGAGAGAGGGCGAGAGAGAGAGAGAGAGAGAGAGAGAGAGAGAGACAGAGAGAGAGAGACAGAGAGTGAGAGAGGGGGAGAGCGAGTGGAAGAGAGGAGAGAGACAGAGTGGGAGAGTGAGAGAGTGGGAGAGCGACAGAGAGACAGAGAGGCAGAGAGAGTGAGAGAGAGGCAGATGCAGAGAAAGAGCGAGAGTGAGAGAGTGAGAGAGAGTGGGAGAGAGGAGAGAGACAGGGTGAGAGAGAAAGTAACGCGTCTTTTCGCTTGTAACGTAGCCTTTTCAACCCCTTTAAACTCCGAATTTCCAGCCCGCGGTACCTCAAACGACCCTTGCCACGAGACATATCACGGCCCCAACGCTTTCTCAGAGCCCGAATCGGCGGCTGTACGGGATTTCCTGGAAGCGCACAAGCCAAAGGTGCGTCAGAATTTCGTAAGTACCGTAATCGTTTTTCAGGCCTTCATCACCCTGCATTCCTATTCTCAAATGTGGCTGATTCCATTCGGACATCGCAAGAGAAGCTACCCACAGGATTACAACACTGCCCTCGTACGTTTCTATGCCTTCGAGGTCCCTTTAAAGATGATTTTCGTGGCGTAATCCATTATAGAAATCATTTTTCATAGCGTAATTGATTAGACTCTCACGCGAAGAGGTCCTTTTCATAGCGTAATCGACAGAACCGATCATTTTTCAGAGCGTAATCGATTAGACTCAAGACTGGAAGCGAAAATTTCATAACGTAATCGATACAATCGATCGTTTTTCATAGCGTAATCGACTATGCTAAACCATTTTCCCCTCGTAGCCAACCCCCAAGATCGATTTTCATGGTGTAATCGATTAAATTGATTCATTTTACATGCCGTAATCGATTACATCAATCGATTGTTGTTTTTCATGGCCTAATCGATCCCTCAAAAGGATTTTCCCGGCGTAATCGGTCAGGAAAATCGATTTTCATGACGTAATCGCTTAGTTTTGGCGGTCATTTTGATCGCGCAATTCTTTATCCCATTCAGCGTCCCCTGGCCCTCCGTGCGACAAAAGCCCTGTATGAGCTGTATGGTACAAAGTATCAAGTCGGAACTGGGGCCGATCTCATGTGTACGTTTTCAACGCTATTTTTTGATCTCGAGGTTTTAGACGAGGCCGCCGGTGGATCGCACGATTGGGCAAAGGGAAGCCTTAAGGTTCGTGTATTTCATAGCGTAATCGATTACACCATTAAATAACTGCAGCAGCGATTTTGAGGGGCGTAATCGGATGTGCAGAAACATCCGGTTACGCCATCAAAACGTTTCGTGTCGTAATTGAATAGGGATCGGGTTTTTTATGTCGTAATCTATTCGGCTGGGAAAGAGAGAGGGAGAGAGCGAGAGAGAGAGAGAGAGAGGGAGGAAGAGAGAGAGAGAGAGAGAGAGAGAGAGAGAGAGAGAGAGTGAGAGAGTCCAGAGTGAGAGTGCGGGTGAGAGAGAAAGAGATAGTGAGAGAGCGAGTCAGAGTGAGAGAGAGAGCGGGAGAGAGACATCGTTTTACATACCTTTCCAGACCCCATACGCGTACCTAATCGAGCTGCGTCCAAAGAATACAATGTTCGGCAATGGATTCCTCCTGCCAGAACGAGAGATCCCCTCGACAGGATTGGAGACCTGGGAGGCAATTCGAGTGGTTGCCGATGAGATTGTCGGCCAATTTGTCCAACCGGCCATCCGGAATCGAGTCATTGCCACCTCATCATCCACTACAGCGACCTTTACTTCCACTGGTAGGGTTTTGGCGGGGGTTTAAATGGTCTCCGCTAGCCTGCTACTCCGCAATTTTCAGCGGAACCGTTCAAAATGCGGCAGTCGCGTAAGTTGTGTCGCTTTCAGCTCTCACGCCAGCTACCCGAGTTCGACCCCCGCCGGCGGCTAACTTTTTGCTTTTTGCTCCAGGCGAATTTTCTGGAATTTTACCATCTAAAAAATAATATTTCGCTTGTGCTTAAATAATTAAAATCAAATTATGAATTTAGGAACTTTTAAAAAGTCGTGGTTCTAAAATTTTCGATTTTGCGTAAACTAAAAATTTATTTTTCGAGTTTACCCAAGAAAAGGTAGCCCTAATTTTATCGGCTCCACTGCGCTCCAGTTAACGCTATGCAATTTTTATAATAAAAATCTTATTTCTAGAAAATTTAGCAATTTTTTTTAAAAATCGAATTTTCACGTTTTTTGATTTTCAAAATTTCCAAAAATAGATTTTTTACTTTACCTTCAAAAATATTTTAGCGGGCCCCCTGCGCTTCAGTTAACGCTATGCAAATGTTGAAAGTTCAAAAAATCAATATTTCCCAAAATATCGACCAATTTGCAGCGGGGCCCTCCGTCTCGGCAGAGCGCCGCGGCTACAAAATCGTCGAGACGACAGCCGTACCGCCAAGCCCCGCCCCCTCCACCCAGGCCACGCCCACAACTACCATACTGTATGCCAGACTACCGTATGCCAGGGTTAAAATCGGTTTTTAGGCCGCAAACGGACAAGTGGACACGATGGAGGCCGACGACGACGATGAGAACGGCCGAGACTAGCAAATCGGCAAATACGCTATTTCCCACCACAAACTACGGTAGGTTTCTGCGGATTAGACAAAACAGTTCAAATTCAAATTTTTGGGGCAAAAGGCAAGCAAAAAATTTTGCCGCGGCCGGGGGTCGAACCCGGGCCGTGCGGATGGCAATTTTTAATCATCAAAAAGTAGAAAGGGTGGTTGTAGCTTGTAGTCTGGAAGCCAGATGAGGGATTCCTGACCAAAAATCTAGTGAAATTCCAAAACGCAAAAAACTTTGGCACGGCCTGGGGTTCGAACCCGGGCCTTGTGGCTGACAGGTTTCTAAACCTGGAATTCACGAAATTACGACTGTATTCTGTGCCTGGATGACAGTTTAATGATTCCTGTCTAAAAAATAGTCCAAATTCCAAAAAGGAAAAAATTTTGCCGCGGCCGGGGGTCGAACCCGGGCCTTGTGGGTGGTAGCTTTCTAAGCATCGAGTTCCCCAAAAATGGTTGTAGCCTGTAGTTTGGCTGTCAGTTTAGCGATTCCGATCGAAAAATTTGCTAAGGTCCTTGACAAGAAAAACCTAAGCGAGCAGAGACCATTTGCGGAAATTCCCGCCCTTGCCTTCAACGGTCCTTTAGAGTTGCAAATCTGCGGCCAGCAGGGTCACATGTACCGTATCCTCATTTGTGGGCTGCGTGCCCGGACCGGTCGGTGGAGTTTGTAGCTTGTAGTCTGTAGACTACAGTATTCTGTAGCCCAACGTTCAGTTACCGTAACCCCCCGAAATCGTCATATAATTTGCATGTTTTCGGCACAATTTTTTGAGTTCATCAGCACCACAAGATTTTGTTGAAAAACCGGACTTAATTTAACGATTTAATTTCCAGCCAGTACGACCAGAAACGGGCCGACATTTGCCACGCCGACGACGACGGCTGGGACCACAACCGCCAGGCTAGAACGGGTAGGCTAGCAAAGATCATTTGGAGAAAATCGGACGTTTTAGACGACAGCGACGGCAAGCAGTGCGACAACTACAGTAACCCCGCCCACAACGACAACCACTACGACTACAGTACCCCCAACGACTCAAGGGTACGGTGCTAAATTAAGCCATTTCGGCTCGATTTTTCTTCACGTCTAGGGGTCCTGTAGTGGAGTTAAGTATACCATTTGAAAGAAGAGAACGAGTTCTGTAATTTGGTGTACTGTAGGAAACCGTATCGTACTGGAATCTCAATTTATTGGACCGAAAAGATGGCAGAAAATCGAAAAACTGCCATCTTCCGCTCGATTTTTCTTAACGTATCGGGGTACTGTAGCGGAGTTAAGTATACCATTTGAAAGAGCAAAAAAATCTCTACCAAATGGTATATTTTTGCTACCGTAGGCCTTTGTAATCTCAATTTATTAGGCCTCAAACATCGAAGAAATTCGAAATACTGCCATTTTCCGCTCGAATTCTCTTAACACCTGGGGGTACTGTAGTGGAGTTAAGTATACCATTTGAAAGAGCAAAAAAATCTCTACCAAATGGTATATTGTGGCTACCGTAGGTCTTTGTAATCTCAATTTATTAGGCCTCAAACTTCGAAGAAAATCGAAAAATCCATGTTCCACCCAATTTCTCTTGGCGCCCCAGGGTACTGTCGCGGAGTTGAGTATACCATTCGAAAGAGGAAATTGAGCTCTATGGAATGTGATACTGTAAGCTACACTAACTTGCTGGAATTTGGTTTTATTGGGTTATGAAAACGACAGAAAATCGATAAAATTTTTTAACCTCTAATGGTTCTTTTTTCAGCCTTCTCCGTGGCCGCGAGACGCCCACCTGGAAACTGGTGACGCCGAAGGTGATTGGGCCCTCGATTTCGGCGGAGGTTCGGGTCCCGAAGACGTCCACCACTTCACAGCCGGCCGTTGTGAGTTGTAGTTTGTAGTCGGGTTGTAGTCTGTAGCCCGAATAGCCAAACTACCTGTGATTTTGAGCATGCCTAATGTGAAAACAAAAGTAATCATCGGCAGTGCTTTTTTAATTAGTTTGTAGTCTGTAGTGTCGACCGTAGTTTAGTTTGTAGTCTATAGTTTTGAGGTTTGCTGTCCAGATTGGCAAAAACACTTGCCAGTTTGCGTAAAACTACCGTAGAAAGCGTCAAAAAGTGCACGTATCATTTTGTAGTCTGCAGTTTTGATTTTTGTAGTTTGTAGTCGCCCCAAAAAATGCCAAGCTTTTGCAGGAAACCACGACAAAACTGTTGCAATGCGTCGACTACGGCAGCTACTGCCAGCTGTGGGGAATATTGCAGCTGTGCGACAAGCGCTCCGTCCAGAAACTATGCACAAAAACCTGTAACCCGAAATGTCGTATCTAACTGTACCGTCACCATTCCTTTAAAGGGACCGGCAAGGCGAGAGTTATTAGCCATAGATTTTTTTTATGGATTTTGCCGCGCACGTCCCGCCTTTCGATTGCATAATCGATTACGACATTTTTTTCGACAAGCCGGGCGCACATGATTCCGCGGTGTTCGCGAGTAGGCTGGCGGATAGTGCGCCAGACGGCGGGGTGCAGACACACAGGGGAGGGGTGGGGCGCGGAATAGGCGGCGAAAGAGTGAGGCTAGACTATAGGGCACGGGGGAAGAGAACAGGGGGCGGGACCAGAGCGCAGATTCTCCCTTCCCCTGTATGCCTGCCATCCTGTCCCGGTTAAACGAACACAACTGGTAAAGGGCGGAATGCTGTGGGGCGTGCGCGTTGCGTCCAAAATCCATAGCCCTGCCTTGCCTGGCCCTTTAAAACCCCCCATTTTGTCTCGGATCGCCAAACTGGCATCCAGTTCCGATTCGAACGGCCGGTGGCCAATTTTTTCCACCCCCGTTGGAGATACTGTAACCAAAGCCCCAAAAATTTGATTTTTTCAAGATCTTCAAAGTTCTTAATTTTTTTGTGTAAAACTTCCGTAGTATTACTGTATACAGTAGTCGTACTGTAGCCCCGGGCGTCCCCGGGGCCCATTAAAGGGACCGTGAAGAGCCGATTTTGTGGCCCAAAATACTGTGTGAAATCGGCAAGATTTCCGATTACCGTATGGCATATTGTCATTTTTATTTTTTACCTGATTTATTAATTTTAGTTAAGCTAATTTTTTGTAATGGCTACGCTGTGATACGCGGTATTTTATAGAAAGTTTAACCCCGATATTTGCTACAAAAAATTTATTTGAGCTACAATTTTCTGTAAAAATCGTCATTTGTGCGGTAATTATCGAATATTTTTTCGAATAAACTAATTGATGGCTTTAACTGGCACAGAAGTTAGTTTTTCCCGCGTTTCAGCAGCGCGCCCGTGCGACACGCAACGCGCACGCTCCTCCTGGCCACCCAAAAACAATGGCGTAACCGATTATGCAATGGAAAACGGAGTGCGCGCGTTGCGTGTAGCGGCGCGGCGGATTTCCGAGGTTAGCCGTCTCTCCTGGCCGGCAGCAAAGCGTTTCCCGCCAAAATTAGTGTTGGAAAAGCGTGGCAAGCCGACTTTCTAATTTCAGGGCGTAACCGAATGGCCGGAAACGGGCGGAAACGCGTACTTTCCAAGCACCGGGGGCCCTGGATGGGGTCTTTCGAAGCGAAAAACATTTTTTAACTGATTCCATAAAGGGTAGTGTTGTAATATGTATTTTAGCACCCAAGAGTCATTATACCGAAAAATCTCTTTATTCGGGCTTCCCTGCCCCGCATCATCCCCAACTCATCACCCATCGCGTGAACCACGACGTCCGTCCACCTCGCGACTCGACGTGTTTCACCTAGAAATTGGAGTTTGTAGGCTGGAGGGTGCTTCTGAAATGTAGAAGTTGTGTGGTCACAGAGTCCAAATCGGCTCAAATTTGGCCGAAAAAATCCAATAAAATACGGGGGAACACGATGCGATCAAAATCAACTGCCAACCAGCACTTTTGTTTCAAAAAAATTTTAAATTTAGGCGAAAAACTGTTGCTAAAATACGCTTTTAGCGGCTGTAATGTTTTGGTGGAATTCTCACAGCAGCCACGACACTAGGCACCTTTCCACACCTGAAAAAACCATGACAATCGCGCCAACGACATGTCATCAAACCACAAATATGCTAAAAATGGCTAAAACCGTCAAAAACCTGGCAAAAAGCCTCCCAAAAATTGCTGTTTTTAACGCTTTTTCGGGCTTATTAAATTAAGTTTGGGACAATTAAAGCCCCCCCCCCCATAATTTCTTTAAGGGTATGGTATTTCAAACTATATTTTAGCGGAAAAACTACCTAAACGGTTTGAAAATTTTTTCGAAAAGTCGAGTTTTGGTCAAAAAAACGGTTATTTTTGGTCGAATAATCCATTTTTTTGTATTTTCAAATCAAGATTTGTAAAGTTTTTACGCTCCGGAATAGTAAAAAAGTTTAAACACGCTTTCGCTAGCCCTACCGTCGCTATGACTCGACCGTCGCGAGTCCGGTAGACGTGGCGGCTCGCTGGAAAGGGGCTAAAATAGCGGCAAAAAGTGTAGAAAAATCCTGCCGGAATTTTGCCGAAAAAACACTCACTTGAAGCGTCAATCGACCCGAATAAAATTAGACATACGAAAATAGCTAGAAAGGAAAATATCCGCATGGCGCAAATTTTTGAGAAAGGGATATCGAGGAATCAAAGATGATGGTTGGGTGGAATTCCAGAGAAAGAGACGACCCGAAAAAGGGCGTGAAACGGGGGAGGAAACGGTTCGGCAACCATTATCAATTTCCGGGGGAATGGATAGAGCCGTTTGTCGAACACGTGCCGGCTTTTTCTTTTGCCTGAAATTCAGTGGAATCCAAAAATCCTAAAATCAAAACAAGGTTCTTTCGCATTATCGGGGGGACCTACTTTGTTTTGTATAAGCCTAGAAATGTCTCGTGTTTTCAAAGCATTTTAATACGGTTTTTAGTAATATAAATCTATACTTCAAGCATAAAAACTATCTCAAAAGTTGTGAAAACGCGGAATTTCGGGCAACAACAGGCCATTTTGGTCGAAAAATCGATATTTTTAAATTTTTTGAATAAAATTTGTATAGTTTTCACGTTAGGCATAGTAAAAAACGATTTAGAAACACTTCTACTATTGATATTTGAAAACTTAGTTCCCAAGAAAAAAGTTGGTCCCCCCGATAATGCGAAAGAGCCCATAACCATCAGCTAGAAAAAGCCTTTTAGCGATTGGCTTCTCATCGATTGCCGCCATCTTCTGTATCGAGGATCCGTCGAGAATTCCCTGAAAAAGACTACAAATGAAAAAATATCTTTGAATTTGGAGGGCTGCTTTTCCTGAGAAGAAACGCTTGACCTTGGGCGTTTCGATCGCTCTCCCGAATCCTTCGCTGCCTCGACGCCGTTGCCTAAAAAATATCGGCGGAGAAGTAATAGGGTTCGGTCACGAACCGCAATTCAACTCCTCCATATCGTTTTGTCGCATCAAGTAGCCGTTGCCCATCGGATCGCTCGTCCATCTTCTCAAAAAAACAACATTTTTTAACCGAGAAGTGGAAAATCAAGTAAAGCTAGACAAAGAGAAGCTGGCTACCGCCCCTCGATAACCTGGGAGTACCGAATCCTAAAAACATAACTATCAGCTCGAAAAAAAAAACCTTATATAGATGCACTCCACCTTGCTGGCTTCTTTTCGATTGTCTTCATCTTATTGTTTTTCGATTTTCCGTTGAGAGTTCCTGAAAAAGACGGCAAAATTCAAATATACCTTTGAATTTGGAGGGCTGCTTTTCCTGAGAAGAAACGCTTCGCCTTGGTCGTTTTGATCGCTCTCCCGAATCCTTCGCTGCCTCGACGCCGTTGCCTAAAAAATATCGGCGGAGAAGTAGTAAGGTTCGGTCACGAACCGCAATTCAACTCCTCCACATCGTTTTGTCGCATCGAGTAGCCGTTGCCCATCGAATCGCTCGCCCATTCTCTGAAAAACAACCTTTTCTTGAGATCGAGAAATGGAAAGTCCAGCAAACAGCGAAAGTAACGAGAACAAAAGAAAAACAACACTATTTTGAAGTCAATACGGGAGCATTCCATCGTTGTAGAGCAAAAAGAAGTCGTCCTCGATGGAAATGTTGATCGGGACCGGACAGTCTGCGTCATCATAGTAAGAGGCCATTTCATCAATGGTGAGAGGATAGTCGGGCCCGAAAAGATCGCGATGAAAGTGGAGATCGGGCAATTTCGAATCGAAATCAATAATCAGGCAAAACTTTGGGCGCTGCCGGTTTTTCTGCTGGTCAGCGAGGGTTCGGATCGCATTGAAGAAACGCCTCGGCATTACACCTTCCGGATTTCGCAGGTGGCACCTAAGCCTTTCGAATTTCCACTCGGTGATGAAGTCGAAGAGCTCCATTCCAACACCAGAAAGCGATAACTGGCCAAGCGCTTGAAGAGCCTCACAAATGCCTAGCGACAGCTCGTAATAACGGAAGTTGATGGTACGCGGCCTGAACTTCTTGATAATGTCTACCGCCTTCTCGTCTTGATCATGGCCGACTAAGTGAAGAGTCCAAATTTCTAGCCCCTCGACATCCGGCACGCGAGAATTCAGACCCATGTAGAAGTTGAAGACAACCGCCCGATGCAGCAAGATCTTGCAGAGTCCTGGGGTTAGCCTCTGCCAGCAAGGCCCGGGCAGCCAGTGTTGCGCAGTAGGCATGAAATGATGTCCATCCGTGCATCCAACTTGCGAAAATACTTTGTTCGGCAGATGCTTCGTGGCGTGGAGCAGCTGGCTATGGGCCCTAGCGAAGGAGAAGAGCTCTGATTCTTCAAGAGGTCCGATGATTTCCCATAGCATATCCAAGGGAAGATCGTAGATTCGGATCGAAGAGTCCGGGGCTTTCTTCTCTGCCTCATCTTCGTATTGAGAGTTGTCGAGCAGAATCGCGGCGTCTTCCCGGTTGAAAATGGCATAATCGATGATGGCGATGTCTTCTGATAGATGAACGATTTCCCATTTCTTGTCGGGCCAACGGGCCACGCCATCACGCAGTATTTCGTTCGACTTGGCGACGGCGAGCAGGCTATCCGGATCCAGCGGCTCGAATATTTCGTGCAGCAGATTGGGCGGCAGATCGAGGATGTTCTTTTCGAGGGCCGGACGAGCAGAAGCCTTCATTTTACCTGAAAAAAAAGGAATTTGATGGATATTTTGGAAAATAAAACTAAAAGAAGACGAAAAGCAGCTCAGTGATGAGAAAAAGGTAGAGCAACGAGTTGGAAAGTCCATTGTTGTTGTTGAAATGGAAAAAGCGTAGATTTTCGAAAGCCCAGCTTCTTTTTGCGCGTAAAAAAATAACATTTTAGTGAAATTAAAGCGAGGGTTGAAAGAGAAAGAGGCACTATTTCCTCATACGCCATTGAAAAACCATTTTTATGCACGTATTTTTGTCCTGATCCGTAAAAACCTTTTCTTGCCTTTTGCAATGCTTTGCGTTTGCGGGCTTTGATGATTCCGCGACGCAGTTGGACATTTTTGCCGAAAAAACGCAAATTTTACGCTTTGGAATGGTTTTTTCGAGATCAACGCACAAAACTACGCAGAAAAAAAGGTTTTTAGCTCTGCGTCATCCTGGAAACTTTCTATTTAGCAGTAACGATGTTCGCAAAAGCAAAAATAAACAAATATCAAACCTTTTTCGTTACGCGCGCGCTTGAAAAACCAAAAGTGCCAGAAATTGGCAAAGTCTCCGGCCAAAAACCCAACCTTTTGAGTGCGCTGCGTATTTTTCGCTCCGAAAATCCACTAAAATTACGTTTTATTCTTTTCTCAGCGCACTAATGACAATAACATCATTACCATCGTCTTTGGTATCCAAAAAAAAACTGAAAGCGGCAAAATGGCAACAGAAGGTGTGACTCGATGAAAGGAGAGAAATGGACAGAGCGAGAGAGATCACCGGGTGGAGAAACTCGGAAATTCACACCAAATGCGGTTCTTTTCCATTATCGGAGGGTCCATTTTTTCTAAGGATCCAATTTTTGAAATATAAATAGTGTAAGTTTTTTTTAAACTGTTTTTACTATTCCTAAACGTAAAAATTTTACAAGCATTCTGTAAAAACACAAAAAAAGTAGTTTTTCTACTAAAAATGGCCGTTTTTCCAAAAATTCGTCCTTTAAAATTGATTGAACGTTTTTACGTAATTTTTCTAGTGGAAATCAAATTGATTTTACCAGAAACACTATTAAAATACTTCAAAATTGTAGGTTTTTATGTGGTTTTTTGTGAGGTTTAGGTTCAAGTTACTAGGTATTTCCAAAACTTGTTGAAAAAATTGTGCCCCTCCCCCGATAATGCGAAAGAACCGGAAATGCACTAATGAGAAATGAAACACCATGAAAACTGTATTTTCAGAAGAGGAATTCAAATATTATTGCTGGGAGGGTATTTTGGAGTCCGGGTCGAAGAATCGGAGGGCGGATGGCCATTCTGAGACTGGTAATGCCGCCTGGAGGAACGAGAATTGGGGCTGAAGACGCGGCAATGATCCACAGGCTTCCTGGAAAGGGGCAGGCTAGCTGAGATTCGTTGAGGAATGGAGACGGTTTCGGGAAAGATACCTTTAGGAAGGCGACGACGGGCTGATCCTTGAGGTGTAGCCGTACAGTATCAAGTGCCGGCGCTGAATACAGTGCGATGCGGATGATTGACGGCAAAACGATCGATGAAGTCGAGCCGGAATTCTGGAAACTCGTTGATGAAAACGCGACACGGGCCGCCCAGCGTCACGGTTGCGTTGCCGTCGCGTCGCGGGTACGTCGCGGCGGACGCGCGCCGCAAATCGATAGCACTTACAAAATGAGAGGCCGGAAGTTGGCAGATGGTGGCGAGGACGGATTGTTGACAGCCGAGCAGGCACAGTAGCTGGAAGAGGATTTTAAAGGAACGGGCAAGGCAAGGCTTGCCTTGCCGAGACCTTTAAGGATTTCCAATATCTACCTGATGACTCGTCCCAATTGCTGCCAATCGTCCAGCCAACGCTATCGCCCCCAGCTTCATCGATTTCCGCTCCATGTAGGCAGCCGGGGATGGGTTATCGGGGGATCTGAAAGAAAGTGTTATGATAAAAGGGAACACCTCTACCGCTTTCCCTCCTTCGATTGACCGGAAATGGATGGGGTGGACGGGTCGGCCATGTGGATACATTCGGAGACGATCAGGTAGAAACGCATGGCACGGGTGTCTGAGGAATCGAAGCAACGCTGGAAAGAGAGAGTGAGAGCCTGAGATACAGAGAGTGCGAGAGAGAGAGAAGGAGTGAGTGAGAGAGAGAGTGAGAGAGAAAAAGTGAGAATGAGCGAGAGAGAGATAGAGAGAGGGACAGAGAAAGAGAGAGTGAGTGAGAAAGAGAGAGAAAGGGAGAGAAAGAGAGAAGGTGAGAAAGTTAGAGCGAGATAGTGAGAGAGAGAAAGAGAGAACGCGAGAAAGTTAGAGAGAGAGAGAGAAAGTGAGCGAGAGAGAGAAACGTACCCTAAAATCGTCCTGCTTCAACTTGGCCGAAAATGCGAGCGTCATCCGGCAGAGCGTCACGCACGTCTCCGGCAGATGCGGGCGGGTCGGTGATTTCTAAAAAAAGGATCCGAATTGACCAAAATGATGATAAACACAACCTCGTCCATCGGCTGCTCGCTCGAATTGGCGTGTAGAACATCGACGACGTGGAACAGGACAGGGTCGATGAAGGCCGCCAGCAGGGGATCACTAAGGAAATTGTGAATTCAGGATTTATGACAATTTCGGCGATTTCATGGGATCGGTAAGGCCCGTGATGAATTCTGACGCGACACGCAACGCGCACGCTCGCAAACGGCCATAAAGGTGCCCGGAAAACGTACATGATCTGGGCGTCAGAGGCGAGTGAGAGAGTGTAGAGAAATGAGGAGAGACACTCAATCGTCTCGAGATCCATTTCGGAGAGCAGCCGCGGGATGAAGACGGACAATTGGGAGGGGATGCCCAGCGAGCAGATGTATCTGGAAATGAGGGCGATTAGCTTGCGTTATTGGACGGGAGAATACACGGCGTTTGGCCGAGTAGAACTGGCGTGATCGATTACGCGATGGAAAGGCGGGGCGTACGCGTTGCGTGTCGCGGGTGCGACAGATTTCACGGCATTTTTCCAATAGATTTCAGCGCGGACGCGCCACGCGCCGCCCTTTCATCGCGTAATCGATTAGGCGACGTTGACGGCGACCAAGCGCCGCGTGCGTTGCGTGTCGCGGTCATGGAAAATTTCTCGGGATCACTTTTCCAACCGTCTTCAGCGCTGACGCGACTCGCAACGCACACGCAGCTTTCCATTACACTTTCTGCGCCGCAGTAAAAATGGCGTAATCGATTACGCGATGAAAAGGCGCGTGTGCGCGTTGCGTGTTGCGGCAAAATAAATCGTAATCGATTAGCGAACAAACCCGAGAATAAGATCTCCTCTTGCCAGCCGTTCCTTCATATTCATCCCAGCCTCAGTCGGCAAACGATCGAGAGATGAGAGAAGTCGATGGATGGCCGAGAGAACATCGCGAAGATGCAGACGATCAAGATCAGCGAGCAGGGCAGAGGACAACTCATCGATCAGCCATTGGCATAGAGGAGAACCCAGCAGGAGAGAACACGCTGCTGGCGGTTGATGAACACCGATTGACGTGAGGACCGAGAGGAGTTTTGAGCGGACCCTTAAAAATTTAGAGGATTTCGGCTTGTTACGACCCGCAAAAGGTCTCTGCAAGGTTGCCTTTTACAAATGCTATCTAGCTGCCAGTCTATTGAGCGATTCCTCAAAGAATCTCTGCTAGCCTGCCCCTGCCTACCGTTTCTGATCTGGCGCTTTCCCACTCATCCCCATCAATCGATCGACCGCGGGCCGCAACGCGCCGGCGGCCACGATTTGGGCGGCAAAATCGGCAGACGAGGAGCCATCGTTCTAAAGGGATGTGTAAGACAGGTCTATGTATTCCCTCGACCGCGACACGCAACGCGCACGCATCGATTGGTCCTCTTCAAGCGGCGTAATCGATTACGCAATGGAAAGGCCGGGCGTGCGCGTTGCGTGTCGCGGCTGGGTAAAAGCAACACGCCGCAGCCGCTACGCGCAACGCGCACGTCTCGCCCTTCTATTGCGTAATCGATTACTACAGATTTTTGACGACAGGCGGCGCGGGAGCGCTGCGTGTCGCGGTCCCTTTAAGCGATTCTACAGTACCTCGAATCTCTTGATGACATCAATGAGGGCGTGCTCGAGGTGGCGAAGCTGTCGATCGGCCGAGAGATTCGTCGCCAAGTCCCGCACCGATTTGTCTTTTCTGCAAAAAAATGGCTGGTATTTCGGTACCGGCTTTCCCAAATGGCCTCGGCTAGCCTGCCCCACAAGACGCTCGCCAGTCAACACCTACACTTTTGTGGCCATGATGGCCGTGTAGGGGGTAGTTTGGCGTAGTGTTTCAGCGGTCTTCAGCGCCTTTTGCTGCATTTTCTGCTTGAGCCGGGTTAGTTTCTTCTTGTCGACATCATTGCCGAAAGAGGAGGATGAAGTGAGGGATGGTGGTAGACAGTCTGTCTCTACCACTGATTCACACAGTTCCATCGCCTGAAAAAAATATAGTGGGATTGGGTGAGGTTGAAAGCATCGCTCTCTTCTCTCTCTCGCTCTCTCTCCCTCTCTCTCTCTCTCTCTCTCTCTCTCTCTATTCTTGGCGGAGGGTTCTTACCAATTTGTGATGTGTGACATCGAGTGCCTTGACCTTCCACGCCTCTAAATGCCCTTTTCCAATGATATGTGCCATGATATCGAGTTCAGATGATAGAGCAATCTTCTGTGAACACCGTGTACATCCCCATACTCGAGACGATTGTTGGCTCGGCCATGCACGCGCATTTGATAGGGCTTCCCATCTAGAAAAGTGGATTGCTATGCGACTGTTGAGCCTGGATTTTGACGCGACACACAAACGTACGCCCCGTGCGGCTACGATCGCGATGTCGTAATCGATTACGCAATGGAATCCGCCGCGAGACGCAACGCGGACCATGATTAGGCTGTCATAACCGATTACGCAATTGAAGGGCGGGGAAGCGTGCTGCGATACGCAACGCGGACGTCCCTTCCATTGCGTCATCGCTTACGCCTATTCCACGGCGACCAAACGTCGCGTGTGCGTTGCGTGTCGCGGCTGCGTGAAAAACTGCATCTAGATCGTTGCGGGGTTGCGACACGCAACGCGCACGTGCCGCCCTTCCATTACGTAATCGCTTATGCCGATTTCGGGTCAAGGGCTGTTCGAAGGAAGCGCGGACCCTACGCGTCGCGTGTCGCGGCGCGGAAAACGAGGCCAAAAACTGCCGCTTTACCTGGCAAAAACCTTCTGATTGCCGAGTTCGTGCGCCTTGGCCCGCACCGATTCGACGGTCAATTCGTGGCGACGGGTCGACGAGTCGAGCTGAAATCAATGGCTTGGTTTTTTGGGTGTTGCCCAAGCAAGGCTCAAGCTAATCCAACCCCCAAAAAAGCCCGAGTCCAAGCCAAGTCATGCCTCTGCGCCCACCTTTTGCTGCATTTTCTTGTGGTCATTGGCCCGTTTCTCCGTCTCCAACGCCCTCATCCCCTCGATACGCTCCTCGCGCTGTCGACGCTTTTCCCTGCAATTCATCGCGTAATCAATTACGGAATTTTTTTGGCCCGGGCCAGCGGAGCGACGCGGTGCGTTGCGCTGCAAATGAGGTTGACCCATTTAAAAGGGTGGGGTTTTTAACGGGCCCTTGAAGTCGTGTCTTTCCTAAAGCTTCTCTGCTAGCCTTCCCTGCGCCCTCTCGCCCCATTCCTCAAAGAATCTCTGCTCGTTCCCCCTCCCCTCGTACCTCCTCTCCCTCTCCTGCTCTTCTCTATGTGCTTCTATCTGTGCATTTCTCGTCTGTTTCGCCTCAGCCAATTCCTGTAGTCGTAATTGTCTCTCTTGCTCTGCCAATTTCCGCCTCTCCTCAGCCGCCAGCTCTTTGGCCATTTTCTAAAAAACCCCTCATTTATTAATGGATGTATAATGATGACTACCTCCTCATGTCTTTTCGTCCGCTCTTCTGCCATCTTCTCTCTTCTTTTCTCTAATTCTCGCTCCCTCGTTTTTTCTTTTTGTAGTTTTTCGTTGGCCGACAGCTCGGATTCGACTTCTTTGCAGAAGAGGACTTCTTGCACCTAAGACCGATTTTTCACACTCTCTAGCTCTCTCCCTCTCTCTATCGCTCGCCCTCTCACACTTTCTCTCTCCCCCTCTAGCTATCTTGCTCTCCATCTCTGTATCTCTCTCCCTCTCTTTCTCGCTCTCTCACTTTCTCTCACTCTTTCTCACACTTTCTCTCTCTCGCCGTCTCTCTCTCTCTCTCTCTCTCTCTCTCTCTAAATGCCTACCCTCTGATCATCGTCGCGTGCCTTTCGTACTTTCATGGCCAATGTCTCCTTCCTTTTCTCGCTATGTCTCTCCAATCCAGACAAATATAGAGCCATCATCCGTTCTCGAACCTCCACCTTTCGCGCTTGCACCGCCGCGAACTAAAAAAGGGCATCGGATTACGGCAGAAGTCGGGTGTCACGGTCCCTGTAAAGCGCTTGCGAATCTCTTGGATTGAGAATCACGGTTTTCGACTGGGAGGGTAGCTAGCAGAGACCATTTGGGAGGACTGGGGCATACGCGCAGTGATAATTTGGGACGGCGGGTGGCAGGCTAGCAGAGACAATTTGGGACGAAATATACCCGTTTCGAGATCTCATTCAGTCGTGCGGCCTTGTCCTCCATCAATTGCTGTCGTAGACTCTCGGCTCGATCGTGCTTCAGCTGCGATTTTTCTTGCACACCGGATGGGCTGCTGAACAGAAAAATTAAAGATGTTGGCATGACTATGGATTCTGCCACGCCGCGACACGCAACGCGGCGCCTCGCCATCATAAACACTGCGTAATTGATTACGCAATGAAAGGGCGCGGCGTGCGTTGCGTGTCGCGGCGTGGTAAATCAGTACGGCTCGAGAAAACAGCAAGCTGCCGCGCCGCGACAGGCAGCGCGTCACTCGTACGCGCGCGAAAAAATATCGTAATCGGTTACACAATGGAAGAAAGCGGCGAGTGCGGGCGTGTTGCGGTTCGCGGCGCAGCAAAATCCCCAGGATGCTTGAGAATGCTGGCCGGGCCTCCAACGTGTAGCGGTCGCGTCGCGTGTCGCGGCGAGCACAAGAAATCACGCAACGCGACCACACGCGGGCACAGACAAACCTCTTCCGCTTCGGCGAGCTCATCTTCTCAAGGCGGGCCACCTCATCGCCAGGTTCCCGATAGTTCCCCTCCGGATACTCGTCCGCCACCAGCTGCGCCCACGACACCGACGCGTACTGCTTCATCTCTTCTGAAAGAGACGGCCTCTTTCTCTCTCTCTTGCTCTCTCTCCCTATCTCACTCTTTCTCTCTCTCTCTCTCTCTCTCTCTCTCTCTCTCTCAATCTCGGCTCTCTGTCCTTCTCACTCTCTCCTTCTCTCTCTCTCTCTCCTCAAACTGGGGCAGGCTAGCAGAGAGCCTTTGCGGATCCCCCACTCACCTTCCCACTTGGACAACAATCCCCGCGTACTGCACGAATCGGCCTCCGAGGGAGCCGGCTGGAAAGAGCATGAGCAAGGTGGACACACCGAACCTGTTCGTCCAAAAATCGTGACTGCCCCGGCTCGTCGTTCATCGCCTGGCTGAGCCGTTCGAGCTCGTCGTCAACCGACATATTCTCCTCCTGAAAAACGGCCTCTTAGGGTAATGGAAGAATTTTGCAGATCACCGGGCTTCTCCTATTGTATCTCGGCTCCCCGGTGTCCTACAGGGTCGTCAAATATACCAAAATGATCGCCAGCGCAAGTGGAACAATTTGGTAGATTTACAAACCTTTTGACCAATGTAGGAGCCGAGATACTGTATCCGAGAGTTTCGGCTAGGGCCAGGATCGTACCCAAAACCCCTTTAAAAGTTTTTTATGTGATTTAGTCGATATTTTGAAAACATCAGCCGATAGTGCATCAAAAAATCTACGATGGATTTTAATCTCATCGCAAATAACGTAATCTAAAATAGTTATAGCAAAAATATGATGTAAACGCGGTTTCGACATGGGAGCTTAAAATCACAAGCTCGTTTTCGACATTTTCGATATTTTTACAAAATTTCTCGAGCGTCATTCGAAAGAGCGTCAAAAAATATACTAAAAGTCTTGATTACAGCTCTAGATAACGTATTATGAAATTTATAAAATAGGGATGCTAAGATTTCAGTTGACCCCGCCCCCCCCCCAGCCGGCACCCACCTACCCTATCTCGGCTCCCTGTTCATTTACAGGTGTGTAAAGTATACCGAAATGTTCGTCTTGCTCTGGCGAGTATTTTGGTATACTTTACACACCTGTAGATGAACAGGGAGCCGAGATACGGTAAGTGGGGTCGGCTGGGGGGGGGTAAACTGAACCACAGTCAGAGCTATAGCAAAAAGAAGCAGCCAAGCGCGACTTTTCCCCCTCCGCTCGAAATAGAATAGCACCAGATTATGGAACGCACATTCTCAAATTCCCTGGTGAGTGATCGTTCCTCTTGTGCGAGACTCTCCTCTTCTTCCGTCATCGCACGCCATTCCACTGAATGCTCCACTTCTGGGGGAAGACCATGCCAAGAGGCTGGAGACATCGGTTGTAATGGGGGCAGACTGAAAGAGAAGGCATTTCTCAAAGAATCTCTGCTAGCAGGCCTACCGTATTCCATCGATATCGATGCGATCGGTCCCTTCATCACTGGGTCTCGGATCGGCAGGGATCGCATCTCCATCCTCATTTTTCTCGCAGATTGATCCAAGACTTCTCGCCTCGATTCCATCAACAATATTCTTTGATCTGCCGTCATTTCCAGACTTTTTCAGATCAACGAAATTGAGGCCACAACGGGATTGAGTTCTGAAAATGGAGGGAGTGGAGAGAGACAGACAGAGAGAGAGAGCGAAGGAAAGAGAGATGGAGAGAGAACAAGAGAGAGATAGGGAACGAGAGAGTGTGAGTGAGAGACTGAGAGAGAGCGAGCGGGAGTGAGATCGAGCGAGCGAGAGAGAGTGAGATCCAGAGAAAGAGAGAGAGAGAGAGAGAGAGAGTGAGGGAGCGAGAGAGAGAGAGAGAGAACAAGAGAGAAATAGAGAACGAGAGAGAGCGAGTGAGAGAGTGAGAGAGCGAGCGAGAGAGAGAAAGAAAGAGAGTGAGAGAGAGAACAAGAGGTATAGACAACGAGAGGGTGAGCGGGAGTGAGAGCGAGAGAAATAGAGAGAGAGAGAGAGAGAGAGAGAGAGAGAGAGAGAGAGTGAGAGAGCGAGAGAGAGAACAAGAGGGATAGACAACGAGAGAGTGAGTGAGAGAGTGAGAGAGAGCGAGATAGACAGACAACCCACCTCCTCTCCATCTCCTCCTTCCTGCAAATCTTTTGCCTCTCCTTCATTTTGTCAGCCAATGTCGTTTGTGCCCTTTGCAGCCACAGCTTCTGCCGGCTGTATGCGATTTTGGCCATTGACGACTAAAAATCGGGGTTAAACGATTAGCCAATGAAATTGGTAGGCCAGCAGAGAGCATTTGAGATACCTTTGTCTGTGGCAAATCCATCGCACTCCTTGGGCACATCAACCGTCCCGATGTCGAGCCGCCGCGTGAGGTGTTGTACAGCATTGGCGGGCTCTTAAAGGCCAAGGTCTTGTGCTCATTGCGAAAACGCTACCATAGGGTCTTTGCCGCGTACGGCGGCCGAGTAGAGACGATCGTAGACTGACAGTTTTGGCTGCTGAAAACCACATTTTAACAGCTTTCCAAAATTTCCAAGAAGCGGAACGCACACGCCACGCCTCGCTTTCCATTGCGTAATCGATTGCGCGAAATTCGGTAGTTAAGCGGCGCGTGCGCGTTGCGTGTCGCGGCGCGGCAGAATCTAGGATCACCTAGCGATTCCCTAGGGATTCTGGCGCGCCGCGAAACGCAACGCTCCCGCCCCGGCTTTTCATAGCGTAATCGATTGCCCTGGATTCAGGGTTCTGGCGGTGCGTGCGCGTCGCGTGTCGCGGCGCCGACAAAGTACCCAATAACCGCTCGATTTCCTAGAGGTTCTGCCGCTCCGCGACACGCAACGCGCACGCCCCGGCTTTTAATAGCGTAATCGATTGCGCGGAATTCAGTGGTCAAGCGGTGCGTGCGCGTTGCGTATCGTGGCGCCGCAAAATCCGCAATAACCGATAGATTTCCTAAGGATTCTGGCGCGTCGCGACACGCAACGCGCACGCCCCGCCCAGTTGCAACGCGTAATCGATTGCGCGAAATTGGGTGGTCGGGCGGGGCGGGCGCGTCGCGTGTCGCGGCGATTTCCCCCAACCCCATACCATATTAGTGGATAGCGCCTCGTCAGCCCTCTCCCGTTCCCTATCATCGATGAGACTCTGCGTGGTGACGCTGGAGACGCTGCGCTTCCGCCGTTGCACCACCTGCCAACCGCTGTCGTCGTCTAGCGCTGAAAAATCGGCTTCACAGGGGAACCTTCTGAGGTCGAAGCGGGATTTCAAAACCCGATCTAGCCAATCTTGTGCAGAATTTTTCGCTGATCCCATGCCTGATTTCAAAAACCGCAACATTTTGCGTCCATAGTTCTAAACTCTTGGCGCTTCCCTGTTAGCGGGGGGGGGCAAATTTTTCCATGTGATTTTCTACGGCCCTAAAACGCAATATAAACCATTTTGATAGGATTTTACATGATTTTGGATAGAAAAAAAAATCAAATAATTAAAATTTTCCAAAATTTTTGACTTAATATTTATAACTTTCTAGCTTTAAAAAACTGCTAAAAATTGGGTCCCCTAGTTCGAAATCCTCAAAAACCCACGAGTCTCCGCCACATCCCGGGCCGCCTTCACGGGGCTGTCGACGAGTGGCGAGACCCTGAAAAACCATGATTTCCTAGCGGCTTTAAACTAGTTAACCATCGCAAATCACACGTGGTCTGCCAGTTTAAATAAATGCCTACACATTGCTGGGTTTGAGCCTCTCCTGGAGTGCATATGAGGGCGATGACATTGTCTTCCGAATCTCCCACGCAACGTTCGGGCGCCTGCAAAAATCGTGTTGACTGGTTTCCCAGATTTTGCTTTGTTTTTTGCGTTTTATAAATAATGGATGCGTTACTACATTGTTTTTAACTATTCCTAGGAATAAAAACTTTACACGGCTTAATTTACGTAAAAAAATTGATTTTCGACCCAAAATGACCAAGTTCTGAGTTTTCAAACACTCCCCTAACTTTTTCAAAAGTTTTTTTTATTTAAATATAGATAAAACTCAATATAACAATGTAAAATCATTTCATATATGATTACCAGGCCATTCGAGTCCGCCAGCAAAAAATTGAAAATTCAATTTAGACGGAAAAACTGTGAAGAACATCGAAAATATCGAAAAATTTTTAGATGCGGCTTACTCAGTATTGTCGGGATTTTCCTCGAAACTCTTCTCGACGTCAATCGTCTTGATCAACGCCTCAAAGTCACGCGCCGAGGCGGTCAGGTAGAGGAGAACGTCCTGAAAGACACATATTGTCTTCCCCTCATTTCGGGCCCGAAAACCAAGTATCAACACTTTTTCTGCAACTTCCAGTTCTATTTCCCTTTATTTAATGTATAAAAACGTTTACAAAACCTGGAAAAGATTGAACAATGGAAAAATGGCCCTTTTCGGGCTGAAACAAGTTTCATTTCGGGCCAAAATCTAAATTTTTGTATCTTTAAAAGCAAATTTGTAGTTTTTACGGTTATCAAGCGTTTTGTTATTGTTTCCAGTTCTATTTCCCTTTATTTAATGTATAACAACGTTTAGAAAACGTGGAAAAAGTTGAAAATCCACGAAATTACCATTTTTTACGCCAAATAATGGATTTTTGTCGAAAAATCTATATATTTCCCCGGGTTTTCCATGAAATCTGTAAAGTTCTTTATGTTTATCAGGCGTTTTGGCATTGTTTTGAGCTAAAGTTGGCTATATTTAATGTACAAAATCGTTTAGAAACTTTGAAAAAGGCCGAAACCACATTTCTTTAGGACGAAATATGGATTTTTTTTAGAAATAAAGTTGATCTGAAGGATAAACTCGCCTTACACCCCTCCTGCGTGCGTTCCTTCCGGCAAAACTCGTACAAGTAGTCGGTGCTCGTCTTCAACGATTCCACGAGGCACGTCCACTGGCGGGCTCGCTTCCGCCGCGCGTTTCGCCGCGCTTTTTTGCCTGCAAAAGCCTCATTCCAATCTTTAGCTGTTAATACCATAAATATTCGACTTTGTAGACATATATAGTATTACAAATACTATGCGTCTACTCGTGTAATATTACAATTAATTGAATTAAACCCGGCCACCCACTTCTGCCGCTGGAAATCGATGCGGTACGCCGGAGTTGGCCGGTATCCGGGGCCACTGGATTATCGGCGGTGTTCATCTTCCTGTCGTCGTCTATAATCCAGTTCTATTTTTCGTATTTAAAAGTAATAAAAGGGAAATAAGCCTAAAAGAAACCACTTTTTCGATCAGCTGTCTGGGCTAATGGATGACACATGATAATCGGCCGGGCCCGACCAGTGTCCATTGGAGCGCCGCGTAGCCCCCCGTGGCCCTAGCCCCCGCGCAAAGCTGCGCCGGACCAGATTTCTTCTGGAATGGCTAAACCGGCTAGATGAGTATATTCAGAAGGTAGCCATGCTAGCGGAGGCAATTTGCGGAATGCTTGAGAAATCAGGATCGGACTACAGACTTTGAAAGGGCCATAAATGCGACAAGTATTTTTGGCTTTTGGGATTTTGTCGATTTTTAGCAGCGAATCGCTAAACTGGCGGCCAGGGTATAGAAAATTCGATCATCGGTCATCCGGACTACAGGCTACAGCTTACAAACTGTCGCTAGGATGCACCTGCTTCGAACCCCAGCGGCATTGTGATTTTCGGATTTTTGCCAATTTTTTTTGAAGGGAATCACTTAACTGGCATCCAGACTACAGGCTTCAATCATAGGCCTGATATTTAGACTACAAACTACAGCCTAAAAACCGCGATCCAGACGACCCGAGTTCGAATCCGCGCCACGACAATTTTTTTGCTTTTTAGTTTTTTACCAAATTTTTTGCCGGGAATCGACAAACTGACAGCCAGACTATATGGGTCAAACTACAAATCTCTGATCCAGACGACCCGGGTTCGAAGCCGGCCCACGACACGTCTTTTGTTTTTTTGCTGTAGCTATGCATATTTCAGACGCGAATAACACGGTTTATCCAGGATGAAAAAGCACACACAGGAAAAGCGTTCCGATTCCGGTGCAATAGCGATCGGGAGTGACATTTTAAAGGGCCATGCAATGCAAATGGTTGTCGTGGATTTCAGGGGAATTCAGAGGGAGGCGTTTGTAGTTAGTAGTTTGGAGCAATTTGTACATACCAAGAGAGAAAATGGGGGCTTTTGAAGGGGGGCATCGACTTTTTGTTGCTGTCTCTCGCTGTCTCTCTCGCTCTCTCGCTGCTTCTCTTGGCGTTTTCTTTGCGCTCAGGCTTCGGGCTCGAGGAGGACCAGCTGAAAATGGGGAGTTGCTCAAATGGTCTCTTCTATCCTGCCCCCTCTCTCTCCATTCCTCAAAGAGTCTCTGCTAGCCTGCCCCCCTCTCTCTCCATTCCTCAAAGAATCTCTGCTAGCCTGCCCCCTCTCTCTCCATTCCTCAAAGAATCTCTGCTAGCCTGCCCCCTCTCTCTCCATTCCTCAAAGAATCTCTGCTAGCCTGCCCCTCTCCTCCATTCCTCAAAGAATCTCTGCTAGCCTGCCCCCTCTCTCTCCATTCCTCAAAGAATCTCTGCTAGCCTGCCCCCCTCTCTCTCCATTCCTCAAAGAACCTCTGCTAGCCTGCCCCTCCTCACCTGTTGATTGCTAGATCGAGCAATCGATCTCAATGCCGCTTCATTGGCCCTCGTCTGCTGTAGCGAACGGATGGCGTCTTCCAACTCCCTCAACAGCGCCACATCCACCGACGGGACTGCAAAAAACATGTTTTCTAACCGAGATTCGACCAGAAGCCGCGTGGCTGATTGGTAGTGACATTGGTACCGCCCACACGACCCGGGTTCGACCCCCGGCCGCGAGAATATTTTTGCTTTTTGCTCAAGGGCCGCAAAACGATCGGGAAGGCTCAAATGGTCTATGCTAGCTTGTCCAGACGTACCATTCTGATTTCCGGATCGCTTGTCGAGTCCAAAGCCGAACCCGTCGAGACGGTCGAAGGCACGCTTCGGTCGAAGCTCGTCGATACTGGAATCGGGGTATTGAATCTCTCTCTCTCGCTCTCACTCTCTCTCTCGCTCTCACTCTCTCTCACTCTCTCTCTCTTTCTCAGTCTCGCTCTGACTCTCTGTCTCTCTTTCTCTCTCTCTCTCTCCCTCTCTCCCTCTCTCTCTCACTCTCTCTTTCTCTCCCCCTCACTCTCACTCTCTCTCATTCTCTTTCTCACTCTCTCTCTCTCTCTCTCTCTCTCTCTCTCTCTCTCTCTCTCCCTGATTCTCTCGCTCTCTCGCTCTCTCTCTCACTCTCTCTCTCTCTCTGTCTATCTTCACTCACTCTCTCCTCCCTCTCTCTGTCTATCTCTTCACTCACTCTCTCTCTCTCTCTCTCTCTCGCTCTCTCACTCTCTCCCTCTCACTCTCTACCTGTAAAAGGCGCGTCTCCTTCGGTCGAAGAAATCTCCATCGTCCAACCGGTCGAATGCCCTCTTTTTCACTCCCTAAAATGCCATCCGAATTTTTGAAATTGCACGGCTTCCCGGCGCTTTTAAAGCGCTTTTAAAGGGATTGGCAAGGCAGGATTTTACGGTAGAGAATTTTTCGATCGAAGATGGCCGATTTTTGATCAAAATTTCGTTTTTAAAAGTTTTTAGAAAAGTTTTTTAGTTTTCAGAAAGTTTTCCTAGTCTAAATATAGTGATTTTTTACGAAAAATAGAATTAAAACACTCTCTATGAAATTACCAGGCATTTTTAGAATACTACAAAAAAGTCCACCCCCCGATAATGCCAAAGATCCCAAAATCCATACCCCTGACTTGCCAGCCCCTTTAAAACCCCGAAAATATCGATTTTGCGGCAACTTACCAGTCCAAAATCGTATCCACCGTCGAGACGGTCGAAGGCACGTTTACGGAGATTCTGGAAAAAGAACGTGGGGTTACGGTAGCCTCCGGACACCATTTACCATCCCAAAATCATAGCTGCCGTCCAGCCGGTCGAACGCCCGCTTTTTCAGCCCGAAATCGTGGAAATCGTCGATGCGGTCGAACGCTCGCTTCGATGGGCTGAAAATCGATTAATAGGACATCAAATGATCTCTGCTAGCCTGCCCCCGCTTGCAAATCGCCGACTGGCTGCCAGTCAAGCGATTCGCTCCGCTTTTGGCCCAAAATTTCCCAAATTCTTGCCGCTAGCCTGCCCCATCCAATCGATTACGCCATTAAAAACCCTGTAATTTTCTGTTTCAGTGCATTTTTGCCGGCTGGGCCTTAATTTCCCCAAATCGGCCTCTGATAGCCGACGCCACCCAATCGATTACGCTACGAAAATTGCTGTATGTGAGCCTGCCCAAAAATCCTAGACAACCTCTGCTAGCCTGCCCTGGTTGAAACCGAGGTATCCGGCAAAAGCTCAGCAACGCGACACGCAGCGCGCACGTCCCGCGATACGCAACGCGCACGCCCCTCCACTTCATCGCGTAATCGATTACGACATATTTATGCTGGCAAAGCGGGGCGGCTGCGTTGCGGGTCGCGGATGCGGCAAAATGCTTGTACTTGCTCTCTCTCTCCATTCCTCAAAGAATCTCTGCTAGTCTGCCTAACATCCGATTATGCGATGAAAATCAGTGTTGGCTACCGTACCTCCTTGGCAATACAAGATATGGATGGGCGGCTGTGCAAATGATGAAGAGACTCGTCGCAGCCATCACGGCACATATTCGCGCCATTTTATTACCTGAAAAAGGGGGATTAGAGAGAGAGAGAGAAAGAAGCAGAGAGAGAGAGAGAGAGAGAGAGAGAGAGAGAGAGAGAGAGAAATACCATAGATTACAGTTCAAACTGTCTGGCCACCACCAATTTGTCGCCGCCGTCAGAATTCGTTACGAGACCACCTGCCTTCTACGTATCCCAATAGCCAAAATGATACACCACGTGGGCCAGAGAACCCCCAAAATTTGCGTTTTAAAGGGGCGGATTAGCCATGTCTTTCTGGGTTTTGCCAGTTCTGGGATTTTCGAGAGATTTTGGGACGCACCACGACGCGCCACGTGACGCCTAAAATCAAGACGGGGCGCGACACGCAACGCGACGCGCGACGCGTCGCGAAGCCACCCGCGTCGCGGGATCTAACGCGACGCGCAACGCCAGCGGCAATGCGACAATGCAACACGAAGCGGAACGCAGCGCAGGATGTAACGCAGCGCGCAACGCGACAGAAAACGCGAGGGGGGCGCGTTGCGTGTCGCGGCACCGCAAAGTATTACGTTAGCTATTTTCACGGGACAGGAAGGTCGCTTTTTTGAAGGATCTCTGCTAGCTTGCTCCGTGGTTTTAAAGGGCCCGTCAAGGCAACTCGGTCCCAGATGATCTCAGCTGGTTTGCCCTCAGTTGGAAATGCATTTTAAAGGGAGCGTGACAGCACAGAAGAGCCGAAAAATTGCATGAAAACATGGCTGACCACCCAGCTGGCGAGCAGCGCCTCAAAATAACGACACCAGGATGTTTTTCCGCCGGCGGCAATTGGCAATTTCCGGAACGCTACGTCATGACGGTATTATTATTTCCCGTGTTCCGTTCGGTGGCTTTGAACGTTCAGAGGTGCTCTCCGTAGTGGTGGCTCCAATAGGCGGGACCCCCTTTGTGGTTTTCGCTGTTACACTAACGGAAAACGTGATCTTTTTGGTTAGATGAAGATGAGAATCGTCTAACTGGCGGCTGGCAGAAAAGAAAAACATCGAAAAATTGTCGAAAAACTCAGGTTACGGTAGCTTTCGTGGCGGGACCCTTTGTTACTTTTTAAGCAGAAAATGTAACCCGAAATAGTGTTATTTTTGATCAAACAAAATAGAGACTTGGCTAACTGTCTAACAGATTGCCAAATAAATGGCAGAAACCCTCAAAAAATGCGGATTACGGTAGCTTTCGTCGCGGGACCCGATGTCACTCTTGAAGGCAACTTTAGCCCGAAATCACGATATTTTGGATTAACGAAAAATGCAAGTGGGCTAACTGGCTGGCAGAAAAAAGGAATATAAAAAAATATTCTCAAAAACTCAGGTTACGGTAGGTTTCGTGGTGGGACCAGTCTTCGGTTTTAAGGCCACCGTAGCCCAAATTCGCGATATATTGTGTTTAATAAAAGTGAGGATCGGCTAACTGGCAAGCAGAGAAGATAACGACGGAAAAATTATTCTCAAAAAATGCAGGTTACGGTAGTTATCGAGGGTGGGAGGCAGGCGACGAATCGACTCGCAGGTGTCTTTGCTATTAGGATGTGTTTGCGTGGGAGAAGAGGGGGTGTTAAAGAGGAATGACGCGTAGTCTCTTGAAGAGAGAGAGAGAGAGAGAGAGAGAGAGAGAAAGGTATTTTCAGAGGCCAAGTGGTCCGCCGATTCAATTAAAACGCCCGAAAAAGGCCCGTCGGGGGTGCGTGGAGTGTTTCGTAATCGACGCTGCGTCACGGATACGTGAGTTGTAGATGGGAATCGAGTGGAACGGGGAAGGGCAGCCTAGCAGAGATCATTCAGGAAATCAGAAACGATTACCTGGCAGCCGGATGGCACCCTGGCAAGCTAGCAGAGATTCTCGGAGAATTCAGGGCTAACCAGCGAGGATTTTTTGGGAATCTCTAAACCGTCAGGCAGTTAAATAGAAACTAAAAGAAGCAGACTAGCAGAGACCATTTAGGAAGGTGGAAGCGATCGTCTGGCTGACAATTTGCACTATGGCAAACTAGCAGAGATTATTTGAGATTCCAGAGCCAATAGCAGCAATAATTGGGGAATTGCTCGACTGTCAACCAGTGCGACCAATTCCTGAAGGGCAGGCTAGCAGAGACCATTTTGGAGGGCGGTAACGATCGTCTGGATGACAATTTACACTACGGCAAACTAGCAGAGATTATTTGAGAAACCAGAGCCAACTAGCACAGATTTCTCGGGAAACACTAAACTGTCAGCCAGTGAAGCCAATTCCACAAGGGTAAGCTAGCAGAGACCATTTTGGAAGGCGGAAACGATCGTCTGGATGACAATTTACACTATGGCAAACCAGCGGAGATTTTTTGTGAATTCAGCACCAACTAGCAAAGGTCTTTTGGGAATTGCTGGATTGTCAGCCAGTAAAGCTAATTCCAAAAAGGCAGACTAGCACAGACCCTTTGCGGAACGTTACGTAGCCACCCGGCTATATAGCCCGGCGTCAAAAAGTAATAATTGGGGTGTGAGACTTTTGGCTGGCAGCTGATTTTCCTCCCCCAAAAACCGAATTGGAAAAGCAGCTGGAATTCATCGCTAGCATCTGAGTCAAATGCCGCCAAAAATTCACTCTTTTTCTCTCACCCTCTCCATCCCGCCCACTCTCACGCCAAGGCGAATTTTTGGAAATTGGCCCCTGAACTGCTTGAAGGCCCTGGAAATAGAACCGGAATTTTGCAGCGCCAAAGCTATAAATATTATCGCAAAGATCGCTCAAAAAAAAGTTGCCAAAGTTGGGATTACCGTAGTTTTTCGTCCAGGGCTACAGTAACCCGAAAATTTGATTTGCGCGTTACAAAATCGGATTTTTGCGACTAACGTTTGACTGGCTACCAGCGGAACTACAACTGCAATGCTTTACTAAAAATTACTTCGTTTAAGGATTTGAATTAGGATAGGATTTGAAGCAGCTTACTGTAGCTTAAACCGAAAAGGCGATATTTTGATATTTTAAAAAGCTGATTTTTGCGAATATCACTTATTCGATGGCCAGTACATCCATAACTACACAGAACTAAATTTAAAGGATTACGGTGCTTTTCCACCCGAATTTTCGGCTGGTTATAGTAGGGCGACATTGTCATTTTTGGTATTGGATTTTAATGGATCTCGCAAAACCGCCACGCAGACTGGCCAGAAACGGTCATTTGGGGAAATCCAGAACACAGGGCAGGCTGCGGAGTTCATTTATCATCGCGTAATCGGTTGCCTGGCTGGGGCCAAAAGGCGGGCTAGCATAGACCATTTAGGAAGTGGGATCACTTTGCTGACTGCCAGTTGATCAAGTGGCAAGCTAGCGGAGACGATTTAGGAAAGCCACCACAGAGGCGAGCTCGCAGATACGACTTGCGTCAAAGTCCGTCAAGTACGTAAAGCACCAAAAAACGTAAAACTTCTGTAGGCGAGCATTTCCACGAGTTGCGCTAATGGAAATGGGAAAGAAGAGGGAGGAGAGAAAGAGAGGGGAGAGGAGGAGGGGGGGGGGAGAGAGAGGGTGGGATCTGTGTTTCAACCCCCCATTTCTTCCCACTCCAATATACAACTATTCACACATCCCTGACGACCATTATTCACATTATGCTGGGAATATACTACGCACTCTTCCTTCCTCCGCCCCCCCAAGCTATGATCACCTATTCTGATGCACTATAGCCGGAAATGGATTCCGCAAATGATCTTTGCTTGACCGCCCACCTGTTCACAATGATCCCTGATAGCTTGTCTAGCCAAACTGGCGACCAGGCAATAGTTTACGACTTGTTAAATGGTCGCTGCTAGTTCTCCTGGCTAATCTGTCATCCAGAAAGCCGATTAAAATGTTCCAAATGGTCTCTGCTAGCTTGCCCCGGTATCCACAATGTTCGCTGTTAGTTTGCCTAGCTAAACTGGCGACCAGGCAATAGATTACGACATCCTAGTTGGTCCCTGCTAGCCTAACCCGGATTCCTAAAGCCTCGCTGCTAGCTTGCCCAGCTAAAGTGCCATCCAGAATAACAATTACGACACTTAAATGACCTCTGCTAGCCTGTCCTGGATTCCGAAAACGTTTCTGCTAGCTAAACTGGCTACCACGCAATCGATTACGACACGTTAAATGGTCGCTGCTAGCCTGCTCCGGATTCCCAAAGCGTTTCTGCTCGAATCCCGAGCTAAAATATCAGCCAGATAACCGGTTACGACATGTTAAATGATCTCTGCTAGCCTGCCCTGATTTCTAAGGCATCAAATCTAGTGCTGCTTCACCTAAATCCCGGGATTAATTCGTAAAAATCGGATTTTTGTGAGAAAATAAGCCGCCGTCCGGGGCGGTTGACGCGATTTCCGGAAGTGGGGGTGACTTTTGAAGGGTCAAGAGAGAGAAAGAAACCTTTCACAAAAAGGCCAAAAGCCCCAGACGGAACGAATGGGATTAGAACGGCCCCCCACCCAGTCAAGTTCAAAATTCTTGAAAAAAAGCCAACCGGGTTTGGGATTTGAAGGACATTCGCGTGGAGCTGGCTGTCAAATACTAAAGTAAGCATGCCAGTATAGAAGACCGTGCCCTAAGAATCCCCAAAAATCACTGCCAGCCTGCCAGCGTGGCCTTTTTCGCGGAAATTTTTGGGGTTTTCAGTAAAAATTTGAGATTTTCGGGCAAGTTCTGCCGATTTTGAAGCGAATTCCGCAAAGAACCACGGCTGGCTTGCCTTTTGGAGCAAAATGATAACCAAAAATAGTTCCAAATCCAAAAAGCAAAAACACTGCCGCGGCCGGGGGTCGAACCGGCGACCCTAAAAATCGCCCTTTTGGCGGAATTTAGGTGTATTTCGCAAAGAATCACTGCTTGAATGCTTTTTAGATGAGAAACATGAACAAAACTAGCCCAAATTCCAAAAAGCAAAAGGTCCGCCGCGGCCGGGGGTCGAACCGGGGACCCGGCCCAATCCACCAAAGTCGCTGCTAGCCTGCCCGAAATTTTTGGAGGCGATAGA